TAACGCGGGGCACGGGGGTTCCGGACACACGGGGGTTCCGGACACGATTCTTGAATGCGTTGCATTCAAGAATGAATATCTTGATCAATAATTTATGTATAGTCTTCAAAATGAAGGATATAATACATCAATGCTATCTCTTATGCTGTACAAGTTCTGGCTGTATGAGCTGTTGATCTGCATTTGCTACACCTCGCTGTCCGCTTGGCAGGCCTTGGCATCTCCTCTATTATTTGTGCTTCTACCTCCTCTGTGTCTACTAAGCGTTGTATTGCTTGGACTGACAAAGCATCATCTGCTGGGATTGACTTCCTTTTCCTTGATTTGCGTATGTGCGTTGCAGCATTAGCTGCTTCTAGATCTGTAACTCGTGATTGAAGAAGAGCTGCTGAAGTTGCAATCATTTGAGCTCCTTTAGAAAGTTGATTTAAGGCTTCGAATATTGGAGTTAGTGAACTGCTCTGATGCCTCTCAAGCCTCCGTTTGATCAATGTAGCTTGTTGATCAACTTCTTGAGTAGTCTTTGGGGTCTTTGTACACCATGAACCTTGTGAAAGAGGCCGCGGAGGTGATGGAAATATCGGGTCCAACGTGGACAACACTACTTCAGGGTCGAAGGGGTGCAAACCAGAGCCTCTGAAGCCTGCTCGGATGTTGTTCGATGTTATCGCATCGATATATGCTGCGTAGAGCGTTGCCATGAAGGTGCTCTTGTCGATATGGAAGATATGGTTGCGAATCAAGCCTTGAGTCCGTTTTGAGAAGGCTTGCTTCAAAGGGCCAAAACAACCAACATCAAGCGGCTGCAGCATATGCGACGTATGAGACGGCATCCACAAAAGGACAATGTTGTTATCTTTGCAAAAAGAAGTGAACTCTGGTGTCGTATGGCTCCCATGGTTGTCTAAAATCAGCAGCCGCTTGCTACCAATTGTCTTCGACTTTGTGTGTTTAGCGAAGTGATGGATCCATTGTAGTCCAATTTGATCGTTTGTCCAACCTCGTGGACTTGCTGTAAACATCCACGTTGCAGGCAAGCCTTCGCAGACCCATCCATAGTTGACTTCTTTGCCTTTGAAGATGATAAAAGGCGGTATAGCTGATCCGTCTGCACAAGCTCCTTGGATCACTGTGACCCATTCAGTACCTGTAGGTTTAATCTGCTTTGGCCGACCTTGCTTCTCAACAGAAGTGACTACTTTGGAAGTAGATATTTGTCCTAGTTGAAAGCCAGTCTCATCGAAGTTGTACATGTCTCCAGGCAAGATGCCATACTTGTTGATTGTGTTGCGTACCAGGGCGAACCAGCTTTCAATGACTTCCGGAGTCTCACACAATCTTCTTTGGCACTCGTAAGTCCTTCCTAGTTTGATTGTCAGGGCAGGAGTACGCTTTATGAATGTCCTAGCCCAATTTTGGCCGACTGGTGGAGTTCCTTTGGCTTGGCAGATAGAATTGGCCATTGATCGTACCAGGTTTGTGGTTGGCGATAATCCTTGAGAATCTAGCTTCAAGATGTCTTTTAGAAGTACCTCTTCTTCTATAGGACTGAGTTTCATCTTCGGTGGTACATAATCTTCTCGCGAAGGAGTTCCTTTCATCCTATCGTATAGCGTTGATTTCGGAACTCCATAAGCTTTAGCAGCAGCTGTGATTGAACTGCACGTATTTGACTTCAAAGCAGATAAAGCAAGCAAGACACTGCCTTCATTTGGACTTATTCGGACGCGTTTTGACGATGCCATAACGCGTTGAAGTCAACGTAGTAAGATTCATGAAGCTCGCGTCCGGAACCCCCGTGTGTCCGGAACCCCCGTGCCCCGCGTTAGGTGGAGGCATAATGATTACATATCCGTCGTCACGCCATACGTGATCGTCGCAGCTACAGCTTCAGGGTTGTGGGCCCACGAGACAATTTATGACGTCGTGGTCGCTCTATTGCAAAAGCGTATCATCATCACGTACTGTAAGCTGAATTTGCAATACTATAACAGGAATCACATATAGACACACTGCATTTTTCGATGCTGGGACTGAACGAAGTGACGAGAACCAAACGTCGATTTCTATAAGATAAAGCGCAGGCCGCTACTGTTCGAGGCGTTATAGCATCATAGGAAAACCACAGGATCTCACAAATATGACCTCAGCAATTTTCAAGCACATTGATACAAGCTCTTACTCGGGGAAGCCATGGAGCAAGGTGGATGGACCTGGCATGGCGTTTGTGCAGAAAGATCATTCTCGGCCTGTTACAAATATCCGCGGACACGAGAATGAATACACGACAGACAACAGCGGATTCGCAGTATATCATGCCCCAGCACAGGAGAAGTCCTTTACAGATGATAAAGCTATCCGGAACGGCTACTATCAAGAGGTCGAAGATGTGCTACGCCAGCACCTACACGGCATTAAGAAGGTCGTGATCTTCGACCACACGATCCGTCGGCGCGATGAGACTTCTCCACGCCAGCCAGTACAGCAAGTGCATGTAGACCAGACGCCCAACGCGGCTGCAGTACGTGTGCGCCGTCATCTCCCAGCCGATGAGGCAGAGGAACTCCTCAAAGGTCGTTATCAGATCGTGAGTCTTGCAAAGCAAAGCCCTGAGCGTGCGGACAATGCTGACATCGTGTCTAGATCAACGTCTGGCGTCCTATAGAGAACCCTGCATCCGACTTCCCGCTCGCCGTGGTGGATTGGCGTTCTACCAGACCTGAAGACTTCATTCCAGTGGATCTCATGTACCCCAAACGTCCGGACTCCGCGCTAGCTGGTGAGGACGACAAAGACGACCGCGGGAAAGAGCGCCTTCCGGATGAAACGACCCTCCAATCTCTTGAGAACTACGAGGTCCGCGGCGAGACCCTCGCCGTAGCACCGAACGAAGACCATAAGTTCTGCTATGTCAAAGACATGACGCCTAACGAGGTCATGCTGCTGAAGTGCTTCGATTCATACGGCGAGGGAATGCCGCAGGGTCGACCGGGTCTTGCGCTACGCACTCCACACACTGCGTTCATGGACCCGTCGACACCGAAAGATACGCCAGGAAGACAGAGCATCGAGGTCCGATGTTTGATTTTTTATGAATGATGGAGGAAATGAAAATAACACGTGAGCCATGAGCTACACCAAAATGCTTCAATGTGTGTAGCAAGCTTCTGCTGCTTAGGGTTATGCTCATACACTTCATCTGCTTTTGACTCGGCTCATGATATTATTCCCAACGACAACAACAAATGCCACAACTACAATCACAATCGTAACTACGAGCACCCTAAGTACATCTTAGCTGTTAGCTGATGCTAAGCTGATGCTATCGGTCGCGGAGTGGCTGCCGCTGTGGTCCACTCGCAAAGTGTATGGACCACAGTCAATTCCGGGCATAGGCTTATCCGTACCTCAAGTAGACGTTGACACGAATGACATGGCAGTAGATTTGAATTAGCACTTGCAGTCCATTCGCTCAATCCACCAGAGCCGCGTGCACGCATGTGTAACACTGGTGTCCTTAATACCCGAATGAAGCGGCATGCCCACGAGGAGACTTGTAAGCCTTAATAAGGCCGCAACATGATTTATCTCTCCAAAGCATCAGCATTCAGTCCCATTCCGAAGAAGAGAAAACACGGATAGACAACAAATGTACGACCTTGGGTCAGCCACGGTATCTGAGCCGCGTCATTCTTTGAGCACGTTTTTAGTGTTTGCTATGCTTCCGATGCTTGCCGGCATCCTCTTTGCTTTACGCCCGTACTTTCGAAAGCTCGTTTCAAACTTGTAGTCGTCTTCGACTGGACGTCCGGCTATGGTTATGTCTCTGGATATTACTGAGCCCGCACCACCGCCCTCATCAAACGAGATGCGAATCCTCAGTAGAGCGTGAAGTTGCCCCTGCCCTTCGCGACCCGGTGTTTGAGGACCCCGGGAGAGCATCGCTATTTATGGATCTTATCACCAATATGGAGAACAAGTCCTACGTCGTGATACATCATGCCGTGGAACATCATGAATGACCGGTTGGGGTCAGCTGGCCATGAAAGCCGCTTAAGACACGCTCCTTGGAGCCTGCTCCAACCGCTCGTTTGGTTACAGGTGATGACTTGCTCATAAAAGTTGAATATCAGCTGCCCTTGACAGTTTACTTTTCACTCTGTCCTGGTTGTCTACTCCACCAACATCATATCTGCACAACATGAGATTGTTAGACGACTACAAGGTAGCGGCGTTTCAGACCGCGGACCGTGTGTTGTTGAAAGACGATGGATTCTCAAGTCTCCAGCCAACGCCGACGACACCGCGATTTGCCAACTCGTACACGAATCTGACGAGCGCACCAACCTCGCCTTCGATGGACATGCACCGCCTGAGAGCACAAGATCGTGACCTGAAACGTCGCATCCGCATGCTAAAAGTCGCATCGAGAATTCTGGCAGTCATTCTTTCCATCGCGACATTGATCCCTCTGCTCATGACCATCTCCAAATTCCTGGCGACTTGCAAAGTCCAATACTTCGTCAATGGCCAGACGCGAACGGCATGGGCGAACAATACCATCACCGCATACACGTACTCTTACGCTGTCATGATCGGGATATCGCTGATTCTCAACGTCTCGGTGCTGCTTGCATACTGCTGCAAGGAAGGGATCCGCTCAGCGAATCGAGTAGCAAGAGTAGCAACCACCTGGGCTTGGTTGATTATCACGGCGGACATTGTGATCTTGAGCATATCGCTCAGTGTATACCGGTACGGGAAAGAGCCTGTGGATGGCAGATTCAGGGATCTATGGGGCTGGACATGTTCGAGCGCGGCGCGAGAACTGCAGGAAGTCTTGACTAGCGTTGATTTCGATTATTACTGCAATTTTCAGGTACGTAGTCTTGTGAATTTGGTCACTTATTACATTTTCAGCTGACGAGCGGTCTTGAAGTCGAGCTCTTTCTGCTTCGGATTAGCCAGTGCAGCTGGGGAGATCCTGAGTGCTATTCTTTTAACGCTTTCGATTCAACGACGGAGGTCCAAGAAGCAAGTCAGAAGGGCCACGCTGCTGCTTGAAAAAAGCCTGCCTCTGCTGTGTGAAGAGGTCAACATTGAACATCCCGTGTCGCGTGTCTAGTATTTCACCGCTACAGAAGTAAGGAAGCTGCCGCGACGCTGTCGTCATGAATTCGGTGCGGAGATAAAACACTGGCGGATCGAACAAGCCAACGATTTTGTTAAAATGGATTGGGGAACGCACGCAGAAGTTGAGCCTGGAGGTCGGTAAGATCAATGGTTGCGTCTGCTGCGCGCCCGGCTCGTCAGAGCCGCAGGCCGGCTGTGAGGATAGTGGAACAGCTTTGAATACAAATCGAAGTGATCAGCGGCTTGGCCACTCCGACCGTACATGTCTTGTTTTCATCCCACGAAGGTCAGGGCCGCTGGCCGCCGCCTCTGGCGTACTCCAGGGCTTGCATGGGGTTTGTGAGCCTCTACCAGCAGCGACGCAGGCCAGAACGACTCAAAAACTCTGCATCATGGGTGTATGGGGAACAACTGCCAACCAAAAGGTCTTGGACGCTGGGTGAAAAACAAGTCATATTATACAGTGCTTGTTCAAATCCGCACATCTTGCCGGATGAACTCGCCATACATAAGTTTAGATCTGAGAAAGCTTGTCGCGCGCTGTCAGCCTAGAAGCAACCATAAGACGTCAAGTTTAAAGCAACTCATGTCAAATCTGCCAAGGAAGGACCCCGATGCGAGCATCAGGCATTCGCCCAAGACCGTCCGAGCAAGCGGCGCTGCCGCACGCGATTGTGGCCGGACGCCTCCATCCACATGCCGGCCTTCTTGATCGCCCGCGATCATGTTAGACGGCACGTTTAGTTTTACTGGGTTTCGTCTTATCAGAGTGCTAGTAGTCATGCCATATACCGTCGTTCTGACATTTCTCAACATTGTTGAAGAACGCCTCCATGCGACTATGGATCCAGCCTGAGTCCACGCCTCTGGTAGCATCTCCTGCGTTGGGCCGAGCGGTTGTAGAACAACGCATCCCGGTATTGACAGAGTATTGCACACAGGATGGCAGAGACTCGCAGATGGCATGGCAGGCTTCAAGTGAATCGACGGGTCCTTGGTCTTCGTCACTGTGATTGTCCCAATTGGTACGCGGCTTCGTGGTACGTGGCAGAACGTAGCTGGCGAATACGTCTTTATGAGACACATAACCCGGCTTATGCTAAAGTGAATGAAGATTAGCAGTGTTGGTAAACGTATTTGGGACCACGTACCTTTGATGCCAGTGATTTCATGATGGATTCCTCTTGAAAGGCAAACAGGTCTCGCACGACAGCTGGCGAGCTATGATGATATGACGCACTTGGGCCACACCACATGTTGTTGGTCGCATAATTCATGTTACCCACTGGATCTCCCTGGAAAATGGGAAATGCACCGAGAAGACGGGTGCCAGAATCTTTGAAGGCCTTCCCGAGGACACAGTCGCCGGCCCAGTGCCCGTCGGTAAAGTCCTCCCATTCTTTTTGGTGATTGTTGAACATAGAAACAACTTGTTGCATGGCCGGCCGGGAGGCTACAAATCCTGCACCGCCGTGAGCAAACTCAATGTCGCCGATGTTAATCTGCGCGCCCATGTAATGGTTGACCTGCCAGTCTAGCCGGCCCAGGTATTCGAGCAAAGTGTGCCAAAACAAGAAGGTGTCTGTTTCTACGAAGACAAACCACTTCTTGCCGGGGTATTCTTGCAATGTGCGGTTCAGCATGGGCAAGAATTTCCACTTGTCGATTTTCCATCCAGGATTGTTATCTTTGCCTGAAAAGAAATCAGAGACTGTCAAATTGATGCTGAGGTCGATTTTGACATACCCCCTCCTCCGCGGGGCGGATTAATAGGACCGCTCAACTCGGAATTCTTGAGCGCGGCCCTTCCGGATTTTTGCAGACGGCGCCACAATGCGAAATCTTCATGCTCAGCTCTGACCTTAGCATCAACTGATTCAAGTGCATCTATTATCAATTCGCCCTCGAAGGTCTCCTCGACATCGGAGAAGATGAGATAATCCGTATAGCAGCGCATTGTCGTTTCCAAATGGACGGGCAATTTGTCTCGTAATTCAGTCGAGCCGGTCTTCATCACGACTACGACATCGTCGGAGCCAGGGAGCCCATAGCAGGCAGGACGAGAAGCATTCGGTACGAACTTGCTTGATGAATGTGCAGACGGCCAGCCGGTCCGTATCGGTCGCGCGTTTCCGCTGAACAAAAATGTGTAAAGAAGAATTAAAGATATCACGCCAAGAAGAACATATTTATCAAGTACAATACGCCGGAATAACGACATCCTGATGCGAACGGTAAGCCAAGAAAGTGCCCGGAATGGTGCGAAGAATGATGAATGTGATGAATGAGCAATGAAAGTCGTTGAGATTGAAGACGAACACAAGTCACCTGGAAACACGTGACGGCAGCAGGCCGACGCGCGAGTAGCTGCTCGTGTCTACCTAGGCGTGCCAGGCACTGTGCTAGCGATGCTAAACTGTGCTGAAGAGAGGGTAACTTGGGCAGAGATGGGTTTATTTTTCACGGCGCACGTGCGTGACACGGAGAGAACAGGGCACGAACAGCCAAGGGGGGACTTTGGCTGGATGGACCAAAAATTGGTGTTCCTGGAGCCCTGAAGCTTGACTTGTCAGACACCAATGCTCGGGTTCATCGCTCCGCCACACGGGCCACACCAAAACGCCCTCGCCTACCGCACTAGGCCGCAATCTTGGGCCGGTGGATACGCAACTAGCCAATCAAGGCATGCACGGGTTAGGGGCGGTAAGACGAAGTCTGACGAACTCAGGACTGCGCTATTTCGGTACACTAAACAGTGCACCGTAGGTCCCGAACGACGACATCGTCTTTAGCTCGAGGAAGCTACCAAACACCGCGAGTCCAGCTCGTGGCAAAACCTCCGCATCGAGTGTTCTACTACACACGACGCTGTCACAAGTCCGTATGCACTCGAACCAGAGTCGCTAACGGATCGTGTAAGGTCAAGCGATGCCGCCCCAGTTCGATTAATGAGAAATATCGTCGGGTGGCAATTGTCGACAGACATGTCTCGACGCGATTGCGGCACAGTCAGCGGCAAGCCTCAGATCTCCATAGGATAAGGGACGTCCGATGAAACGTCTAAGATAGGACGGGTCACTTTCTACGCGCGAGACTATTTCCCATACCATTCGCCAATGCAGACTCGGCCTGTGCTGCCGATCATGTCCTCTCGTCCCTTATCATTTACGCCTCACGCAAGGCGTTGAAGCATGACTGCCGAGTAGATTGGCGAGTGTCCAGCGAGGCCGGCACACCATCGCAATACCTTGCGATAGTTGACAGGGCTTGAATTTCAAATTGCCCCATGCGCAAGATGTGTTGTATTCACTGGCGCTAAGATGTTGTCACAGGATTGGCGACTATGCACAGACAGCCCGAGGCTTGCATGCGAGAAAATGAATAGAGCGCATGTCTGCACTTGGACTTGTATCGGAAGTCCCGCACTCTTTCCATTTGGCTCATCTCTCAACCTTTCAAGCGACTTCCGCTCGCTCGCGCGAAGTGCTGTGCTTCACGCAAATACGTCTACGACGCTGATATCAAAATGGTGCTCATCACTCTGCAATTGTTATGTTCGCTCCTTTTCATCACATCGGCCGTCGCACAACGGACAAACTTCCCAGTGTTACCAAGACCCAACGATTATTCAGACGGCAAATTTCTGGTCCCGAATACTGCTCAGAACCAAGTCTACCCAAACGGAATCCAGCTCAATGTTACTTGGCAGACTACGTTCCCTCAAATTAATCTCTTCTTCATCATCGACAACAACTTTGCTCAGCCTGTGCAGCTTCTATGTAAGTGATTCGAGCGAAAATCTATTGAACATCATATGCTAATATGCTTGCAGCTGGTCTGACTGTCACTTCCTATCTCTGGACCGTCAACGACTACGGCAATAATACAGGCGTTTTCTCTTTCCGAATCACGAACTCTCGGGGTAGCGACAGCGATCAGCTTGGAGGCGGATTCTACACCGGCAACTTTTATATCTCGGATCCTGCCCTTGTCTCACCGACAACGTCGGTCGTTCGAACCACCGCAACAACTACCTCACGAACCTCGACAGATGCCACCACGGCAACTACGACGTCAACGGCAACCACTGCGCCGATATCGACGGCCACGTCTGCGGGCGCGACGACAACTTCGTCGTCTTCGCCGGCTGGAATAACTGCAATTCCTACGTCCGAAGCAACTCCACCACCACCAAGTTCAAACATAGGGGTGGCCGTCGGAGCTGGCGTCGGAGCTGGCGTCGTCATCATCGGCCTCATTGCTGTCCTGATTTTCTGCTTTCTGCGCCGGCGAAAGAGGCAAAGCGATGCGCCGGCCAACCCCCAAAACATCATCCACGGCGACCCTGGTGCCGCCCAGCTTCCTGCCTATGCTGGTCATGAGGCTTATTATGCAACGGCTCCAAAAGAGGCATCAATGGCCGGCCAAGTCTATGAAGTGCCTGCAGAGCGAGAGATTTCGGAAGTCGCCGCCCATTCATACTACAAGCCTGGTCAGGGAATATCTGCGCAAAGCCCCCTTGAACTACCAGACAACTCCTTCGTCGCTTTTAACCCGAATCGCAGCGTATCCGCATCGCCTTCCAATATGACACCTTACCGGACGCCCTCCAACGGGCGCGGTTAGTCATCGTCCCGTATATCTTCAAAGAACAATATGGGAGTGATTCAATCATCAATAGCCCGTGTTATCTGTTCAGATGAGGGCGTATGGTATGGGATGGAATGGAGCTTTGTTGTCAACATTTGTGTAGGGAAGAGCGCAGCGTCGATACCAGCTTGTGCCGGTCATTATGAATAGTAATGCCTTTGTTAAATAGCGTTTTTTCTTAGCGTTTGGTTTCGAACAGGAATGATAATAAACGAATACCGTTGATAGGAAGGCGACGCAGTGCGCTTTGCCACACATACTCTTCTGTGACCGCGGCACGAAATGATGAATTGAGTGATCAGATACACGTTCGAAACTCTTGACCATATTGCTCCCTTGTGCAGTGATTATTGTGAATTTGGAAGAAGACATCATTTGATGATGCAGATGATTAAGTGATTGTAGTGCCAAACGATATTTCATACTACTTGTTGAGAGTGTAATCGCCGTGACGGAGTCGGATAGAAAGTTTGAAGAACCAAAAATGAATATGATCTATCAATCCCAATGTACATCATCGCACTTGTTCTTGCGAGTCGCCAAAAATTGCTGCATTCTCTCGTTGATCCAACCCGACTCCACGCCCTCTTGAGCTTCTCCGATGTTGGGCCGATGATCGGTGGTATAGCAAACACCCTGTGCGGTATTGAAGGAATACTGCAGACAGGAGCTTGTCTGTTGACATAAAGCTATGCATTCCTCAGCCGAGTTCACATCGCTCTCTTGCTGATCGCTTAGATTGTTCCAACCGCTTCGGGGACGTGTTGTTTGCGGCAAGACAAATTTCTCGAAGACATCGCCGTGTGTTATTGTGCGTGGAGTCTTCTACAAGATTATGTTGTTAGCAAAAGCTTCGGCCTCTGGTCGATCTCCGGACTGCACTTACTCCTTTGAAACTTGCGATCCATTCCTGTTCGAACTTCCACAATTGCTCGACCAGGCTTGGTGGGACATGGTGATATGAGACCGCCGGAGAGCACCAAAATGTATGATCGCTGTAGTCCATATCGACGACAGAGTTACCCTGCAGCATCGGCCAAGCGAACTGCAAGCCTGTGCCGCTCTTGGCGAATGCCTGGCCCAGAACGCAATCCCCTGCCCATTGATGATCGGTAACATTTTCCCAATGGGTTTGCTTTTTTGCGCCTAAGAGTATATTGGTGACCATTTTCATAGCCGGCTGAGATACCAAAAATCCGGATCCGCCATGCGCAAATTGGATGCCCTCGGCTTCGATCATTCCTCCAACGTACCACGGTGCGGTGTGACCTAGTCGTTCGAGATACTGGAGCATTCCATGCCAGAAGATAAAGGTGTCCGTCTCAACAAAGACGTACCATGGCTTGTTAGGAAATTCCTGATATGTCCGAATCATCATAGGCAGGAATTTCCATTTGTCTAGCAGCCAGCCTGGATTTTCCATATTCACTCTACCGCCATCCGGATTTGTTGGACGGTGCTTATCATCATAAGTAAGAGCTAGCCGTCCTTGATGACCTTTCTGCAATCGACGCCATAATGCAAAATCCGGATGAGTCTCTTTGATAGACGTGCTAACAGACTCCAGCGCATCAATAATTTTCTCGCCTTCGAAATCATCATCAAAATCTGAGAAGATCAAGTAGTCGTGGTAACAGAGTATCGTTGTCTTGAGATGCACAGGTAGTTTCGCCTCCAGTTCTGTCGAACCGGTCTTGATTACGAGAAGTGCTTTGTCTGCGCCAGGCAGGTGGCGACATGCAAGGTCTTTCTCTTTTGCTGGACCTGCGGGAGCGCCAGAGCGCCATGTGTGATCAGAGCTCGTTGAGGCATCCGAACAGAAGAAACATGACGTCCATAATCGGCTGCGGAAATGTACCAGGAGTAAGAGAACACCCGCAATAATTGCAAGCCTCGGCAACAGTGATGGTCGTGGCACACGCATCATTCCAGTCTTGATGCGCCGTGTGCGGGCGGAGTCCGATGGGGATCACGGGCTGGAAATATGCATTTTCAGCGATGCAAAGTATTTTGGTCGTCACAGATGCGAATAGTCCTTCAGGAGGATCGAGAATGCGGCTCATCGCCGTCTCCCGTAGCGTCGCGGGTGACACACAGATAGCCCCTGCAGGTAACCAATGGCAGCGGGCAAATAGGCGTGCCCGTACACTATAGCGCAGGATAAAAATAAGCAGCGGTAATTTGCCAATGCATGTCTTCGTCGGATCGCCCCGTCGCCTCGGCATGTTAGTGTGCGCCCAGACGAGACTTGTCTGGCGCTCGGCGATCTGACACCGTCCTTACCCAGTTGCCCGCAGTTCCATCCGGAGAACATCATCTCGTCCAGATCATTGCGTTGGATCCCTTAGATGCACTGTGACAAGACATCCACCGCTTGGACAAATGTCTGATCGAGCGGGGGTTTGTATGTCATGAAAACTACAACCGGTGAAGTCGCGACAGGCCATCGGCTTTAGGACGAGAAAACCTCCTCGAATCAAATCGGCGGGAGATGCCAGCGAAATGCGGCACAGCAGCTTTAATTTGACGAGCGAAGGGTTGAAACAACGGTCTATCAGGTCCCCTCACGGTCATGGTGCACGCACCTTTTTCTCATATGCATCATGACATTCATGCAGTGATCTGCACGCGGACGGCTGAAGAGACGTTATCAATGGGCGCTTCTGCGCCCGCCCAACACGCAAGGCAAATGTCACTAGGACCACGGTCAATGCGGCAGTGGCGGATGATGTCGTAGCTATACAGCGCCTGCAAAACAGCTGATGCCTGCCCGACATTGCACTTCCTCGACATTCCCTTTCCTCGCCTGGCACCACCGACCTGTGGTGCGATCGTGAGGCAAAGATGAAATATCCATTGAGCATTCTTTCACACGTGCTGTTTGTCGCGCAGCTGGCTGCTGCACAGCGCACGACTTTTCCGAATACTTTGTCGAATTATCCGACGACGCCCGAAGGAAGTTTCATTCGTCCCACCCTTGATCAGGGTCAGGTCTTTCAGAACGGGTCGAAGTTGATTGTGACCTGGTCCTCCGTTTACGTCAAAGCCAATTTATTTCTCATCGCCGACGACGTGTTCTGGTACCCCAATTGGCTTTTGGGTAAGGAACATACTTGCAGACGAAACCGAAGCATCAGCTAATCTTTATTGAAAGCGAATACTACGCAAACTTCCTACGAATGGAGCGTGAACGACCATGGCAACAACACATCTTTCTTTCGCTTCCGCCTCATCAATGCGCTCGGAACCGAGGAAGAGCAAGCTACAGGAGGCATAGAGAGCGGAGCTTTCTGGGTCGCCGATCAGGCCCTGGTCGATTCTTTCAAAAAACCAACGACGACTGCTCCGCCAGTGGCCCTGCCAGTAGCTACAACAGCACCTACAACGCCAGCATCGCTGAACGGTGTCTCGACGTCTGCAAATTTAGGCTCTTTGACCAACACAGCCACGACCGCCACCACTGGCACAATTCCATCCACCGCGACCTCTAAAAATTCAACAGGCATCTTATCGATGCCAGTGGCAGCAACAGTGACAGTATCGATCGCGCCGTCTACGACCGCCGCAGCTTCTAGCTCCAATGATGCTGCACCGACTACGAGCATGGCTATGGTCGCGGGCATCAGCATTGGCGCTGGCGTCTTGCTGATAGCCCTGACGGCTGGCCTAGTCTTTTTCCTCTTCAGGCGGCGAAGAAAGGACACAAGCGCCGTCGGCTCTTCCAAAGAGATCACCGAGGAGCCTCCCCAATATGCCCACAATCCTTCTTATTCTTCGCTGGACCTCCCGAAAGAGGCTCCTGGTGACGCATGCGTCATGGAAATGCCGGGCCATTCTCATAGCATCAAAGAAGCACCGGCCGGCGTATATTATGCTGAAGCGCCAGGTCATTTCGGACAACCACACGAGTTGCCTGCTAGCTATGGCAGAAAGTCTATGAGTGTTCGCGAACTTGCGGCACATCATGGTGACTGGAGATCAAAACCGCTCCCTGCTCCGTTTGACAATGGCAGATAGTATCATACTTAATGTAAATAAATTTACGACGAATGACGAAAGATCTAAGAGAATGTCCCATTATTGCAAAGCGGCTATAGCTTGTTCATCAAAGAATGAGTGCAATGCATCCTGACTAGTTCTTTTGTGTATTATCAATCTCGTTCCGTTGGAATGATGCAAGGTATCTCAACCGAGGTACCAGATCATCGGGGTTGTCGGTGGCAAGCAATACGACGACCGTGAAGAACTCCAGGCCTGATTCAGGACAGGGTCGAGGCCGGCATGCTGGTTGGATAAGCACCTATTGAACATTCCGACAAGGCTCATATGTGCATACGAAATGGCGCGACCGCGCCCGAGCCGCAAACCCGGCCGTGTCTCCACAATACCCCGATCGGATGAAGGCGTGTGCGCTCGGCGGCAAGCAATTGACAGGCTAGTCTACATCACATCCCGTTGTCTACCGAATTCGTTTAGACGATTTGAGGATTGTTCTGTATCGATGCTGGTGTGTCTAGGAGAGAATCCGGTCTGGAGAAATATAGACTCTGGACCGCGGCCGTGCTAGCTTGTTAGCGCGGTCATGGGTTCTAATTCCGGATTGTATGATATCCACGACTTGAGGAAGCTCATTCGGTGGTAGACTCGCATAGGCTTGATGGATGCGCGGCATGCGCGAAATCCGAGAAATGGCATGCACCAGCAATAGGAACGCAGGATCAATCTCGCAAGAAGAGCTGTAAAGGTCGCGAAAGGCCAAGCCCATTTCCCCAACTTTCGATGGCATTGGGGCACAGCAGCGGCAGCTCTCAACTCGACATTGGCAGGCTGGGCACTAGATCGAGACTTGCGAACGGTGGACGTACTACTATGAAACGTCAATCGAGTGTGATCGTGGGTGTATAACACGCTCATGCCATGCTCTCCTGCCGCCGGAGGTGAAGGGAATATAAGTACGGCCGCGATGTCGGCCGTCATATCTTCCCATATTATAATTGACTCTTGGGTAAGCGACAGATGAAACCTGTCTCGCTCCACATGACAGCAAACAACATCAATGAGAATGGAATTCCTCGTTCTTGTCTTTTGTGGAATCCTGTTCAACCGATTGGTTCTTGCACAACGAGCATTTTTCCCGCTAGATCCTCTACCGACTTTTCCAGCTTCACCAGCCGGGAGATTTGCCATCCCGAATACGGGCGGTAATCAAAACTATGTCTTCGGCTCCAAGATGAACGTTACTTGGACCTCAAGGTATTCTTCAAACAACCTGTTCATCATCTTCAACGACGACTTTGCGAATCCTCGCCAATTGCTGAGTGAGTGCTTCTTGTCCTGGTTGCAATTGTACCGGAGCTGACGAGCCATTTCAATCTTCAGCGGGAACGACGTTGTCATGGTACTACTGGGACATCAACGATTACGGAGACAATACGCATTACTTTCGATTCGCGATCCGCAATGCGGTGGACAGCGGCGATGGCCTCAACAACGGCATCAACAGCGGAGCTTTCTGGATCTCAAACGCAGCCGCGGTGAGCGCGGCCGAAAAGTCAAAGGCGGGAGTAGCAGAGCCGACCGTGGTCACGACGACAGCGACAATGGCGGCTCCGACTCCGAGCACTACTGCATCCGCAACGACCTCTTCACCGCCACCGACAACGACAACAACAACATCAGCAGCGTCGACAGCGACAACTTCGTCGGTTCAAGCATCTAGCGCAGCCATCACGTCGTCAACGCTGCTCAGCGCCAACATCACGTCCTCGGCTGCGAATACGACCTCGTCGATCATCCCACCAACCACATTGATAGCGACAACGACAGCAACAACAACAGCACAGGCCGCAGCACAGGGCAGCCAAAACACCAACATCGCGCTCGCCGCAGGCATCGGCATCGGCAGCAGCCTCCTGCTGATCGCCATCGCGGGCGGTCTGATATTCATCATGCTCCGACGACGCAAAAAGTCCTCCGGTGCCACCGCCACCGAGGGAAAAGACGACGACGGCGACGACCTCGTCGAGCTCGACCCCCGACCTCCCCGCTACATGCGGGACCCGGGCCACGAGGCGCCCGCCGACCACGCCTTCGTCGAAGCCCCCGGCCATCTTCACGACGACGCGAAAGAGGCGCCGACCACCGCGGGCGTGTCGTACTACTACGCGGAAGCGCCGGGGAATTCCCCCGGGAGGGCGCCGCCGCACGAACTGGCGGGCGGTGAGTGGCGGAGACCGATGGATGGCGCGGGGAGGAACCATCAGGCTGTCAAGACGGCGGATCAGAGCGATCGGGGCGAGTCGTGGAGGACGAAAGCCCAGCCGCCTGTGCCGCTGTTCTGATCCGCGCTGAGGATCGATAGGGAGTCTGGGATATGAATGGGGGCATGTTTGTGAGGGGCGAAATTTGACTGTGCAGATTTAGCGGGCGTTTCTGTCTGGGTTTCTTGCTCTTGTGATGACGAGAGACAAACGTAAGAGAGACCCGGTCTCTCGATGACGGAGGCACGCGATATTATTCGATTTTTCGTCTCTACACACACCTGGTCTGCTCATCGTCCATGTCAATGTCACAGCACGGTGAGTAAGATGCGCGGCCGTCGCGCGCGGTGTGCCCGGCAGGTCCGCGAACACCGCACCGCATCGCAGGGAGGCGCCCAGACGGGGTGACGTCCGCGGGTTGCGGTGCGCATGCGTTCAAGACGGTCCATACTCACGCCGGGGGACCTGTGGGTCGTCGCAGGGAAAAGACCCCTTCGCGTCTATATGTGTATATATCACGCAGATAACCGATGGCCGAACCGTTCCCTGGTCCCATATCCCACTGCAGTGGACGGAGTTTCACAGCGAGACAGGTGATCCATCCATGGTTGTTGGTCTTTCGCACGAGGAGGAGACGCGCTCTCATGCACCCGCGAGTCATGCAGGTGTGTGTGTGTGTGTGTGCCGAGCCAGCCGAGCTCCGTTCCGATCAGAGTGCGGGTGTCAACGAGTGTGTTCCATACCGGGCTGATGGGTGAGGTCCGCCGAGACTTCCCACATTTGCTAATGCAGCATTGTTCGACGAGTCACGGTCGCATGTCTGGGACGTCGCACGCCCAGAAGACGCGCGTGTGGATCGTGCGTGGCGGAGAGTGTCGTCCCTGTGATGATGGTGACACAGCCGGGATTCTTCCCTCCACGGCACAGCTGGAGCTCCCCCTCCATCAAATTGTCCACCCAACGCGCCCGAGCCACGGCGCCGCCTGAGCGCCATTTGTCACCATGATGGATACTGGGCCATGATGATATCGATGATTGATATTGACATCGATAATGATATTGATATTGATGATGACGTCTCAGTGGGAGTGCCTGTCGAGGAAGTACTATACAGAGATTCGCGTCATTTCCCCAATGGCACTACGTTCTGTGCGGATGTCGAGGAACATCAGGCACACAGGGGGGGGGGACAAAGTAGGTGCTGAATTACAAATTGACGGTGATGACGACGATAGACGTCCGCCGCATTTCCACCAAGGCCGTCCAAGCGCGGCGCGTCGGGCAACTCCAGCTCCACCTCCAGCTCCAGCTCCGTCATGGGCTTGGCCCTCCAGCATTATCAGTAGGGAGAGATGCAAGATTCGAATTCGGTTTGAACGTGAAAGACTTCGGGGGGTTGCGCGCGTGGAGATGATGCTGCTGCCCGAAAGTGACAATGACACTTCGTCCGCTCGCTCCTGTTCCCCAGCGGCTTTCACGAAAATGGGCTCCTGCCGCAGGATTTTTAGTTTCCTTGCACCTACGTCATGGGGACACCCAGAACGAGCCAAGGATGACCCTGGAGTGCTGGATGCGATAAAAGCTTATAATGACAATCTCGACGAAGAGTGGGAAACGCGGGCGCAAAATGAGAATAATAACTACCTAGTAGGTAAGGTGAAACCTCGTAACCGGGGAAGAACATGCATCTACAGCTGTAAACAAACGGTGGCGGCGGTACAGCACTCGGATCTGTGCTGCCATTGATTATTGTCTACTGTACATGTTATGATGGTGATGAGGTGAAGGAAACGGAGATCGTTTAACAATGCATTGGGGCTTTTCGTCGTCCCTTGGCAATCACCGTGAGAGATCACCTCCGAGCGAGCCATCCAAGTTCCGTTCCATATCGTACCGTGACGACGCTCGTGAGCTTCCAAGGGTTTGTGTCGTGGGTGTCGCATGTAACAATCCAAATCATTCGCGCCATCGCCAACTCAAAGCGCAGGTGCAGTGGTCATTTTCTTCCCCTTGGTACGCTTGCAGACACGGGCGCGCTTGTGGACAAGCCATGGAAGCCTCCTGGGAGACGACGACGCCCACGGATTTTCATTACATCATTCCCATCATCTCCAACCTGCATCATCCGCCGCGACATTTGCTGCTTGGCCTGCCTTGCTACCGAACTTTAATGTTTCCCAGAGCTTGCCGTCTCACTCCTCATCACAGTATTATATTATACTATACTATACCGAGTGGTATTCGGTTAGTGCTGAGACTCCACATTGTTGAATCCGTTGGCCGTTTTGGCTGGTCTCGTCTCCGTCTGTCGGTCTGTTTGCCCGCCTGTCCGCCCGTCTCTCTCTCTCTCTCTCTCCCTCTCTCTCTCTTGGTGGTGCCCTTTATCTCCCTCTGTCCCTCTCTGTCTCTCCAACTCCCACTCCACGTTTACCCGACACCGGGCCCGACCCAAACCATCATCATCTGCATTGTCCACGCACGCACGCACGCACGCACGCACGCACGCTCTCACGCTCTCACGCTCCCATACGCACGTCCCCTCCCACGCACCCTCACCTTTCACTCACTCACCCAACCGACCGTTGACCGACCAGACATTCTTCTCTCACATCCTTCCCTGTTTCCACCTCTTCTCACCTGCATAAACCGCCATTCCGACCATTCTTCACGTGCGACAGGTTCTACATCAAACACTCCAGCTTCCGCAATCCTCTTCCTCCCTCTCTTCTCCTCGTCATCTTCCCCTTTCGCATTGACAACTCGTCAGCGAGAAAGCAGCATGTCGGCTCCTCTGGGCTCCGTGCCGGTGCCAAACAATGCTCAACTCGACCGTGGCTACGGCGTGGGCGCATCCGACTTCGCCGATGAGGCGCCACTCTCCCAATCCTCCCACGGATATGGGGAGTTGGGGACCAACAACGACGGCAACTTTAAGCGCTCTGCCTCCTCCGCATCGACCACGGTCGGCGGCGGTGTGTCGCGCAGCAATACCCTGAAGAAGCGCTCCAGCGTGCGCCGGACGGGGAGCTTGAAGCGCAGCGGTAGCCGGAAAAGCCTCCGGGCTGGCAGCATCAAGGGTTTCGGTGGCCTCGACAGCGATGACTTCAACAGCGCATTCCACACTCCGATCCCTACCAATGGCTCCCCCACCGAAGCACTCGCGAACCGATTCCAGGCGTGGCGCCAGCTGCTCAAATCCCTCATCACATACTTTCGCGAGATTCAGAATTCCTACGAGATGCGCGCCAAAGCACTGCACAAGGTCCAGAACACCATCTCGAACCTGAGCCATCCGGCGGTCTTCATGGACGAGAATGGTCTGGGCGAGGCCACCCGTATCCTCGACGATTATCACAAGCGCTCCATCGCCGAGGCCAACAAGTCCCGGGACATCGAGGATGACGTCATCGGCGCACTGACCGGCCTGCGCAGCGACCTCAGCCAGAAGATCAAAGAGATCAAGAGCTTGAGCGGCGACTTCAAGAACTCGGTCGAGAAAGAGAAGGAATCGACCAGAAAGGAAGTCGACAGGCTGCAAGATGCATTGGAGAATGCGAGCATTGCAGACGCCAGCGGCAAGGGCGATCCCTACGTGGTCCGACTTGGGGTTGACCGAGCAATTGAGAAGCAAATCGACGAGGAGAACTACCTGCACCGAGTGAGTCCCAATCGTGTGAGGTTTCGCGATGGTCGTTTACTGACTTTTTATACAGGCATATTTGAACTTGGAGAGCTCGGGTCGTGAGCTCGAGTCCATCGTGGTTGGCGAGATCCAGAAGGCGTACAACGCGTTGGCCGGGATCCTGAAGCGCGAAGGGGACGATGCATACACCACCGTCGAGAACCTCCGCACCGGTCCTATCACGATGCCCAAGGACCAGGAGTGGTTGCAATTCGTGACCCGCGACGAACACTTCGTCGACCCTAGCATCCCTCTGCGACGTGTCGAGGACATTGAATACCCTGGCAAACACCACCCAGCCGCGGCTGAGATCCGCGCCGGTATGCTGGAACGTAAGAGCAAGTACCTGAAGTCATACACTGCCGGATGGTATGTCCTCTCGCCCACCCACTTGCACGAGTTCAAGTCGGCAGACAAGATCTACACCCAGCCGCCCGTCATGTCGTTGTACCTTCCCGAGCAGAAGTTAGGCTCTCACTCCGAGCCGGGCTCATCCAGCCAGAAGTTCATGCTCAAGGGCAAGCAGACGGGAGGTCTCCACAAGGGCCACAACTGGGTCTTCCGGGCGGAATCGAGTGACACCATGTTGGCTTGGTACGAGGACATCAAGAACCTGACGGAGAAGACCGGCGAGGAGCGCAACGCCTTCGTCCGACAGCACGCCCGAAGCGTCAGCGGTCAGAGCGATCGCGCCACCGTCAGCAGCGACGGCATGGAAGAGGATGAAGCCGACGCGACCCCATACTCTGCGGCTTCAGCAGCTTACGCCGAGCCAGTTCAGCGGGCGCAGCGACCGCAGCCAGGTGAGTGAGTGCTGCGCCCTTTTTTAATTAATGTAATTCCAGGGCGAACACATACGCTGACCACAGATGTCACCAGGCGGGAGATTCCCATCTGATATGGCCCTTCGCACCATCGGCGCGGCCCATGCGCCTGCCGACGATTCCGACGACGAGCGGGACGTCATCGCCGCAGCCGGCGCGGTCCCCGGATCGGCCATGCGAAGCTACGGTGACAGCGACCCTTACCGCCTCGACGGCGTCGATTCTCATCTGGGGACCGCGCCGAGCACCGCGCCCGCTGGTCAGGAACTTTTCGTGAGCCCGACATCCGCCGCCAGAGAGGAACCGACGATTCCCGTCGCCGCTGTCGGCGCAGCCGCCCCCGAGACCCTTCAACAGACCCACTGGCAGGAGCCGATGCCTCTCGTGCAGGAGGCACAAGCTCCAGCTCCCGCACCGGTCGCTCAAGCACCACAGGCTGCCGTTGCCCCCGTGTCCGCGCAGGCCGTCTCGGCGTCCCATTGGCAGGCTCCGGCGCCTCTCGCGCAGCAAGCTCCAGCTCCTGCGCCGGTCGCTCAAGCGCCGCAAGCCGCGGCTGCACCAGTGTCCGAGCAAAGAGGCACAGCTCACTGGCAGGCCCCGGCGCCTCTCCCTCAATCATTCTTCACCCCTGCTCCCTCGGCGCCGGAGCCGACGCCATCTGCCACGGGCGCTCCCTCGACCGCTCGGGCGATCGCCGACGACGAGTCCAGCAGCGCTCCTCTCGTCGCCGGTGCCGTCGCCGGCGCTGGTGTCGGTGCCCTCGCCGCCAGCGCGAGCAAACCCGAGCCCAAGACCAAGATCGAAGAGCCCAAGACCACCCCCTCTGCGCCGCCCGCAACGACCTCCGCATCCCCCGTCGTCTCGGAGCCCGCCCCATCCAACCTCGACAGCACCGTCATCCCCGCCCCCGCGACATCTTCCACCGTCGTCGCTGCTCCCATCCCTACCACCAAGGAGGTGTCTGAGCCTGCCGCACCTGTCCCCGAGCCTGCCGCAGAGTCCACGCCATCAGCCGCCCCCTCGTCTTCTCCCCTCGGCGGCCTGGAGGCCAAGGGCGCCCGGGAAACCGGGGCCTTCTTCCCGTCGGTCGTCAGGCACAACACGGACATGAGCATCAGCAAGCTGCACGTCCCGGGAGAATACCCCAAGAAGCCGTAGATCCGCGGGGGAAATTAACTTTTTGACGACGCGATGAGAGAGAGATTTTGGTGGAAGAGGAAAATCCGAAACTATTTGCAAGGGGGTCTTATGGGGCGATGAAGAGATGATGGTATTTCCTATTTTTGTGTGCGCGCGTGTGTCTGCCATTTTCCGTTTTTTACGTGTCTGTGTCTGTGTTTGTGTTTGTGTGTGTGGTTACATCTTTTTTTTGTCTTGGATCTCGTGTCAATCGGTCTTTTCAGCGGAGAACTATACATACTTACGATACATAAATCATCCCCTTTCTGTTCCATCAACCGGATCGCCGTGAGTCTCTCTCCACACACAACAACACACAGGATCATCCCTTTATCCACAAGTTCAGGACACACACACACACACACACACACACAAATGATCCCACTTCTTCCAAACGACGAGCCGCTAGACTTGCCAAAAAAGGAAACCTGTCGAATCACCAAAAGGCCATATTTTCATGGGTGGATGGGTATCTTTCTCGTTTTTTCCTCTAAGCGGTGGAACAACAGGCCGGCTCGAGGGGTGATACCAATCGTCAATTAATTGCCGAGGGGGGAGTCCCCACCCGATCGATCCGACATCGCGATCCCTTCTCCCTCTCTCTCGCCATCATCGTCTTCATCATCATCTCCCCCAAGATCTCGGGTTTTGGACGGAACGATTTATTCATTCATTTATTTATTCATTTATTTTAATTTGCTCGCACGGAATCCAGGGAGACCCATCCCCGTCATGCCGTTGTCGTCGGCGTCGTTGTTGTCGTCGTCGTCGCCGCCGCCGCGGAGGGAGGAGCCACAGCAGCATCGGCAGCAGCAGCAGCAGCCTGGTTGGGGTAATGCTCGAATTTCCCGCCGGGCTGCAGGACGCCGATGCGGTCGTACAGCGTCCGCGCGCGGATGTACGGGTCCAACTTCCAGTAATTCCGCGTCAGTTCCGCCGCGAGCTGCGAACGGGCCGGGTTCTCTCCCGCTCCTCCTCCTGCGGCCGGCGTGGTCGTCGCAGCAGGGGTCGCCGCCCACGTCGCCGTCTCCGCCTCGTATCTGGCCTCGATCGCGCGGCGTTCCGCGCGGAGGGCGTCGCGCTCGGCGGCGTTCTGCATGAGCGCGTTCTCGCCGGGCGCCGGGTCGACGTAGGCGTAGGCGTAGTCCTCGCGGCCGCCGAGCTCCTTCATGATGCGCTCGGGCGGGCCGATGAACTTCTCCAGCCCCGCCACGTCGTTCTCGAAGTGGATCTTGCTGGCCACGACCGGGTCCAGCCAGCCGCGGATCACCTTCCACACGCCCTGGAAGATCCAGGGCGACTTGTAGACGACGACGGAGCCGAGCGACTCCGGGTAGTTGGCCTCGAAGCACTTGATCATGAACTTCACCGGCGCGTAGTCCATGTTCGCGAGCGAGAAGTCCTGCATGTCGAAGACGATCGTCGCCGTGTCGATGCTGGGCGTCAGGAAGAGCCGGGTGGTCTCGATCGTGTAGATGGTGAACCGCTCCATGGTGGCGTCCTCCTGCTGGCCGGATCGGTGCAGGCGCACGCGGATGTAGACGACGGGTCGGCCGGCGATGTCGTGGCCGTGGATGAACGATTTGCCGGCCTCGGCGATGTCGAGGAATTCTTGCCCGGCCTTTCGGGCTTTGGCGTCGGTGTTGTTGGGGTGGGCTTGGAGCTGGGCGTCGCCTTCGCCCTTGGCGACGATGCTCTTGTAGGGGTCGACGCCGAGGGTCCAGTGGATTGTTGATACCAGCATGACCATTGCGTTCGGGACATCCCATTTGCGCGCGCGGAGGTACCGGAGCACGATGGCATCGGGGTTGTCATGCTTGACGAGATCCCAGAACGCCGCGCGAAGTTCGGCTGGGTTGTCGGATGCGAGCGCGGCCTCGAACTCTTTCGTCTGACCATGCTTGTCCTCATCCTCTGCATCTTTGCTCTTGGATCCGAACAGGCCGAACCGACTCTTCTTCTTTTTCTTCTCCTCGCCCTCGTTTATTGACGACAAGGTATTCGCTCGAGCCCTTCGCACGGTCTCGGGTAGAACGCCGAAGATGTCGAGCAATTGCGCCCACATTTCTTTTAACTTTGCCTCCTGCTCGGCCGTCAGATTGCCCGGTCGGCCGGGAGCGGTGGGAGCGTCCATATCGTCGGCGAATTGCACAATGCAATCTTCCTGCGCCGAATCTTGTACCGAAGTTGGTTGGTATAGTCTTGTTGCGAGATATGCGACTGCAACCGAGATGACAGCGGCGGTGACTAATGCGACAGGATCTACCGCACTTCGTTGAGCATAGAATCGCGGTTTTGTCTTATAAGAGGAGGCGATTGGTTTCGAGGAATTCGCGCCGTGGACAAACGAGTCCGAGGTCTTGACGAACTGGCGAAGCGGAGTTGTGCAGATCCGGTGACGACACAGCCGTGGATTAAAAAAGCGGGCAGGCAAGTGCGAGTTCGGCAAGGAAATTGCTCGATGGAGTTCGCGATGCAGTGATGCGACGGGAAGAGGTCGCTTGGTGATCATCATAATCGGAGACAATGCGTCCGGCTGTCGTCCATCAAAAAATAATCCTCTATGATGAGCTCATGCCCGCCGATGCTGCAACAGGATGACGATGTTTCTCGGCGTATCCTGGTGGAATTTCCAGCATGCAAGCCGAGCTCCTCCGACAGTTTATTTGTCCTTGTGGTATTGAATATAATTTATGGTAATAAACATGCGATTCGTTTTCACCACGACGACTGTATACGGACTTGAGGATATATCAATTACGTTAAGCAGGGTCTCTGCTACTTCGGTTCGTGTAGATAATTGATCTACATTCCGACCGTGGTTTGAATGTCGCAAAGAAAGCCATAGACGTAGTGGTACTGCGGGTGTCGACCCACGGCGCGTGCGAAACGCGTGTGCATGTAGGGCGGGCACATAATTTGTGATGATACCAGGCCCCGCGTTCAACAATGGACACCGAGGGACAATTCGCAAACCTTTCGCGAGGGAAGCCACAGCATCTCATCAAAGCCATTCCGGATTGCACGAATCGAGGTGATGGCGACGGCAACTACACCGATTGATCTTTCAGGATCGACGCGCAACCGCTCCCTCTCACGCTCACGCTCCGGCGCATTGCCATCTCGCCCGACGACTCCCCTTCGACCGCCATCACGAACGAGTCTACGCGCATCCCAAACCACACCCACCGACGGCGCTGCCGCAGGAACTCACGACCACCCTCTCAATGCCCTCGAACATGCCTTCAGCGAACTCAGCGACGGCATGGCCGACCTCGAAGCCAACTTCATGCATCTCTCCCTGCTCCACGAGTCCCTAGGCCGATTCAACGAGAATTTCGGCGGGTTCCTCTACGGTCTGAACATGAGCGCCTTCTGCGTAGATTTCCCGGAAGCGCCGATCCCGCAGTCCTTCTCGCGACAGCGCGAGGGGGCCTACGCCGGCGAGCAGTCCTCCATGTTCCAGAGCCACACGGGCGGGACGCACATCCCCGATACGGAGGCGACGTTCCTCACGACGGACACCAGCTTTGTGGACAATCCTCCGCCGACGAATGTCAAGGCGAGCAAATACAGCTCGGTCCCGGGGTCTTCGGCGACGCCCCGAGCGAGAGGTTCACGTGGTGGTCCTGCGGCTACGGGTGGAAGAGGGAGGGGAGGAGTGGGAACAGGCACGGGTGGCAGTGGGATCGGACGAGGTGGACCAAGTGGACGAGGCGGTGCGTCGAATACGGGGAGTAGGATAGGACGAGGAATCCCTCGAGGTAGAGGTGTGCGGTGAAATGATCATCCATTGAGTAGCATAATAGATACCATTTGCAGGATTGAAAGAGACGGATAGCAGCAGTACCTTGCAGATGGGGCGATGTGCAACTGAAGGCGTCTCACTCTCACGTGCGGTGTGGGTATGATTATCATCCTTCTGTAATCCATGTCAGACTCACGAATAGCCCTTGAGAGGTCTGCGGCAAACCCAATCAGCACTGTGCTGGTGTGAGAAGGCGGCGTCTACGTAGCAAGATCATCACAGAGCGGACGGTGTTCAAGATTGCCAAATTTGCTCAAGCACCTACATCGAGCCACAGCACATCACAAGTGGAGGAGGCTTCCGTCTTTTATTAGCTGAGAGGGAGTTCTAGTGAGGAGCGAAATAATGCTTCCTCCCGACTGATGTGTCACTGAAGGATCGCAGCTGGATGGATGTGCGCCTGCAACGTGAGCTGATCAGTGCGCGTTGCAGTCTTCTCTAGACACCAGGAGTTTCTCTTGGCCACAAGCAATACCTTCCAGTCAAGCCCAGAATTGTCTCTCTCCGATGTCTTCTTCCACAAGTGAATGACCACTGGGCCAAGGCTTTCAGGCTTCGAAGCGACGGCTTGGCCTTTGTCTGTGGGCTCCATTGAGTATGGAGATGTTTACAGTAGAGGTGAGGAGGATCTGCGGCTCACTGCGTCGTCCGGTACTCGTCGTTGTGCACGGTGGCTGGGAGTGCATCTGGGCTACAGTCATGTCCCCCAGTTTAGTGCAGGAAGCTGGCGGAGCTCACTGCGCGAGATGGTGTCATGATCGGATACTTCTCTGGCTGTTCCCCGTGTGTCAGTCCGGCACTGCCAGTAGCTCTTGGGCGTCGGCAGACCGGATCTACAGTGCACACACAATGCCTATCAACCAGGAAAGTGGCTGGTGATCATCATCATCATCATCATCATCATCATCATCATCATCATCATCATCATCATCATCATCATCATCATCATCATCATGTGGTTCACGGGCACGCTCGCCTGGACTTGTACTTGAAAACTTGGATACTTTTCCAACAGTTTCATAGCGCGTTTCTGTTGTGGACAGAGGACCTACGAAATCCCACGATGGGTTTGATAAACAGTCACGCATGTCGTGTTGCATAGATCGACTCGCCCTGGCGACACAGAGTGAATGTCTGCGAGTGCCCGGACTTTATGCTGATGTGCACAAGTCCTTCCGACGCGGGATTGTCGGACATCATCTCCTCCTTCCACCGCCAGTCTGTGCTGATGACGCCTCAAATTCCGTGGTGGTGCGGAGCACATGCCGATACGACACACGTCGGTCGTGAGCTCTGAACCTTTCTTAAGCTCGTAATGGGACACACATGCACGAAGCCTTGGAGGTGAGCATAATTATGTCTCAGCACATGTCGTCCCTACGATTCAGTCCGGGATGTGCAAGGGCAACAGTGCGCGACCACCATCTCGATCGTTGGGATATGTATTAGGCGAGGAGATCGTGCGGTGCTGCCTTTCGGAAGTTGGCGGAAACATGCATTTCTAAGCGGTCATATTTTTTCCCTCTTTCTACGCAGACCGCCGGTGTTTAATGAACTGGCACTATCCATAGCGAGTATAGCTTCGACCTCTCTGCTGCTCGGACTATCGTAGCAAAGCATAAGCTGACCCAAAGCGGATTCATGCGCACCAATTAGATCGCCGCATGAGTGGGATGGTCAAGTTGTTTGCACCATCGCATCCTGACGATTTCCTGATCACGAGCCGATCGTCGCGAGAGAAATTCGCTTGTGGGAAACCACTTCCTTCGCGCCTTTTCCCGATCAGGGAAATCTACAATTATAGCTTCATTAATGCATTCCATCCATGGTGTTGTTGGCGAAGATGCACAGGCCCTTTGCGAAGAATCTCCCGCGCCTTTCCGCCCTCGGCGGACGACAGACAATGTGAGACCGATGCCCTCCACCTTCACTTGACCCATCCCTCGTTGTCAGCAGGTTCCAAGAATGTGTGTTGACCACCGCGAACGATCCAATCGGAGCTTGAGTGACTCTGCCTCACACGTCAGCACAAAGTCACGCTCTTGGGACGAACCGCTGCTCTCATCATCGGAGATAGTGTCGGACGGCCGACGATGGTTACATATTACCCAGCCCACCCCCCATAGCTCGAAATGATGTTAAGGCCATTGCTTCAACAATCTCGGTTTCGTGTGCTTGTCATCACTTTCCTGTCTTACTCTAATCTCGCATACTTGTGGAAGGAATCCGCATAGCTAGTAGATGACCAACACATCGCGGACTCCACGTCGTGTGTGACTTGATCGCTATTTCGTTGTCACTACAATAGTTCTGCTCGGCGAAGCCTACAATCTGGAGCTGAACTCCCACCGTATCACAATCGCCAACGACAACGACAACGACAAGAACAATCCAGTACGACTCCGGAGACCAGCACGCAACTGGCGAAGCAAGTAGCTGAAAAATGCGGCTCAACAGCTCGTCGCTGCTAAGTTCGGCAGTGCTGATCGTTGCTCTCGCACTGCCACTGATCGAAGCACAACACAGCCATGGTGGTGCTTCAGACACGGGCATGGACATGTCCAGCCACGGCGCCGCAGAGGAGCCACCCGCGCTCGACCCCAACGACCCATGGATGAAGTCGCGTACGATGCAGAGCTATTTCCAGCACGGAGGCTACAGTACCTGGATGGTCGCTCATTCAACCCTCATGATCCTCGCGTGGGCGTTCGTGATGCCTTTGGCGATCATGCTGAGCATCGCTCGCTCGCGGTGGCATCTCCCTGCTCAAGGGTTATTTCACACGATCAACGGATTGGGTGTGCTCACCGGTTTCGTCTTCAATCACGCTACGCCGGATCTTTACGAGGGCAATGCCCACCACCCGCTCGGCTGGGTGTTGACTTGGTTCACGGTGGCTTGGACGGTCATGTCGGTGTACACGGCGTTGGGTGCGCGCGCGGGGAAAGAGCATAGTCCCACGCAAATGGGAAGAGAGGCGCCTGCATCGAACGCGGCGCAGCATGGATACTTCTCGCAATACAACGACGATGTCTCGCCGACACGCATGTCGCGAGACTCGGGCTTGGGCAATTCCCGGCAGAACTCGCAAGATTCCATTCTTCAGAAGAAAGAGCAGACCTCTCCGTTGTACCCACTCGCCGAAGATGTGGACCTTGATGATGAGGAGAAATACGCTGCGCCCGAGACGCGCGGGTTTCTGGGTCTCGGCCGTGCACAGGTCAGCGACTCGGGTCTTTTGCGAAAGTCTACTCAGCGTCTTACAACGATTGCGAGGACGGTTCAAGTCATTCTGGAGAAGACCATGCTCTTGCTGGGCTTCACAGCCATCGCCACTGGCTTCGTCGTCTACGGTGGCATTTTCCGGGACCTCCAGGTCTTATCCGGGCTGGCCCACTATATCAAGGGCGCTATTTTCTTCTTCTACGGGCTTCTGACTCTTGGAAGATGGATGGGAGCCTTTGCCGAGTTCGGATGGGCGTGGAATCTGAGACCAAGCCATCCCGCAGTGGCGAAATGGAAGGCGCGAATTCCTTCGGCCGAGTTCGTCGAGTCGTTCGTCATTTGGCTGTATGGCGTCAGCAATGTCTTCCTCGAGCGACTTGGGAGCGACGATTCGAGTTGGTCGCCGCAGCAATTGGAGCATGTCAGCATCACGGTTTTGTTCTTCGGTGGTGGCTTGTTCGGGATGATGATCGAATCCTCATGGGCTAAGGAGTTGATGAGCGCAACTGTCTTCCATCAAAAAGACCGGAGTGAGAGATCGGCTGATGAAGCTGGCTCCTCTCGATTTGATACCATTTCAAATACCCAGCGAGGCGCCGAGCGGGAGCAATGGGAGCAGCCTCACTCTTACCGCGTCTCGATGAACCCCATGCCAGCGTTGACAATCATGTTATTAGGCATGATGATGTCGTCGCATCACCAGGCGAGCATGGTCAGCACAATGTTACACTCACAATGGGGCGGGCTCTTTTCGGCATTTGCCATGGCCAGAGGTGTCACATATGTCAGCATGTACCTCAAACCTCCCACTTCCCATTTCGCCGGTCGACCGCCGAGCGAGATTGTCGCGGCATGGTGTTTGACTTCCGGAGGATTGATCTTCATGAACAGCGCGTCAGATAGTGTCTGGTCGATCGAATCGAGTGGTCTCGATGCGATGACCGTCTTCACCATCACCATGGGCGTGACAGGTATCCTCTTGGCGTGGGAAGTCATCGTCTTTGCCATCAAGGGCTGGGCGGTTCGAAAGGAGGGCGGTAAGCTCTGAGCGATGGAGTATAAAGCAGCGGGAGTTGCAGAGGTAACAGGATTCGAGTGCCCAATGGAGATCGAGAAACAGTACGAATGCCGCGAAGCAGATGATTGATGGAACTTGTGATGGATGAAGAGAACAGATACCCTTTGATTACCGATAGGAAGATTACGTTTGGATGGATAATGAGCGAAATGGAATGGAATAGGACAGCAGCATTAATGTAGGTTTGTTGACGGATTTGGAGCAGAAGTACGAGTGCCAGGTTTGCTTGATGTCGGTGTTCAAACATGCGTCTGTGTGTCAATGATCGCGTGAAGTCACTGGTGGAGTGCGAAATAAATCCAGCGCGGCCCGTGTGACTTCAGCGTTGCGCAGGTGAAATTTATATCAATTGACCGAATTTTCTTGAAAATATTCCCAGCGATCTCAAATCCTCCGTGATATTGCCGTTACAGTCACGAACATGGCGATAGAGAACAAGGACAAGAAGAGCAAGCGCCCAAGCAAGCGAAAATCGCAAACTTTAGGTATTGCTCTCCGCATCAAGTGCATGGTGGTCAAGCAGTCACATACTCACAAAAACCACCACGTTATACAGACACTCCAGATCATCCTTCCCAGATCCAAGACGAGCAAGAAGAGAGTATTTTGCCAAAATCCTCTCAGGGCAAGGGAGCTCAACCAATCGCTCTTACTCAAGCCGAAGAAGTCACTGCCGAGCAGAAATTTGCTGCATTCTACCTTCGGCAAACCACGCAGGAGTTTGCCGACGACCTTGACAAGCTCCGCACAGCGAGTGACTTCAATGATCGAAGCGTCGAGCTCCTGGTCGACTCCTTGCAGAAGGGAACGGCGTGCTTTGCAAAGTCGGATCGCGTGAGGATCGGACGAGCAGGCGCAGAGACTTGAGACCAAGCGAGATGATGGCGGAGGAGACAAAACCCAGGCATCACAGTCTCTGCTATCTGTCAACCCGCCACCAAACATGTATCGTATCTCGAGCCTGCCACGATCATCTGCAGGCATTTCACTGCTACGGAGGCCTCTTAGTCCGGTGCCGGATTTCAAGAACGCCTCGAATGAGGTCCAGGCAGTGGCTCTCATTATGAGGCCGTAGGCCGAAGTTAGGGGGCGCATGTCACCATTGCTACACACTGTCATATCGCGCATGGTGGCTGGTAGTACCTCGTGGACACACATATATGTGCTCCACACATTGCTGCACCGCTTGGGGGGAAATGTGGATATGTAGATGGAGTGAGGGTGTTACGTCTGGCTTCCGCAAATGGCACGCAAACGACGAACTCGTTCTCAAGGCTACAGTACGTGCTCGCACGGAGGATGCAACTTAGTCTCGGATTACGACATGTTTTCAACATGCAAATTAGATTCAGTCTCGTCTTTATACCTCCGTGCCAAGACACGAAACGACTACTGTTCCAAGCTGGAGGTTCCAAGGTCCACGGATTCCAAGGTTCCAATTATGGAAATATTAGGGTTGCGGAAGACGCAGGTGCGTTGTTTCGCCTACCTGCCCAAGTGGTCTTCTCGATCTGACTTTCACATCTCCAGTCGTCTGGTGAATCCTAAAACATCGATCGTACAAGTAGTGCACACTATTCTCGTGCGCCGAATAAACACGCGAATATGGTCTCTTGTGTTGCTCGTTTCTCAAATATGCTTGTATGTGCGTGCAATATGAGAGCTTACCGTCGGCGATGACATCACCAACAAACCAGAGGCATCTGCTTTCGATTCTGCTTCACCATTAAACTCCTCTTCGCCGTGACAAGATCATCTCGGAGATTGCACTCGGCATCAGGTGATTCTCGCTAGATAGCTCCTCACCCATCGAGAAGCTGTCATGGATGCTGGTGACGACGATGCGATTGGGGCCGCGCTCCAATCTCGAAGGATACCTCATGGTCGCTCGTCACGCGCAAGGGGTAAACACGGTAAAGGCGGCGGGGGATCAAGCCCTGCAGTCTTTGATCCAATGCGGGCCCTCGGTCATTATGAAGTCGAGATCGCTTCGAAGGCAAAGAAAAGCAGCGAGAAGCAGGATGATAGCGATTCATCATGGCTCGAGATCCACGAATTGACGCCCGGCGAGGATGGCTTCCTGGGCAGTTTCATGATTGCCAACAAATTGCATGGAATATGCATACTAGCGGGAAGCCGGCAGGGCTTAGCGAGCATTATAGAAGACCTAGAGGACCAGGCCGAAGACTCCGACGACTCAGGAGAGAATGATGAAAGTCACAGTGCCGAGGCCGGATCGCCAAATTCTGGCTCAGATGCGTCCGAAGACGGCGATGAAGCTGATCGTCAAAGCAACGAAATCGAGCTCGCAGACGAACGCATCAACAGGCGAGCCAGAGCATTCGAGAAGAACAGCTTTCGGAATCCGAAGTTTTGGCTGAAGTACAAGGCACATGTAGAGTCAGATGTACAGGGTACAAGCAGCACAGCTTCAAGAGCGTTGGAGAGCGACCGTGGCTACATCATCTTCTCCAACAACGCATGTCAAACGTTTGATGGAACATTGTCTGCAGCTTCGCTCGGCTGGGACAATGTGAAGTTTACTGGCCGCAAAGTTCGTCCTCGTGCGACACCATGTCCACTAACTTGGACCGGTTTCGACGAGCTGGAGATTGGTAGGAAAGCGGAGCCGGACGAGGAGCAAGTACATTAAGGGCACGATCTCAGTCCATCATACATATTACTGTTATCTCCATGAAACTCAGGCCGATATTGCCGAAGATGTCACTCTTCTCGTGTCAGCCACAAGCGCTTGTGGCCCAATACCGCAGCTATGAAAGCCATCACGCCAGCTCAGGGCAGAGAGCAGACCTTGAGATGTCACTTCCCGGACTAGAGCAAGCCTCCGGTGGATGAGTGCATAGACCCAGCCATAGCGCCCACACGAGGAAAATAGAAACTCTACGATGGCTGGAAAATAGTCAAAACATCATAGCATCTTTGGAGGGCGTCAACCTATGCCCACGGGCTCCGGTCGCCACGCTTTGCTCACGCGGCCAGTAGCTGGGAGTCTGTCACGGATGCCAAGTCCGACGCCTTCAACTATCTGCGGAGGACCCACACAAAAGCGCCATTGCGGAGGTTGCTCGAGCACTACACGATGTGGAGTATCTTTCGAACTTGATGATTGTTTTCTTCGATGCGCTTGATGCGTCGTAGACTGCGTTGCACAGGTACAGCGTGCAAGCGACGTCCGAGCAACCCGTAGCGGAGTGACCATCGTGAGTATTTAGCGTGCGCCACGTGCTAATGGCCCCCGCCCTAGACCGTTGAAAATTCATGGACTTTCGCCCCGAACAGCTATCTTCGCGACCTCGGAAAACTCTGTACCTGAGCGAATTCGTAGCTTGGCAACGTCGAACCACCTGTCGGCTGCAAGCTACCACGATGGCTGCACGAAGCGCGGAACAATTGTCCTACCATTTCAACTCCGTCGAAAAAAAGGAAAACAGCTAACACCAGACAGAAGCAGCGAGAGACCGCTCTAGTGATGGTAGTCCTTTAAGTTTTGGGACAAGACAAGATTCAGACTGCTCTACGGTTCGACACTCAGCAGCTATACCCGTCATCGTAATCGATCGACAAGATTTCACACCGGACCAATGTCAAACAGTCCTTTCTGTTGTATTGGATTAACCATAATCAGCAGGATTCAGGAACAAGCACAGGCAGAGGGGCTTAGCTTCAATGCTTGACGGGCGATCCCATCCCTCGGTACAAGATCATCGGTCACGTCTCAGGGCGGGGAAATCGCCCAGGCACGCGGCGTGCTACAGCTTCAATAGGACGCTTCCACGATAGTAACATGTACAACGAAGATGGACTAGACTACTGTACTGCAGCATCCAACTCATGACCCGGATCAGCATGGTTCTGTCGTTGCCAAAGGGCTTAGACCACAATCAACTTGGAATCTGGAATCTCTGGGGCCAAGTCTGCGGGGGCTTTCAGGTACGCCACGGACCCGCATTGGCTTTGAGTATTTTGCGGAGGTGCATGACACCTCCTTTTCTTCCCCACAATAACCTTCCACAACACATGTGTTGAGCGCTCGAGGTCACAGGGGTCGAAATGAGGATACCCGATGTTTTGCAAAACTGCGTCACGCAATGGGCAGCATGAGAGAGCAGCACAGCACGGGAAATACCGATCTGGCCGAAGCTACACCTCTGAAGTCGTCTTGAAATTCCCAAGACGAGATATTCCAGACCAACCAGAACGGCTGCAGAGCGATGATCGCAGGTACAGAAGTCTGCTTGCACTCTCTAAGGCCACTGCGGAGTACCTGGCTGTAGCGCGCCCGTAGTGCTGCACGTGTACCACGAGTATGCATCGTTCGGCACAAGGTTTTGATCGTCTTTGCGGCTAGACTGGGTCAATGTCTCGAATGTTCGGGCACGCCTTCTAGACTAGCGCAGAATACACACCATCGCACGCCTCGGCCTTTGGAGAGAAGGTCTCGAAGCACCACATCGGCCAGACAGATGGCACTCTCGCGATGATTCAAAAGGCCCTTGGTCGCCTGCCATTACTCGATTCACCATCCACCTTCGACACATCTCCTTACAGTCACGATCAGACTTCAATATGGCCCCCGTCACTACTTTCCTCCTCGCCGGTCTTGCGACCTTGGCCGCTGCCCAGAACAACGCTCCTCCGGTCGCTAAGGGCGCCGTCATTGGCCGTCTCCGTCTCCCCGTCACTTGCCAACTTCTCGGCGGCAGCCAGACCTTCGATGCGGTTATCTCTGGTGAGGCTCCGGCCTACGCCAAGGCTGGCGCTCAGTTCTACATCACTGATGCCACCGGTCTCATCACCATCCCTCCGAACGTCGTCCAGATTGCCCGCAACCGAGGAGCTGTTTCGGCCCAGGCCTCCACCAACATCAAAATCAATGCCACCGGTGCCACCCCTGCGTCCGTCACGGCGTTCTCGGGAACCGTGCCCGTCACCTTCCCCGCCAGCGGTAGCACCACCCTCCGCTTCCCCAGCGGCAATGGCACTCTTGCCGACATTGGTCCTTTCACCATGGGCACAGGCGCCGTTGCCCGCACCTCGCTCGGCAACGTCAACATCAACTTGGCCCTGAAGGATGCCAGCGGTGCCGCTGTCTCCACCAACATCGTCGTCACCTGCGGTGTCCAGAACGTCAAGACCAACCTCATCGTTGTCAACCTTGACGCCGTCAACATCAACAACGCCACTTCCTACAACCCCCGCCCCAAGAACGGATACATCCCCAACTTCCCTACCATCCCCTCAAGCACTGAGTTCGGCTACTTCCGATTCCCCTACAACTGCACTCTCGGAGCGCTTGGTCAACAGCAGCTTGATTTGACTCTCGGTGGCCGCATCCCCACCTATGTCCGCAACGGCGCCAGCTTCTCCCTCACTCAGGGTGGCTCTTTCCTCCGCATCCCCGCCAACCTGATTGCGCTCTCCAAGCTTGGTTTCCCCAGCGTCGCCACCTTCAACACCAACGCCACCAGCGTTCAAGTCCGCGTGACCAACGCCTCGCCGGCCATCGTCGACGTTGTCAAGAACCCCCCGCTCGTTTCCGTTGTCGATGTCCGCAACGTTGACACCACCAAGGATTTGGTCATCCCGATCCCTGCCACCGGCACCATCTCCGTTGGACCTGTCACCGCTGGTGTCGCCGGTACTCCGATCTACCTCAGTGTCGGCAACGCCACCGCCCACACCCAGCTCCGCAACGCCACCGGCGCCGTCCTCTTCGAGTTCGACGTCCAGTGTGTCCCCGTTGCCGACCTCCGCCTCGCTGCCATCACCGTGTCCACCGTTGCCCCCACCAACGCCACCCTCCCCGCCGGCACCGCTTAGGTTAGCCACCACGAAGTCTGATCCACCAAGATCCATGAATCTTATGAAAACGAGTAGCGATGGATGACGCAGGCACTGTGCCAAAAAGAAAAGTTTGCCCATGACGCCATGTTTGTAAATAATTATCAAAAATGAAATGATGAAGATCGAAAAATCAACCGTTAGTGACATGCCACTCGTTTCCTTCTTGATCTCGTGATAGTAGTGTTTTCATATTAGTCCCATGTCAATCTCATACCGTGCTGGTATGCTTTCTGTCAAGGCCCAAGCATTGTGGTCGCGCGAAGTCGAGATTAGCTCGGCGAATGAGAAGAGAGATCGTTGATTTTGACGTCCGGGGTGGGCTTGCTCCGCCGATCAATCAGGACTTAACACACTTCACGCATTGCCAGATCGATTCCAGGCTCATACTCGGCATCTACATCTCAAGGCTCGACCTCGCAGCAGCTCTGATACTACTTCACCGACCTTGAGGCTGAACGTATCGTTTTCCAGCAGAAGCAGCGTCGTCAAAATCATGGCGGATACTGACAAATCCGCTGCTTCCGACTCCATCGTCAGCAGCATGACACCCGGTCCCAACGTGGTCACCATGAAACCATGCACTTCAATCATTGCATTGTACTCTGCAGGCCACAAGAGTGACGCCCTCTCGTCATTCTGCACTACTACTCCCGACATAAGGGGACGTTGAGGTCAGCAAAGGTCGTGCGCCCAAAGGTCCCACCCGTTTTCGACATCAGTCGCTGCTTGAGGATACACATTACTAGTACTAAGACATTCACGACATTCGCAACAGCAGCAAGAAATGGAAAAATTTCACAAGAAGTTGGCAGCGATTTGATTGGGCTCAATGATGCTCAATCTGTACTAGCTATTGTTTCCTTCATTCATCCTCCGTCTGTCTGCCACCAGCCTCGCGCACCACCCAGGACCCAATGGTGTTGACTTGATTGATCGATGTCATGACGGGACGGCGTTGAGGGGATTGGGGACTCGCTTAGTCCTTCTTGCTGCCGCTGCTCATATCGCCGCCCATCTTGCCACCCATGTCGCTGCCCATTTTGCCGCCCATATCACCGCTCATGTTCGCGGCGTTGGCGTTACGATCAGCGGCACTCTGAGCGCGAGCCGGGAAGCCACCAGAAGACATGTCGCCTCCGGACTTGGCCTGTTGTTGCGTTAATTGTCAAGTAGAGGCCCCGGAGGCAAGTCAGAATCAACTTACAGTAGCGGATTGAATGCGCTCGGCATCGGCCTTGCTCATTTGGTTGCTAGATTGGGACTTGCTGGAAGACATGATTGAGATCTTGTCGGGTTGGTTGAATTCGTCTGTGGTGTTGTGATTCTGATTGACGGAATTGCTTGATTGCTTTCGTCAGATGAGGAGAAGATGGAAGAAAAGAAACCGGAGCGATGATGAGAAGATCGGAGACTATATGCCCAGCATGATCGCTGCCAGCATCCGTGCCGAAGCCATGGCTGATGACCTTCACGATGTGACACAGTGCCCGAATGACTTTCACGTGCAGCGGCGGATGAGTCAATTGATGACAGCGACAAAGAGAACCCCAACGAAGTCTCCAGGCAGCTGTTTCAAGATCATGCGTGGAGTCATCCACGAAGGCTTCGTTGCATGCTTGTGATGATGATCTTCGATGTGGTTGACTGTGTTGGGCGTTTGGCTTGGAATGTGTTTCACGGGCAATTTTGACATCGAGAACACGGCTATGACGCTCTCGGGATCATACCAGCAAACTTCGTGACCGACATCGGCACCCTTGTTGCACTGTACCACGATCCTTCTATCGGCCATTGAGCAAAGGTCATTGCTGTCCTGGGGATGCGTCGATCACCAACCATCTGTCAACGCTTGCTTGGTCTGCGCCCAGTCAACGCGGCCAGTCCTCGCCGGCTTATGATTGTGACGAGGCATTTCGATCTCACAATATTCACGCGCGGGCATCACACCTCCCAAATCAGTACACACGCATACAGTACATCTGATATCGCGGTTCAATGCCGCGAGGATCGACGCAGTGCGCATGGTGGTGAAACGCTCGCTCAACGGATCTCCCTTCGATGTGGTGAGGTCACGTATGGAAGTTGCGAGAACGATGTGTCAGCGATGCCGGTGACACCAGGCATGAATCTCACCGGTGGATATCGCAGGGTGTTGAAAGAAACAGAAGTCATGCCGCACGGAGTCCAGTGGTCGGGCCACAGGGTGTCACACCCGGAAACCGTTGGAACGTCACACCTGATTTGATTCGATTCAATGCGATTGAGAGGATCGACACATCAAATGGGTGTTCGAGCATGCCAGGCTACTCGTAGTACAATCATGGCGAATCACACACGAGAGCGAGTGGAAGGGAAATCAGAGTATGAGCCGCCACCAAATACAGGTGGTATTGCAGAATGCGGTTGTTCCATGACAGCTGCCATGTGGAAAGAAAATCATGGGGAAAAAGACAACGTCCTCGTTGTCATCCACCACAATGCCCAGCGTGATCGTTCGAGCGACTTCCCAGCGCGATACGGGGCATGACGCCTTGGCGTAGCTCCTCCTCAGAGCGAGGACGAAAGAGAAGATAGCCATGCCCAAGGCGGGAATTGTGATCGACTCGTCTGTTGAGCGCCACGATGGCTCGGTCTGAGGGTAAGAGATTCACGATTGAATGCACGCGTCTTGATTCGCACGGGCCGCAATCGTCCTGGCGTGGGAATGGTTGAAAACGAGGAGGACGAGATGTTTGCTGCGGCGTATCAGGGGATGTGGACTTCGACTTCCGCCAAAGAATTTGTCGACGGTCAGAAGACCTTCGCCAATCTGGGAAAGGTGGTGCCATTTCCTCGAGGCGTGGACGGCTTTGCCAGTAAAGGAGTGATTGCCGAGCGCGAAAGGTGGAAGCGACCGTTCGGAGAGAGGCTCTCGAGATATAGAAGCCATGGTCTTATACCAAAGTCGCATCTTGGATATGCCAACAAATAGTGGGTCTATGAGGTCATGCTTGACGCATTTGGAGCGAATGTTGTCGCCGACACTCCTTCGATCCTATTTCAGCGCAGTAGAAACAAGCTTCACTGACTCCTGCGTTTTCTCACTACTTTAATACGACCGACGAAAATGGGGGGGGAAGAAAAGGAGATGACGGGGACTGCTGCCCCAGAGTGGGGGTGGCTTCATGTGTGTGGAGGAATGAGGAATGGATGGTCATTACACTGTTTTGGGGGTGGGATCATCTTTTCACGTGTGTGTGATTGATTTGATTGACTTATTGATTGTATGTGAATCTGCTCGAGGGAGCCGTTTCGGTTGGTAGGAAGGGGAGGTTTTCCCGAGGGAAACAAACAAGAGCAAGGATGTTTGTTTCTTTTCTCCGTTTTCTTTTCCCTCTCCCGTCGTCCCTGAAGATACGATGCCTCCCCTCCCTCCGGTGCCGCGTCGGCGTTCCGATCCGTCCGTTTCGGGTTTTCCATTCCGGGGGTGACGGCGAGGTCGAAAGGGCGCATCCCTCCCCATGATCGAGAAGTGATGCGATGAGTCCACACTATGGCCTGATATTCTTCCCCCCCCTCATCCACCCCTCTCGCCGAACTCCCTCGCCCAATCCTCGAAGGCCTGGAGGCCCTGCTTGCTCACGCTGGGGCGGATGTTGACCAGGCTGGCCTCGAAGTCGCGCATGTCGATGGGGCGGATGTCATCGGGGGCCATGTGCAGGAGCTGTTCGCCGAGGGAGCGGAGGGGGCCCATGGCGGCGTCTTTGGCCAGGGCGGTGATGTCGGAGCCGGAGTAGCCTGGGGAACGGGGGATACCGCGGTCAGTACGAAACGATTGAGATAGACGGGGTGGGAGAGAGAAGGAAAAGAAGAAGACGGGGGAAAACAAAAACCGGTGTACGTACCGTCCGTGACGCCGACCAGGACCTTCAGATCGCGGTCGCGCAGCGAGTGTTTCTGGGCCGCGAGGAGCGTGCGCAGCTGCTTCTCCCGCACGTGGTCCTCCGGGAGCGGGATGTACTGGCGGCGGACGAAGCGGCGCCGCGCGGCCTCGTCGATGGCCCAGGGGAGGTTGGTCGCGGCCAGGACGAGGACGCGGGTGGCGTCGCCGCCGTCGGGGCCGGAGCCGGCGACGTCCCGGCCGGCGGCGGCGCGCTGGAGGTCGGACCACTGGATGAGGAACTCGGTCTTGATGCGGCGCGAGGCCTCGTGCTCGGAGCTGCCGCCGCGCGCGGACAGCAGCGAGTCGATCTCGTCGACGAAGATGATGGTCGGGGCGAGGCGCTTCGCGAGGGCGAAGAGCGCGCGGACGAGCTTCTCGCTGTCGCCGAGGAACTTGCTCGTCAGGCTGCTGGCGGAGATGGCGAAGAAGGTGCTCCGGCTCTCCGTCGCGACGGCGCGCGCGAGCATCGTCTTCCCCGTGCCGGGCGGGCCGAAGAGGAGCATGCCCCGGGCGGGCTCGCGGAGGCCCATGAAGAGGTCCGGGCGCAGGAACGGGTAGACGACGGTCTCCTTCAGCGCGGACTTGGCGGCCTCCAGGCCGGCGACGTCGTCCCAGTGGACCTCGTCGCCCTGGATGACGATCTCGGTGAAGATCTGCTTCGCGGCGTTCTCGTCGACGCCCGACGGCAGGTCCTTCATGATCTCCTGCACGCGGGCATCCCAGGCGGATTTGACGGTCGGTTCGGCGGATGGGGCTGCCGTGGCGTTGTCGCCACCGCCGGACTCGACCTCGGCGATGGGCGGAGGGATCGCTTGAGCAGGGACGGCTCTCGACTCGATCTTGTCTTTGACCGATTTCGCGCGGTGCACGGCGTTGCCGGCCGGGGCCCGGCTGTCCAGAACGTTGCTCCCGGTGGTCTTGGGGTCATAGCTCAGCTTGCTGGAAAGCGCCGAGTTGGTGTTATCCAAGCGCTGCCGTTCCGCGGTCGAGTTGAGGATATTGGCAATCTTGTCGGCCCTGCTGACGCCCTTCCGCGGGATGGCTGGGGGCGCGGACTTGACCTGGGCGGGCGCGGGGCGTGATGATCCGTTCGTCTCGGGGGCTCGGGTCTGAGGCGGAGGGGCGGGCGCGGGAGGCTGGGCCTTCGGCTTCGGGGGATGGTTGGGATATTCCTTCATGTACGAGATCGAACTGGGCCCCACCTGCGAGATCGATGGCGGAGGCCGGACCTGTTCCTGGACGGGAGGCGCTTGCGGTTGAGGTTGCCGATGCGGTGGTGGCGGCGGCGCCGTCATCTGATGCTGCCCCGGCCCGCTCGATCCGTGGCGGAGTTGATAGTCTTGTCGGCCGTAGTGGTTCTGGGCGTGATCTTCCGGGTATGGCACACGGGGGGACCGCGGCTGGCTCCAGTCATCGACCGCGCTGACGCTGTGCCGTTGCAGGTAATCCGAAGGGCTGGGCGGCCGGATGAAGGAGCCCTGAGGGCCATACCGAGGAGCAGGCTGTTGCTGCATCACCGAGTCCCGCGCAGGAGCCGGTCGCTCGACGAGAGATCTGGTGTACGGGTCCCATTTCGGCTGCACGGGGGCGGACGGGTGGGCGGCCGCCGATGTGGACCCACCGTTCTGCTGCGCCGGGGGAGCCGCATGTCCGTTCCACACCTGAGTCGCAGCCTTCGCGGCCGCCGGTTGGCTGCGCAGAGTGCTCGGCATCTTGGCCGAGGAGCGATCCTTCGGCTGGGAGCGCAGCGTCCTCAACATGCCTCCGATCTTCTTCTCCGGGCTGGGCGTCCGACCTTGGGCGGCGTTGGCGGCCTCCGTCGGGGGTGTCAGCTGCGGCGTCGGCGACCCGGCGGCGTTGAGGGTGTGCGCTCGCGGGGTCGATTTCTCCGAGCTCGCCTTGCGCATGAACGACGGTCGTTTGGAAGATTGTACCGGTCGACGCTCGGGTGTGGCGACCGGCCGCGACAGATCCGGGTAGCTGGCGGGCGGGGCGGTGTTTTGTTTGAACCATGTCGATGCCGCGGCCGGTCGCGCCTGACCGGAAGTCAACGATCCCGCCGAGCCCGTACTGATCGACGCGTCGTCCCCGTTGCCATATTTCGCCTCGTCCGCCTCTTCGCGACTCTTCTGGAGCGCGTCTAACAGCTCCACGCGTTCCTTGCATTGGAGCTCCATGGCGCGCAGCGAGTCATGCAGGGCCTTTTCGGTCTCGGATCGGGGCACCCATGAGGCCGGTAGTTTGTAGGCATTGTGGTAGTAGATCTGATCGAGGGCATTCCGCCAGGCGCGCAACGCTTCGGCTTCGTTGTTCTTGGGAGCGAGGATGGGGTCAGTACGTCATGTCCGCTTCGATCGAAACTGGGGAGGGCGCGGGGGTCATCCGTTTCGCTACTCACCTGGCCCTCGAAATAGATCGCGGTGGAGCAGATCAGGTAGCATTCGTCGTAGGTCTTTTGCATGGAAGCGGAGGGCGATTTGCGCATCATTTTGATCGCATGCCCTGCGGTGTCGGATGAATCCGGAGCAGGCGAGGTCGCCCTGGCGGATGAGGGAGCGAGTGGTGGGTGGATGTGACGACTGAACAGCAGGTGGGATTCCAGGAAAGAAGGTGGCGGTGGTGGTGAGAGTGGGTGATCAGAGAAGATGATGTGGAGGACGACTGGAGGAGGAGGAGGAGGAGTGGAAGGAGAAATGTAGTAGTGTCTCGAGTGATTAGTGTGGTGGTAGCGGTGGTGGTAGAGCGGTAGTGATGGTAGTGGTGGTGGTAGTAGCAGTTTTAGCAGGCTGATTGATCGTCGGGCCTCAAAAGGGAAAAATGATGCGGTCGGCGGCGGTGGTGATGGCGGTGGTGGTGGTAGCGGAAGTGATGGTGGTAGCGGAAGTGGAAGTGGAAGTGTATGTATATTGATGATGTTTGGAACCTATTGAGTGATACGCCCGCGGTTTGATTTCTTCTTCTTCTTATTATTATTATTATTCGAGTGTGCAATGCAGGTGTCGTGGTGTAGGGACTGTACTGTACAGAATATCACCATGCGGATGTGATGCCCTTTCTTCTCTCTAAATCAATGTGTGCTATATAATATATACATATCCCTCTCCCTTCTCTCTCCCTCTCTGCCTCTCTGCCTCTCCCTCTCTGCCTCTCTCTCTCCCTCCGCCCCGAGCAAAGTCAGGGAATGATGATGGGCGTGTGGACTGACTGATTGGGTATTCACGGTATTCAAGGTATTCAAGGTTATCCAAGCTTCTCCAAGAAGTGCGCATGAGCCAGGTTCGGTGACGTATGGCGGGTCCCACACACTGTTGCTCAAGTGCCCCGGATTGAACTTTCATCATGACAGAATCCATTGTGAGAGAGAAGTCCGTGCTTGTTACCAGTCCAGCATTATTATTTGACACCACACCAGCCGTGCCAGCCAATTCTCTCTGCCGAGACAAGCTCACGATACCTGGTGACAAGACTGCGAAATGGATGGGATGGGATTGATTCTCTGCCTCAGGTGATGATGATGTTGATGATGCCGCTGCTGCTGCTGCTGCTGCTGCTGCTGCTGCTGGGTAAAACCACGCAAGCCACTGTGGCTCGGCTTGTACAGTATATTTTATTCCAAGGTTTATTGTCATCAGTGAGGTCCAGTACTTCATCGTCATCCACCTCCGACTCCTCCTCCTCCTCCTCCTCCTCCTCCTCCTCTCAGCCACTGCAGGCCGCGCGCCACATGAAGTCCTGGACGCACAGCAGCAACAGGGACATTTCATTATCATTACTATTATTATCATCACACTGCAATTCATCCACGGCATCACCAATGAATCCAAGAGGGTTCCCTGCGACGTGACACGGTCGCCATCATTGATAAGATCCAGGTATATTTATATATATATATATATAAATGATATATGCTGCCCTTCAAGGTACTTACTGTACGTGAAACAAACGCGAGACATTCGTTGATCCGTTCAGTCGGTAGACCGCCAGTCGTGTATTCGTGGAAATTTGTATATATATATATATGTGTGTATGTGCATTTGTACGTGTACGTGTATATGTGTCTACACATCTCTGCATATATTTGTGTGTGTCTGTATATGTCCATATGTGTCTGCATATGGATTTCTATGTCTGCATTTGTCTGTGTATGTCTCGGTTTATCGTGTGTCTGTGTGTCAAAGCATGGATCCATCCGTCGCATGCGGAGAATTGTCATGCCTCCCTCGTTCATATGCTCCTGTCTCGTGATCATCAAATCACCACACGTTCGGTCAGGTCATCATCCCTGATACCATGTAACATACACTCACTGTATGAGGAAAAGGTCATAAGTCATTTCAGTCGGTAGTCGGTGAATCCCTAGGTATATCTCTCACGCCATGCGAGCCTGTCGTCCTCTGTCGCCACGCCTGCAACACATCAACCGCTCGCTCATCCCCTGCAGCCGGTTCGCTGCCCAGACGCGATTTAATCATGCCGACATTCAACCTCCTCCTCCTCCTCCTCATCAACATGAACAACAACAACAACAACAACAACAACAGCGGCGATTGAGCATCGCCCAGCTGCTCGAGCAGAACACCGCCCAGGAGAATGTCGAACTGTGCGGATGGATCCGCTCCGTGAGGAAACAGAAGCGGATCGCCTTTGCTGTCGTGGGCGATGGATCCACCACGGGATCCGTCCAGGCCGTGCTCAAGCAACCAGATCAGGCGTCCGAGTACGTATTCACATTGATCACTGCAGACGTGACCATCTCCCATCCCAGCGTGACGGCTATGGACATCACAAAACTGACCCGCAATGGACAGGTTATCATACGGCACCGCCGTCAAGGTCACCGGACACTGGCAGCCATCTCACGGCAAAGGACAAGCCTACGAATTACAAGTCGACCACCTCAAGGTCCTGGGCGAGAACAACGCCGAAGCCAATCCCATCCAGCCCAAATATCAGACCCCCGAATATCTGCGCACGATCCCACATCTCCGGCCGCGGACCGAGCACAATGCGCTCGTCCTCCGCCTGCGGTCTCAAGTCATCGCCAGCCTGACCAGGTTCTTCCACGAGAACGACTTCGTGCAAGCGCATACGCCCATCATCACCTCCTCCGACTGCGAAGGCGCCGGCGAGGTCTTCTCCGTCTCCGCCGACGGCGATGGCTCCGAGAAGGGGACGACCACCGGCCCGTCAGGATCAGCGTCACCGGACGCCGAGCCTCCCGCGGTCGAGAGGCATTTCTTCCGCACCCCGAAATATCTCACCGTGTCGTCTCAACTCCACCTCGAGGCCCTCGCCCAGTCCGTCGGAAACGTCTGGACGCTGTCCCCGACCTTCCGCGCCGAACGCAGCGACACCCCGCGGCACCTGAGTGAATTCTACATGCTGGAAGTGGAAATGGGTTTCATCACCGACCTCTCCCCGCTCCTCTCCCTGATCGAATCCATGCTCCGCGGCGTGGCCACCGATCTCCAAACCTCGCGCATCGGCCGCGAACTCCTCGCCCACGAACAACAACCCCAATCCCAATCCCAATCCGACTCCGCCTCCTCAGAGGACCTCCTCGCCCGCTGGAGAGGTCTTTCCCGCCCCTCCTGGCCCCGCATCACCTACGAAACCGCCATCGCCATCCTGCGAGGCGCCGCCTCCACCGGCGCCGCTACCTTCTCCATCCCGCCGACGTACGACGAAGGCCTCCAGGCCGAACACGAACGCTACCTCACCCAGCACTTCAACCCGGCCGGCCGGGACCCGACGCCGGTCTTCGTGACGGACTATCCCACCGAGCAGAAACCCTTCTACATGCTCCCCAGCTCTGCGGCCGAGGGGGGGGGGAATACCGACACGGTCGCGAACTTCGACCTCCTCGTCCCCACCCACCTCGAGCTCGCCGGCGGCAGTCTCCGCGAGCACCGACTGGGATTCCTCCGCGCAGCCATGGCCGCGAAGGGTCTGTCCTCCCCTTCCTCCAGCAATCCCACCGCGTCATCATCCCAGCAGCAGCAGCAGCCGCCGCCAGCGGACCCTCCATCGGAACATTCACCCCTAGACTGGTACCTCGACCTCCGCAGGTTCGGCAGCGCGCCCCACGGGGGTTTCGGGATGGGCTTCGATCGCCTGCTGGGCTATCTGAGCGGGACGGGCAGCGTGCGGGACGTGGTCAGCTGGCCGAGGTGGAGCGGGAGGTGCGATGGGTGAATGGATGGAGGACGGAGAGAGCGGGAGTGGGGAACAGAGGAGAGGGGGGAGAGCGGGGAATGGAGAGAACAGGGAGGGGATGCGGGATTGGAGGGATGGGATGTGTTGCTGTATCTGTATTTTAGAGGGGGAGGGCGGTCCCGTGTAAAACTTCTTATTGTTTTCCTTTGTTTCTTTTTCCTCCTTTTCGGGGAAGCTGTCAGGATAGGGGGTTTAAATTATTGAGCGTTGTACGTTTATCGAACAGAGATAGAGAGAGAGGAACACTTGTACCGAGAGGTTTATCATCGAGAGAAAGCAGAGAGAGACCGCACCGGCTTCTCTGTGGGGATCTTGGTGTGTTACATGTATACATATCATCGATCAAACACCTCCTCTCCAGGCTCTTTTTTTCCTTTCTTTCTTTGCTTTGTACGATTCCCCCACGAGAGAGAGAGAGCGCGCGCGCGAGAGAGGAAGAAAGAGAAAGAGGGGGAGGAGGAGGAGGAAATTCGTCCGCGGCGACGACGGGTTTGCAAACTCGCTTTTATCATCGGATTGGAAAAAGAGAAAGGAACTGGGGAGGTCGAGGTCTCACCTTCCGTCCGTCCGTCCGTCTGTTCATGGTTGATTGATTGTTTGGTGCATCGATTGATTGATTGATCCACTGACACGGGAGATCTGCCACGGAATGGACAAGAAGAAAAGAAAAGGCCAAAAACACTTTCTTCATTGATTGATTGATCGATTTCTTCCCTCTCTCGACATGTCGCCGAGAACCCAAAGATTGGAAAGCATCGGTCCCGCCACCACCCCGATCACACAGCCCTTTTTCCATTCCCATGGTAGAAACCAATTTTTTCCACGTTCTCTAGAAAAATCCCCATTGCATGCCGCGGTGGGAAATGACAAAACGAAAAATCCTCTCGGCACACAATGCCATCCGGTAGTGTTCACCATTCGGGAGCTTCAGCACACCCTCGTGCCTCGTGCAGGCGCATCCTAGTGCTGCATCGCATTCGCGGACGCGTGGGCCTGCTTCTCCGCGCCGGGATGTTGCTCGTCGATCTCCATGTCGTGGTCCTCGCCGCCGGCGGCAGCAGAGGCAACACCCTCGGCGGCCTCGTCCTCGAGATCCTCCTCCTCGCCCTCGCCTTCCCCCTCGCCTTCGCTCTCGGCCTCGAGGTCCTCGCTTCCGGCGTCGGACTCATCGTCGTCCTCGTCCTCGTCCTCGGCGGCAGCTTTGGCTCCGCCGGCGCCGCCGTGTTCCGTCTCGACGCCTTCCATGGTCGCGTCTTCGCCTTCTTCTCCTGCTCCTGCGGGCTTGCCGGCCCCCTCCGCTGCGAGCTCGCGGTCCTGTTCCTCGGCGGCGGCGATCAGCGCGGCCTCCAGCTCCAGCTCCTCCGCGCCGTAGCTCGTGCCGTCGTCCTCCGCCGCGTCGGCCTCCGGTTGCTCGGGCGGGTATTCGCTGGGCGCGCTCTCCTCGCTGTCCCACTTGATCTGGAAGCGGGTGACGCGGGGCTTGTCCGCGAGGATGTTGCGGCGGATCTTCTCGATCACGGGCTTGGCCGGCGGGTCGTCTTGCAGCTGCTGCTCAATGTATTCGTTGTTGACGTAGTAGCCGACGCGCACGAACTCGCGGTCGTCGTAGCTGCAGGTGAGGAGAATGACGGTCACGCCGAGGATGTCGCTGCCGGGGATGCGCGTGGTGTTTGGCGGGTCGGCCTCGAAGACGAATTTGTTGACGCCGACGGGCACGGGGCCGACGAGGAGCGAGTCGAGTTCTTGGTCGTGCTCAGATCTGGATCGACGGTCAATGAGCTGGTCTCTGCGAGTTTTAGACACGGCACAGCAACGTGAGGCTTACGATGTAGCAGAGCCGACGTAGGTGAGCTTCCATTCGAGGTCCTTCTGCAGCGGTTCCAGGCATTCAAAGGTGATTTCGAACTCGTACGGCGAGTTGAACTGTGCTGGGTTGTTGCGGACCGTCACGTTGAGCAATGACACGGTCGCCATGATGCCGATGGAGTTGATAGGTCGTGCCTGGCAAGTACGTGATAGGCTATGATGATGTTGATGTGGCAATGTTCATACGAAGAAGTTGTATCGAAATGTATGGTATTGTGATCTACTAGAAGATGAATTGACAACAAGAAGCTCGGAGGAAATGCAGGCAGAATTGTGATAGCTGCAGGTCCCAGTCGGCAGAAGACCTTATCAGCGCAGGGTTCATAGCTACAGGACAATAAACACCGATCATCGCCTGCAGCGCGGTTGTCATTACTGTTGTTGTTATGATTACAGTATTAATTGGGCGTCGCAAGTGATATGTTCGGTGCTCACACGAGAAAGCGCTGTCCAATCGTGCCAGAACCCCGCCAGACGCGACTTCTCGCGTGCCACTTTGACCCTCCAGGGCTGGCTTGGAGCAGTCCATGGGTCGCGTCCGAAATCGGGCGCGTATCATTAAAGAGCTCACGGCAGATTACTATCACCCTTCAGACGGTCCTTGGTTCGGGACAACACAACCACAAAATCAACCTAATGAAAAGGCGTTCCAGCTTCAACAACCCAAATCATGTCGCTTACGTTTCCGGTGCCAAGTTACGATTTCTGCAATTGTCGTGTTGACCAGATCTGAAGCAATTGTGAATTGCGGGACATCTGCTATCCTCTTCCAAGACGGAACATGGAAGGTCATACACAATTGAGCAGCAATATGTGATGGCCTCTTGATTCACTTTGTGGACGAGTACACACGTCTGGCGGGCGTCATTGCAATCCACTCGTTTGCAGTACGCATGTTATCCGCCAGCATGTGTTGGCGACTTCGCACCCGGTTCAAGGTCAGTATGTAGCCTGCTTACAATCGCATCGACTGGGCTTCGCGGCCACTCGCTCCTGGGCTTAGTGCGGGTATTCCACTCTATTGTGCACCTTGACAATGGCGCTATGCTTGCCTTGAAACACGCCCGTGATGATTGAGATTGCGTCGCACCGAGTCGGTAAGCTGCCGCGGTCGTCGCTGGGATTGTCAAATGAACGAATTGAGAAACCTGCCATGTCACACCCCGTGCATGTGTGAGAGTGGTGATGGCAGGCTACTATTCACACAACCCTGCGACATCGAGCAGCTTGGCTCTCATCGGAAGTTTTGCTGCATAACACGGGCTGTCTCAGCAAGCCGCTGCAGTACAGCCTTTTGCTTCTCGATCTTCTCTTGCAACTCCGCGATATCCTGCTCCTGCTGCTCGATGCTGCGGTCGATATCCGGAAGCTTCCCTATCTCGCGCAAGGCATTACGGATTCTTCCCTTAATCTCAAGCGCGGCGGTCGGCAGGTCCTTTGGATTTAAAGGTTCGAGCTCAGCGTAAGCGGATCCGAGATCGCCTGGAGATTCATCGAGGCTCGTGAACTCGCTTGTATGACCAGCGTCGGGGATTTGATTCTGATGGGCGTCGACACGGGCAAGCAGCTCGTGGAGCGGCGGCAAGATCTCGAAGGTCTGTGGAGGAGGTAGAGAGAGCGTGTTGGGTTGGTCAAGCCCTGCGGTCGTCTTTATGGGGTACTTCAGTGCCATCGCTGTCTCAGTGTGACTGTTTGAGCCGAGCGCAACACACTGATCGCAACGACGTTGCAATGGGCATGTCTTCAGATATCTGGTGTTGTTTCGTAAATACTGTATGTGACCCTAGTCGTCGTCCACGGCAAGACGCGCTTCTGTCCGTGCGCGGGGACTGACCCCAACCCCAACCCTAGTCCATACTCTACTTCCGCCGTCACAATGTTGTAGCCGAAAGGGTTGAGGAAAGCCATGACACCAGCTCTCTCCGAACTGATCAACTCAACCTTCGAGTAGGCCTCGAACGGTTGATGTCATTTTGACAACGGGATCTACGTACGATAAGAATATGCGGTCTCCAATGCCCGAACATCAATATTCCTTCTGACCATGCGGTTGTGACGTATGTGCAGCGTCAATCGCTGGCGTTCTCGCCGATAACAAACCGATATTGATTGGGAGCGGGGTGGGCCAATGGTGGGGGAGGGAGCCAGTCGCGTCTCCCTGGTTCCTGCACTCGCCGAAAGAGAATCGGGCCATGAAGGAAGAGTATCGCCGGGCGCCGGCTGTTTGTCGAAGCTGCAGTGTGACCGGGAAAAATATATTCGATGAGACCTATAGACCTCTTCTCTCAGTTACATTGTGCATCCACTGCAGAACGATCATCTCTCCTCGTTCACCGAACAACACTATTTGCACAGCGATCATAGACGGAGCCTGCCTTGCAAACGGACTTTGCGGAGCTACGACTGACACGAAACCATTCAGGTGAAGCCATCATGGTGGAAGTCAAGCAGAAAGTCGCGTTGATCTGCATTGACGGCTGGGGTGTTGGATCTGAAACGTCACCAGATGAGGGCAATGCTATCCTGAACGCCGAGACGCCATGGATGGACGAGTTCGCCAAAGATGGAAGCAAGACTGCTCAAGGATATACCGAGCTAGAAGCCTCGTCATTGGCCGTCGGTCTGCCTGAAGGGTTGATGGGCAACTCGGAAGTCGGACATCTCAACATTGGCGCAGGTCGTGTCGTCTGGCAGGATGTCGTCCGTATCGATCAGACCATCAAGAATGGTGAACTGAACAAGGTTGAGAACATCATCAAGTCTTTTGACCGTGCGAAGAATGGCAACGGTCGCCTACACTTCTGTGGTCTCGTCAGCGATGGTGGTGTTCACTCACACATCAAGCACCTCGAGGCTCTGCTGCGTGTGGCCAAGGAGAAGGAGATCCCGGAAGTTTACATCCACTTCTTTGGTGACGGACGTGACTGCGACCCGAAGAGTGGTAAAGGCCACCTCGAGAGCCTACTGGCGTTCACAAAGGAGCTCGGATTGGGCAAGATTGCGACCATCGTAGGACGATACTATGTCATGGACCGCGACAAGCGATGGGACCGTGTGGAGATCGGCATGAAGGGTATGGTCACAGGAGAAGGAGAGGAGACATCCGACCCAGTCAAGGTCTTCCAAGAACGATACGACAAAGACGAAACCGATGAGTTCCTCAAACCGATCATTGTCAATGGCGCCGAGGCACGCATCAAGGACGACGACACCGTTTTCTTCTTCAACTACCGATCCGACCGAGTTCGCGAGATCACCCAACTTTTGGGAGATCAGGACCGTTCCCCTAAGCCAGACTTCCCATACCCCAAGAACATCGACATCACTACCATGACGCGCTACAAGACCGACTACACTTTCCCACTCGCCTTCGCTCCCCAAGTCATGGACAACGTGCTTGCCGACTGGCTCAGCAAGAAGGGTCTCAAGCAGTGCCATATCGCCGAAACAGAGAAGTATGCCCATGTGACATTCTTCTTCAACGGTGGCCAGGAGGTACAATACGAGGGCGAGGAGCGCGACATGATTCCTTCTCCGAAAGTTCCGACATATGACCACCAGCCAAAGATGAGCGCAATGGGTGTCGCCGAGAAGATGGCCGAACGCATCAAGAGCCAGAAGTTTGAATTCGTGATGAACAACTTCGCGCCCCCGGACATGGTCGGCCACACTGGTGTTTACAAGGCTGCCATCGAGGGAGTCACCGAGACGGACAAGGCCATTGGAGTCGTCTACGAAGCCTGCAAGGAAGCCGGATATACATTGTTCATCACTGCTGATCACGGGTAAGCTGGGAGGAGTCAAGCCATGTTTGTCTGATCACATACTAACTGCTTTTTTCTTTTCATCAGAAATGCCGAGGAAATGCTTACGGAGGAGAAGACCCCCAAGACTTCCCACACTCTCAACAAGGTTCCCTTCGTGATGGCTAATGCACCCGAGGGTCTCAGCCTGAAGAAGCAGGATGGTGTGCTTGGAGATGTTGCACCGACCATTCTAGATATCATGGGTCTGGACCAGCCTAAAGAGATGGGTGGAAGCAGCTTGTTGTTGCGAAAGTAGAATTATATCACAATTAGAACTGAACATGATGCGAGAAGTTAGATGATCCTGCACCCGAGGTATGAGATGAACTTGATAATGATGCCGGAATTGCTTGAACGATTGTGAACGTGTTTCGGACGTGAGTGTTTCACTGCCAGCGAATGTGTGCCTCAGGCATGAAACCTAGCTTCGGCAAACGCGTGGAAATAAGATCTTGGACGCGACTTTAATCGATCATCTAGAGCCGGCGCATATGCTTCGCGCGATTTTTTTTTGGGAAAACTGTGCAGAGGTGGTAATCTTCATTGGAGCATTGTGTTGAGATTGCATGGATAGGCCGCTCTCCAAGAGCGCTGTCGTACTTCAAGGTCAACTCCAATGAACGATCGCAGGCGGGAATTGCCAGGCGCAAGCTTCAGTGGTGGATGAGAGGCAGACTGAGCCAATTTTCGACGAGAGTCAACGATGGTGCCCGCGCTCAACGGGCATAAAGATTTCGATGTGATGGACGAGTCAAATGCATCTCACCGTAACGATGACGAAACTGAAATGAGCTATCCGGATCCATCTCGTGTCGTACAGACTCCCTACCCAACGTTGTCCACTAGTCACACACAAGACGAAGCATCCCGGGCAGAGCACATATCATACCAGTCGGGGACAGAGAACGGTCTACATCCGGCGCTTCATGATGAATCCAATGGTCAAAGTCATCAAGGAGAAGCCGCGGGGAGCATTGCTGAGCAGGCTCGATCATTCGCACAAGAATTTTATGACCAGGTCGGTCCTCCGGGCGGCGACGGCTTAGAGGAAGACCAATCGGACTGGGTTCCAAACGATACTCAGGCAGAGACCGACTTCGAAACTGAATTCGAAGATACCACCGATATTGGTAATGTCGATATTGGTGATATCCTTGATGGCGAAACGTCCATTCTCGGCACGTCGGGGTCGACCACGAAATCCAAAACCAAAAGCAAAGGGCAAACAAAGGCGCGAAAACGTGGCTGGCGACAGTTCTTGAAAGGAACTGAATTTGAAAACCTCGGCAAAGCCAAACGAGACCCTCCACCCCCCAAACGACCTGTACCTCGAAGGAATCGCAATTATGTCGATCCCGGCCGGGACTTCAAGGAGATGTTGTCGAAAGCTTCCCAAGAGTTCATGGCTGACAACTTGGATGCCGCAGCCGACTTCGCACGAGGTGCTGTCGAAGCCAATCCGGAGATCTTTGCAGCACACTCCTTGCTCTCCGAGATTCTGCGCAAACAGGGAAAGAACGAAGACTCCATCCGGGTGCTGACTTGGGGTGCTCATGTTGCGAAGCAACCTACCGTCTGGTTGAATATTCTGGAGCGCATCTTGGAGCTCCTGGAAGACAGTCCCAGCGAAGCTCTGATCAAGGAAGCGCTCGATTGCGCGAAGGAAGGACTGCGATTGAAGGCTGCCGCCTCCCCTGACCTTCAATACATGTTTCAGCGACACAGATTCCAATTGTACAAACAGCTCGGGGACACGACCGCCACGCGTAAGACTTGCAAGTACATCATCAAGCGTTGGCCCAAGGACATTCAGATGTGTCGCGAGTTCGCCGAATTATGTCCTAGCTGGAATGACACGACTGAGCTGAAATTCGCTAAGAAGCTGTACGACGACGTGCTTGCCTCGCTGGATGACCCTTCTCAACTTGAGCCCGAGGACGATCCCTGGCGGCATGTCATTGCCTATCTTGAAGTGGTCACACTACTCGATGAGCCTGCCAATGCTATCGCCGCCGGTAAACGTCTTTCGCGTTGGGTTCTCGGACGCAAAGCCGAATCGTTCTGGGACACTTGGAACGATGACGATCGCGAATTTGACGTGGATGATGAACGTCGGCTTGAAGTCCCTGGGTTTGAGTCATCCAGCACACCCGAAGACCGTGCTAAGTACGGCGAAAGCCTGCCCATTGAGATCCGTGTCAAATTGGGAAGATTACGTGCGAAGATGGGTGCATCGCATCTGAACGAAGCCTCGAAACATTTTGAACACCTCGCTGCGTTTGAGGACTGCATCGAATACTATTACGACCTCTACTTGCAGGCAGCGTCCTCTCTGAATGCTGCTGGTCTGCTGCAGGACGCAGCCCGTCTCTATGACACCCTCCGTGATGTTCCGGATGTCATTAATGAACCGACATGGATGGCTATGGGGATGTGCTACGAGGGCCTCCGCCAAAAGGAAGACGCGATCGATTGTTTTGAGGAGGTCCTAAACCTCGATGGGGAGAGTTACAGTTGGGCGAGCGCTCGCCTTGCGAAAATTTACGAGGAAGCTGGCGATTCGGAGAAAGCTAGAAGCTTATGCGAAGAAGTCATCAAACTCGGCCGCAGAGATCTGCTCCGCAACGCCAAAGTGAAGGATATACCGATACTGCTGCCAAGCTCTCGCACAGAACCCACCGACAGCGAGGCTGCACCGACTGAGGCGTTGTCAACCATCCCAATTGAACCGTCACATGCTGCCGTCGAAGGAACCTTCGGTGAATTTCAGCTGGAACCGCCGCTGGAACCGCCGCTAGAGCCGGAAGCTGGACCGGCACGTCCTCCAAAGAAGACCAGAAAACGAATCGCAGAGGATAGGGCCTCAGGTACCGATACTCCAGCTGTCAAAAGATCTAGAAAGCCCAGGTCAAATCTCATCAGAAGACCGACCATGGGTGCGGAGCGGCAGTTGCGTCAATTTGAGGACGCAAGATCCCGCATTCATGCTAATATCGGAGTAGTCCACATGCACTGGTCTGCTATGGAAAGTGGCGAGGACGAGGAGGCGATAAATCTGTGGGTCGAGGCCGCAAGCAATCTTCTCGAGGAGTTTCTGGCGACCAGAGTCTTTTTCCCCGACAACTCCAAGAATATGCAGGTCAAGGTGTCTGCTCACGAGGAGCGAATCTTTACAAGAATCGAGGCAGGGGTACCCAATCCAGATGCGCCGACAGCATTTCAAGATATCACCTTCTACGAGTGGCACCACGTCTTAGCTGACTTGGCTCTGTATCATGCCAAAAGAGGGGAACAAGAGAAATGCTACAAGATTGTTCAAGGCGTGCTCTTGACCGCCAATGTGTTCTGGCAAGACCCCGAGATTGAGCGAATCAGCATCTCTGTCGCACTGTGCTGCGCGCTGATCTTCAACGATGGACAGTACGCAGTAGAGCTGGGTCGCAAAATCATCGGCATGGGTGATTCACGATCGACCACGGCGTTCCAGCTCTTCGCTGCGACCAACCGCTTCATCTATGGCAGTAACTGGTTCCAGGCAGGACCATCGCAGAAATTTATGCATCGCATCCTCAAGACCGCGGACTTCCTCGCCATGCCAAGTGATTTGCGTGAACAATATGATTTTGCCATTCAGAAAAACTCGCTTAACCAGCGTCTCGCCAAGCTCTCCGACGAAACCCACGAAGTCAACGCCAATGCGCTGATGATCTATGGACACATGGTGGCCGTGGCCAACCATTCTTACACCTCGCTTCCTTATTACTTCCGCACCCTGGCCATGTACCCCGACGATATCTGTGTGAACCTGAGCATCGCCACGATGTGGGTGCAAAACTCCATGAAGCGCCAGACCGAGAACCGTCACTTCGGGATCATGCAAGGTCTGGCATTCCTCTACCGCTACTACGAGCTTCGCACCGCAAGCGGCCGGGCGTGTGATTTGCAGGAGGCGGAGTACAACGTCGCGCGCATGTGGCACAATCTCGGATTGCTTCACATCGCTATGCCTGCGTATGAGAAAGTGCTGGACTTGAGCGTTCAGGTCCAGGCGGAATGGCTCGCGGGTCGAAGCCAACGTGGCGAGAGCACCGCATTCGATGAGGCGGAGGATTTCGCGAAAGAAGCTGCGTTTGCTTTGCAGAGCATCTATGCTGTTGATGGAAACGATGAGGCTGCTAGGGCTATCACTGAGGAATGGCTTGTCATATAATGATAATAGTAATAATGATTTGGAGGTACCCCTGACCGTACCCGTGTTGGGAACGCGCAGAGAGCCTATGTAAATGTATAGATCAGCACGTTCTATGGATAGGTCGTGCTCTGCTCATTATGGCAGATCGCTGTGTAATTCCTCCCATCTGACCCGATTAGGCGTGCATTGTTTTGACAATCTGGACATTCGGCGCGTCGTAATTATGGCGAAATATACATGTGCATGATAATCGATGGGCTGGAACAGCGCGCCTGCTTGTGTGTGATGCAAGTGACGTCTCGGTGAATGGACGGCTCAAACCGAGCTGCCTCCGCTTCTTCACTATGAACCCTCCACCATATGGATTGCACCTGGGCAGCCATTAATTTTTGAAAAATCACTTCACAATTTGGGTACGCAATAGCACAACAATTGGACAACCCGAAATTCTTTCCAGGATACGAATTATTAAGACAATATCACAAGCTTTACCTTCATGGACTCGTCTACTAAGAGAAAGGCGGACGGCAAAGCGAGTGGAGATGGAAATCGCAGCAAGGTAGAATTCTTGGGTTGAATTTCGTAATTTGGGTCTACATCTGCTGATCGCACCTTTGGCGAAAAGACGAAAAAGCCATGGCGAACAAACCCAAGCCACCAGTCGCGCCAGATCTCTGCCGGTGACAGTGGAATCTGGGTGACATGCAACAAAGGCAAAGAAGGGAAATGCACTTGGGAGATTCGAGACCTATTCAATGATTATGCCGAGCAACTCTATCCAGCGGCATTCGACAAGACCCAGGATGGAGATGACGCAGCCGAAGGAAATGAACTTGGCGACATCGAAAGCGAAATTAATGCCGAAATCAGTGACATGCAGAAAAGCAAAAGCAGCGCGGCCCAGCTGTTCACTGCGGTGAAGCTCGATATGCCATGCGGTGAGCATTAACCTGGCTCTGGGCAGAGGCGATGACGGACTTTCTAACCGGTTTCTAGTGCTTTTCATGAGGACTATTTCCCCAGTGGACCCGGTAGGACTTGTCAACAAGATCTGTGACGATGCCTTGGCGAACCCAAGCCTCAAGCGAACTCGCTTCGCGAAACGCCTCTCGCCCATGACGCTCATGGGCCGCGCGTCTGTGGAAGGACTGGAGAAGGTCGCGAAAGAAGTTCTCGAACCGCATTTCCATCAAACACCATTCCAGAAGCGGAAGGTGAGTGGTTTCTGTCCCCTGTTCGAAGCCATGTGGGAAGTCGAATGAGCCAAGAGGCTGATTATGATATGCAGTTTGCGATCCGTCCGACACTGCGGAATCACAATATCCTGAGCCGTGACAGCATCATCAAGCAAGTGGCGTCGATTGTGGGACCAGGACATACTGTGGACCTCAAGAATTATGACTTGCTTATCATCGTCGAGGTGTATCAGGTAAGTGACGCCCCCGCGTTGCTTGTTTTTCCAGATTCAACGATGCACCTAGGTGGCTAGCTGAACGAAGCCATCGCGAGAACTTACCCAATGTTTCGACGCCGCTGACCTGCTCCATTCAAGCACGTATGTGGGGTGAGTGTCGTAGACGCGAATTTCGAGAAACTAAAGCGGTACAACATTGCCGAAATTTTCGAGCCCACACCGAAAGAGGCCATTCCAGCTACCAAAGCGGACGACAACCGAGCGGATGCTGCGGATGAAGTAACCGAAAGCACAGAAGCCTCCACGGCTGCAGGACCTTCATGATGGGAGATGTGTCTGGTTGGAGAAGCTACGGTAGACCTCTCCGCCAATAACGACGCCGTCTCCATGCATCATCATTGCCAGAGACAGAAGGATGCACTAGGCCCGATCCCTCGCCACGTGGTGGTAGCCCCAGTAGAGATCGGGGAGAATGAATGCAACTGCGAATTCGGAAGAACGGGTGACATGACCGTCTGTGGATTGGAAACTGCGAGCCTCGGAATGCCCCTTCGTGAGGTCGGGTGTTGGCGAGCACTAGACGTCAAGCGGCCGTTGTTAGTGAGAATGGCCCCTGGGCGGCTGAGGTCCAGCCAGAACGCCTCTCGGAAGGAGTAGACACCAGTGAAGATGCTGGGCCGCCTATGATGCAGTGCGGAGCAGATAAGATTGATCACGCAGGGTGGAGAAATGATATTTTGTGCGATGGATCTGAGATTAGATAGATGCAGTCCTTACCTTGGTACCGCAGACTGTGAGACGTGGGAATGTCCATCATGCCCAGGTGGAATTTGTCCTACAGAGACTGATGACTGTACTTCAGGGCTTCCTGTTCAGACCACCTCATGTGGCCAAGTGGCCGACGAAGCCGATTTGTCATCTCAAGGTTCAATGGTTGGACATCGAGTAATGTGTATGGCGCTCTGTTGAGCAGAATGATGCCTGCATGAGTCGTGCGTCATCATGAAGCCTGGATATCGGCACGGCTCGGTGGAGCATTCGCTAAAGACAGTTACACCGCGTCAGACGCCAAGGATTTTAAGCGATCGTTACGCGACCTCTGGTCACGCCATGACAATTATCAAACGTGGAAATCCATGCCGCGAGCCAACATCACTTGCAGTGCGAACCAGCAGCGACTCTGGCTAGCGATTGGAACTCACCATCACCATCCGGCGTGGCCAACGGAAATCTTGTCGTACTGGATCAGGATAGACGCATCAATCTCCAAAACCGTCATAGCCTCGCTTCTGTGGCGGGAACTGTCGTCTGCTAATAAAGATACCAGGTTGCTTGCGGCTCGCTCACGTGCAGGGTGGAAGACGCCGCTCGTTGATGCGCATTATCGGCGATGTCCTTCGAGCGGTCCGCCAGGTTGCATCGTGAAGCGAAAATTGGCGACGGTTGTCCCACAACGGAAATGTATTCACGCAAAATGACATGCTGACCACCTGGACAAATACCATGCTGTTTTTCCAACTGTTGGCCCGTCAAGCTAGCGCTGCATCGGGAAGAGCTTAGCGAGCGCAGCCACCCTAGTTGATCTGCCGACATGTCGTAAGACTGCCCACAGGACTAGCCAGATGGTGGACGATGAACGGCGAATTTACACCAATGCAAGTACTTTCAAATAATTAAGCTACCGATCGCACATGAGCAGAGCTCCTCCCATGGGTTAACACCGCGCGGCGATCGCGACGATGACTGCATCGGAAGCCACTCGCCGTGGTTGCATCCGCCGGACGTTGTGCAATCTACTGTGGATTTCGCTTGTTTCGCATTCTGCTCCCGGTGATTACCTCGAATTTACCTTTGGCGGTCTGTAGTTGGGCATGACACTCGATGCTAGTTCAGGAGCAGCATGCGTGACCGAGAGCCATATCCTTCCCCATCCTGCCACCATGGAGGTTGGTCTGACGAGGTCATGCGGAGTTTAGATGATGAACAAACTTTGTTTTCCCGGACTGAGCACAATTACGAAGCACTTTCTACCCTCAGATAATAACTCCGCCGTCCTCGCGCGAGAGCAGCATTCATCATGGTTTCGATTATGACTCGTCCGCCGCCTTTGCTGTCGTTAGAGACACCTCCACTTCGCCGTGACCGCACATCCGTGTCGCCGTCATGTATAGCAGACGAGGGTTTGCCGTCCAAGTACATCACCACCGAACATCTGAGTGGCCGTCTGTTCCGAACATATCGCCTTCGACAACCATCGAGCGCGCTCTTCTACATCACAAGACATAGACCACAGTCCAGCATTAGATTGCTTCGCATTGAGGACAGCCGCTTACAGAAGGAAGCCGATGCCTTGTGTGCACTCAGCGGCGAGAGTGAGCTCGCCATCCCACGTCTGGTCGAATACCACCAAAAGACGTCACATCCTCGAGGTCCGCACCTGATTAGCGGACCTTTCAGAGGTGCGATCCTGGGCGAAATTGCCTCAAGATTATCGAATGATGAACTGGCATCAATAGACCGGAGCTTGGGACAGTACGTCCGACGTCTAGCTCGCGTGCATCGCTCAAAGACCTTCGGACTGGTCCGATCAGGAGCCGTTGCATTGTCGGGCTCGTCCTCATGGGCGCGATATTTTGCAAAGCTTGTCAACTCGGTGTTGGAGGACGGCGAGGATGCGCTTGTCGCGCTTCCGTATGATCTCATCCGGACGCTGATTCAGAGACACCATGCCTCGCTTGACATGGTCACACAGCCGAAATTGACCCTGCTGGAGCTTGCGTCAGATGAGAACATCGTTGTCGACAGTACACACATGCGCATCACAGCCCTGCTCGACTTTTCGACTGCCATCTGGGGTGACCCGCTGCTGTCTGATTGCTTTCAGCGACCATCAAAACACTTCACGGAAGGCTATGGTGTCGCACCTAGTGGTGATGCTCACGAACATGTTCGAAGATGCCTGTGAGTACACTTGATCCTCCACGATAATTCGATCCGCATCTAACAATAGCCATAGTTATACTACCTTTCACTCGCTGCTGGCCATAGTCCGACATCGTTGTCGACCATCAGAAGATGGCGACGAGCTAGAGGCTCGGCGGACGTTGACCGCTGCCATCCATCAGCTCGCCTCTTCGTCACCATCATGAAGCCTTTTTGTAACATTGCCTTTGACAAGAATGCTTGGTCCACACTGTTTGTGCACGAACAATGATGACGAAGACCTTCGCGTGAAGGCGAAGATCACATAAAGCCTTATCAGCGCAGACACACCACCGCTGGCTTGTACCATCTATCCTCACTGTTGTCCTACGACTTGTACGATACGCAAATGGTGCATGTGCCAGTGAGCGGGCGTTAGTTGGTATTGGTCGCGAATGAAGACCCCAAGGATGACCTTGGGGTCATTTGAGTACCAACATCCGTCCAGCTCGTCAGTTGGTTGGCATCGACGTCGTCGCGAGCATTGCAGACCCGCACAGGCAATTGCCTGGGATGGCGTCGTGACAAGCGTCTGCCGATGGACAGCTGCCTGGGAACAACATAGCCTTCGCGATGTTGGTGATATCCCTACGGCATCATGACGAGGTTCCAAAAAGGTATTGTTGGAAGAACCGAGCTAAGCGCAACCGCTACTGGGCGCAGACCGAGGTGGGCGGTTATCGACGATGATAATTGGCCTGGGGCTCCATTAATGATGCTGATGAGTGGGCGCACAAACCTTGAGCACGAGCGAAGTTTTTACTGAGCTCCATAATAATAATGGCTAACAATGCACCGTATTGATCATCTCGTGTTGATCGACCACCTAGGTAGTGTCGATGTTTGTCCTTCCGATGCTGCTGATGGTCTACAGTATATCCGCAAAGTTTCAGTAATAATCAATGTTCCACGATTGCAGACAGACACGAGGTAATATTGAAAACGATTCATGTCCACTGTTACGTGACTGAGATTTTGTCTTGCAATGAACTGCTGTATCTGCGCAACGATCGAAGTACTCTAAACACCTACCTACCTACCGTAGCAGTGATGGACATGAGTTGGTAATCGACAGCTGAATGCAGGCTCAGCGCACGACAACACGTGTCGAGAAGACCAGCCGTAAGTCACAGCTGAGAGCGAAGGAAGCTCTATCCCCGAAACGGGCAAGTCGACGCTCATTAATAGACATTCCTCCAGGGTCTCCAGGCGATTTTGTCAGCATTGTGCTGAAATGCCAGGCGAAAAGTCGCAGTTGCAAGCAACAATTCCGCCGTACTCTAGGGCTTCAGGGCTGCCCAGCTCGAGTTCGCCGCATCCTAGTGACGACGCTCGGACGTAAGGCGGTGCTCACACTCACTCAGCGCCGCCGCATTCGAAGAGGACAGAATAGCTTCAACTCTGGTGCGTCGCTGATCAAGCGTGGAAATAAGACATTGTATACTTCACAAGTCCTCTTCCTCAGTTTCTTTCTTCTGCGTGCTACAAATACATTTGATCTTTCTGCCTTTTCTTCGCTTCGACAGTCAAGTCCTGTCGCCTTGCGATTGCCATCTCCATCCCATATTTTCTTCCACAGACCGATACGTACGCCACATCATGAAGTACTCATTGGGCCTGATTGGCCTCGCAGCCATTGCTGCTGCCAGCGATGTCGTTGATTTGGGCAAGGACACCTTCGAAGACTTCACCAAGGAGAACAACTTGGTTCTCGCCGAGTGTAAGTGCAAAAGAAGATATCACTTTCAAAAATTCGTCCTGACATTATTCGTCTAGTCTTCGCGCCTTGGTGTGGTCACTGCAAGGCTCTTGCGCCTGAGTACGAGGAGGCTGCCACTACCTTGAAAGAGAAGAACATTGCACTCGCCAAGATTGATTGCACCGTCGAGCAGGACCTCTGCGCATCATACGGCGTTGATGGCTACCCGACCCTCAAGGTCTTCCGCGGAGCCAGCACCCACTCACCGTACACTGGAGCTCGCAAGGCGCCTGCGATTGTCGATTTCATGACCCGCCAGGCACGCCCTGCGGTCTCTCTCGTCACATCGGAGTCGCAATTGGAGGAGTTTAAGACTGCGGACAAGATTGTCCTGGTCGGATACTTCGCCGCGGATGACAAGACTTCCAATGCCACCTTCAATGAGATCGCAGAGGAGTACCGTGATTCGTACGCTTTTGGCGCTACCTCAGAGGCGGCCCTCGCCAAGGCCGAGGGTGTTTCCCAGCCGTCCATTGTTCTCTACAAGACCTTCGACGAGGGCAAGAACACTTTCACTGAGAAGTTTGACAAGGAGGCTATCGTCGCATTCGCCAAGACTGCCTCCACTCCCTTGATCGGTGAAGTTGGCCCCGAGACATACGCCACTTACATGGGTGTAAGTAATACCTCACCGAAATCGACATATCTTGAAACCTTTGTAAACTGACATATTCTAGGCTGGCATTCCTCTCGCATACATCTTCTCCGAGAGCGCTGACGAGCGTGAGACCTTCGCTAAGACTTTGAAGCCTCTCGCTGAGTTGTACAAGGGCAAGATCAACTTTGCCACCATCGACGCCAAGGACTTCGGCCAACATGCTGGTAACCTCAACCTTGAGGTTGGCAAGTGGCCTGCGTTCGCTATCCAAGACCCCGTCAAGAACCTCAAGTTCCCCTTCACTGAGGCCGGTTCCGTGGCTGCACTCAGCGAGAAGGCTCTCGGCAAATTCCTCAAGGACTTCGTTGCCGGCAAGGTTGAGCCCAGTATCAAGAGCGAGGAGATTCCCGAGAAGCAGGAGGGCGTGACCGTCGTCGTTGCCAAGTCTTACGATGACCTCGTCATCAACAATGACAAGGATGTCCTCCTCGAGTTCTACGCTCCTTGGTGTGGACACTGCAAGGCGCTCGCTCCCAAGTACGAGGAGCTTGCCGCCATGTACGCCAGCCACGCCGACAAGGTCACCATCGCCAAGGTCGATGCCACCCTCAACGACGTCCCCGATGAGATCCAGGGCTTCCCCACCATCAAGCTCTTCAAGGCTGGCGCCAAGTCCGAGCCGATCACATACTCCGGAGACCGATCGATCGAAGACCTCGCCAAGTTCATCGCCGAGAACGGCTCGCACAAGATCGCCGCCTCTGCAGCTGATGCCGAGGCCGTCGAGACCGACGCCATGCCCAGCCAGGCGCCCGCTGCTACCAAGATCGCGGAGAAGGTTGCGAGCAAGGTCGCTGAGGCTGCGGCCGCCGTCAAGGAGGCTGTCATCGACGATGAGGGCATGGACGACCATGACGAGCTTTAAGTGTTCAATTAGAAATGTGACAGGGTAAATGAGGAACAATGCATCTAGGACGGTGTCTAGTTGCCATCGATAATGATGAATCGAATGAGTTTACAATGCAAAGATTCAAGTTTCATGAATCTATTCGAGTATCTGTTGACGTTCTCTCTTGTTGCATTGGCAGTAATGCGAAAGAGTCACCCGGAACCCCAAAAACAAGCCTACAAACCAAGCTCGTCTCATCGCTTGCACGCGATCAGTTGATCAGACCTCGCACAAGTAATCTTTGATGACGATGACAAGATATAATCCGCATTAGCCTTTCCCTCTACACGAATCAACAACCATGTCCTTGTGTTTATTACAATGAGTTGATTGCTGATTGCGACTCTGCAGTCATCACATCAGTTGGTAGACCAGCCGGCGCTATCGATAAGGCTTTCACCCCGCCCAACTTCGTCATTCGACGCGAGACCGCGCCAGACAGATCCCGAATGGCTATCGGGGAGAGCTAACATTGCCCACTACTACAGTACTACAGCACTGGTCGCGAAGGTTCACGACATGGCCACGCAAGCGCACTGTGCATACTGCTTCGAAAGCCTCGCCGCCAGTTTCGAAAACCGCCGCGCCCTCTCCCTGGCAGAAGTCCAAGATCTCTGGGCGCGATACAATGCCGACGATGTTGGCCCCCGTCCCTCCACCGCCATAAATGAAGCCGGCGCCGCAACGACCAAACCAGCAGCAGCCATCACCCGCCTCCTCAACCGCGTCACAAGAGCAGACGGAGGCAGCAATCCCTCCGGATCGTCCGCCACGTCATCCCGCAGTAACCTGTCCTCCACAACAGCAACAACGGCGACTTCCTCGAATACTTCGTCGCGGAGCCGCGGAAGCCGGGATCCCTCGGGATCTGCCACGCCCGCGAGTTCGATCAGCTCGACGACGGGCAAGGGACTTGTTGAGGAGGAGGAGGAAGAACGAGAAGAAGAGGAGGAGGAGGAGGAGGAGGAGGAGTACCCGTTGTTTGTGACCTGGAACACGATGTCCAAGAGCGGAAGGAAGAGCCTGCGTGGTTGTCTCGGCATCTTCGAACCGTACGAGCTGGACTATGGCCTGGGAAGATTCGCGTTGAGGAGGTAAGCAGCTCGGCAGCCGAACACGCGTGCAGGTCCGATTTGGGAATCGTGCGACACACGTCACTGTTTGATGGGGTGAGGCCTAGTCTTCTCGGGGAAAGAACTTTGCTGACATCTTTGCTTCTCTCCGCGCCCGTGTCACAGCGCATTCGAAGACCACCGCTTCTCGCCCATCCCGCACTCCCTCCTCCCTTCCCTCGGCAACCAGGTCACGCTCCTCACAAACTTCAGCACCGGAACCACCGATCCCTACGCTTGGACCATCGGCCAGCACGGCCTGCGGATCAGCTTCACATGTCGCGGACAACGACTCGGCGCGACGTATCTTCCGGACATTGCGTCCGAGCAGGGCTGGACACAAGAGGAGACGCTTGTGTCGCTGATGAGGAAGGCGGGGTGGAGCGGCGGGAATAGTTCGAGTTGGGAAAAGGTTTGGCGGGATGGAAAGGGGGAGTTGGTCACGTATGAGGGGAAACCGGCGGAGTTGACGTATCCGGAGTGGAAGGAGTGGAGGGATTGGGTGGATGAGGTACAAGGGTCGGGCAGATGAAGCATTTGTCAATACCGATGCCTGTGAATGGAGATTCTCAGGCCATCCTACGTGAGCGGATTGAATGGCGCTTTGATGAATTCGAAGACAAGAAGTTGAAGATCTGAAGAAGGAAAGCGGTGTGTGCTTTGCCGTTTATGGACTATGTAGCTGACTGGAAGCCAGGGAGGCGCCTCTGTACGAATGAAGCTATAGAGCCGACCTCGTACAGGTAGCAACTGGAGATATGCATCGTGATCCAGAGCAAACAGTTACACGCCTGCCTTGCTGACGCGCCCGTGCAAGGGTGGATGGACCATGCGTCTGATCGAAAGCGGCTGTCGTCTACGCAAGCAGGAATCGACCTTTTGGGCGCTTCCATACCTCGTGCTCATGGCGTACGCGTTGAGGATTTTCGTGTCGGCTCTTGATCGCATAAGCGCATCGTTGACTCGGTGAGCAGGAAATCAATTACTGTAGGTAAGCCACGTATGACGCAGAACAAGTCACGGTGACATGTATGTGTCACGCATCAAGGTGCGAAGTGATCATTCGAAGGTGAAGAATTGCAGAAGCGACAGTCTCTCCGAATACACATGGGGACTTCAGACAGTCACCGTGACCAGACGCCCATGGGGGTAGGCATATGCCACAATCCGATCGCAGTCCGTTGCTTTCGCGAATCTTGTCGAGCACGAGAGCCGAGTTTCTTCCGTCGTCAAGTCGTCCGTGTCGATCGCCGCGACCCGAAGCGGCATTGTCACATCCGCGTCTACCCCGGATATCAACCTTGAGATGCAGTGAAATTCTCAGTTCGCCACGCCCGTGAGGCGAAGGAAGCGTGTGACGTCGGGTGTCTATCATCCATGGATTGCAGCGATGCGGGGCGCATTTGTGGCCACCTCGTGTTATGTGACAAGCAAGTAGAGTGGAAAAAATATTGGTCACGATTTCGGATGTCAACGGCGCTGATCGTGCAGATTCAACCTCTCGGGGCGCAGAGGACAATCTTGCGCATCATCGTTCTGTCACCGCGGATCTCCCCGTTCAGCATCATCGGTACCCAGGGGGACGGGCTTTAACTGCAGGTGTTGTGGAATGTGGTTGCTTGCAGGTGGACATCGAGACTGCTGATTTGACGGCTTGCAAGCATCCCAGTGCGACGAAGACTACTCACACTCGTGGCGTTTGGATGAGTGTGTGCCAAATGGTTTGGACGTCTGAGGTCGGTCAGAACGATGGAAGGACGCATTCGATGCCCCTGATGCATGGCCATTGAGAGAAGTGTGAGCGAGGTTTGATGGGCGACCCAACAGCCTGATCGTCGAATGTATCAAGCAGCAGATCGAGTTTCCTGTATGGGCTGGCTCTGAATGGTGTCAGCCATTGATGACCCATCAACGACCTCTGTGAAAGCTCCATTCGAGGATTGTCAACGCCGGCGTCGGAATGTTCGTCAATAGAAGTACGATCCTCGAGTGATACCGTGATGGATCAAAAGAGCTTGCCGGGTTACAATGCCTGAGCGATGACATGTGTGATCAATAGCAATGACTTCCCAGGCTTGCAACAGGATACTCCAGGGCTGTCATGAATCCGGCCGCCGCGTGTGTCAGAACGAGCTCCGATCTTCCAAGAGGTCAACTTGTTTCCAACAGCATCAATGCAGTCAAAGGCAAGCCAGGCAGTTGCTCCTCCACCAGAACAGCTCCACCATTGCGACACACGCGTCATGCAAACGAGCTCTTTCCCAGTTCGTGAGCTTGATGACTGCCCAAGTGGCAGCTGAAAGAGAAACCTCCAACTGCCAGCAGGAGCATGACACATGCCTCGCGTCACTTGCACCTGTTGCCTGGTCCACTGCTCTCAGCATAAAAGACTTTCCTCTGCTCCGGTTGTGCTTCTTCCTCCTCCTCTTCTTCTCTCTCATAATCCACCACCTGACTATCATCCATCATCCATCACAACGATCAATAATCACATTCAACCTCAAAACACCTTCAAGACCAATCACTTCAATACCAATCTCCAACATGTCTGATCTCGGTCGCAAGGATATGTCCGACAGTACGTTGCCGTCACCTGCCTCGGCCATGATCATTCCTCATGCTGATTTGAACTGCAGAGGCGCAGGAGAAGATCACTCCCGACAGCCAGAAGTCTACCCTTCAACAGACCAAGGAGACCCTCACCGGCACTGCTGACAAGGCCGCTCGGTACGTTTGAATTTGCTCACGATCTATTGACGCATCAGCTTCATCGAGCCAAGCTGACCGTTGAATCCCCAACAGCGACACCCAGCCTGACTCTCACAAGTCCACCACTCAGCAGATGGGTGACAAAATGTCCGGCTCCAAGGACTCTCACTCTCGATCCACCGATGACAAGTCCATGCTCGACAAGGCCAAGGACACCGTGGGCCTGGGCGACAAGCACTAAACGTCTTTCGACGTCTCTTCGACCTCGTCACGTCTCCGTGAGTCGGTTCACCTGAGGCTGTCGATTCAGCAAGCGAGAATGAATGGCAGGCAGCACAACAGGAGGGTATCTTCTGGAGGGTGTCGTGGCGTCTGAATGATGGAGGTCCCATCACTGGTATGAATATTGCGTATAGCTTAACCTGAAATCAAACATGCCCACAAGGCATCTTGTCCTGTGATTCATCATCTCTTGTTCGTGATGTCCTTGAAAATGTTTGATCCTGGTCGTCAGAACCAGCAGCCGAGTCTGGCGCTGTCATAGCTGACGGTAGCGGATCTCATGTCAAGGCTGAATGTTACCATTCATCACCTGCATTTAACGACCGTCAGACGTCGGTCCCTGCTTGGATTCCATCTCTGCTGGATCGCGTTGCATGAATCGAGGATCCATCCGGGGCTGCGGCCTTCTGTAGAAGCCAATAACTTCCGCACACCTGGACAGCCAACGCATCAATAATATCGCTTAGTCAATGATAACAAAGCAAACCTTTATATTTGAACTCAACACTACCTGTCTGACAGACCTCGACACGTCCGCATAGCCTGGAAGAGCCCCGAACCTAAAACACAGCCGCTCCTCCCATGTTGGGCTTTTGTTTGTGGCATCACATCACCCCACAGCAAGGAATGTCCAGCCCCAAATCCTTCTTCGCCGGGCCCAGTCCAACGCGTAGTCCCTGTCCCCGTTTGAGGACCAACCTCGAATATCTCAGGTCGTTCCCCGCGATACCGCGATATCTCTGTGGGACTCGTCCTGCAATCTCAACACTAGCCTCGCTCGCACTGCCTCTGCTGCTGCTGCTGGAATCTGCGACGGCGGCATATCTCGGACCGACGATCTGAACTCTGTCGCATAAAGGGCAGGCGTGCCGGGGTGTGTCGCGGCAGTAGTAGCGTGGCATCGTCGCGGGACCGCGGGGTTGGGCGGAGGTGAAATGTGGACAGGTCATGAGGTTCACGCCTGGGGCGCAGGGCCGGTAGAGGGAGAGCCTGGGTTTCGTTAGACGGGGTTTCGTCGCTGATGACGGCTTCACCAAGGGTGGTTGGGAATTTGGCCGTCGGTGTAGAGTGGTCTGTCTGGTCGCTTGACGCACCATGTGTGTTTGCAAGTCAATGAATTTGAGAGGACTGTTCGACACATTGCGAGAGAGAGTTTTATGTGTAAGTCTTTGAAAGGAGGTCTGCATCTTCTTCTTCTTCTCCTTCTTCTTCTGAGTGCGAGTCCCGAGAAGCCGAAGATCTAATAACTTTGAAGGTGCAGTACTGCGAAGGAGGTTTGGTGATGTGCGACTGTCGCTTCGCTGGCAAGAGCGGTCGCACAGAATAGGCTGTCACGTTCAAGAGCCAGCCGATGAGGTGAGTGTCGTTCCCGGAAAAACTTGCGACACATTCCTGTTATGACCCGCGCGCGTTGCCCGTCACGCGGAGACTGCGGAGTGGACACGCTCTAGGTGCTCTGCTGATGATGTCTTCTCTACTCGTCTTTCTTCTGGGACACCGGATCCAGGGAGTATTCGGGGTCATTTTCAGCGAGCTCCTTTTCGCGGATCGAGTTCATCAGCTCGTACATCTGGCCAATCTGCTGGTCTAAATTCAATGAAAATTGACGCATCAGTATCTCACACATATCATTCATATGTTCCATCACACCAACAACGTACCGCTCATCTTGTCAATCTTCCCACGATCCATCTTTTCACCTCTCCACGATTCACCCTCAATCTGCTGCGCGTACATCTGCCACTCCGTCAGGAAGCCCACAATATGTACGGGATTCTCAATATTCCGGTGCAGGCGAAACTCGCTCTTGATGTACTCATCTCCCAAGAGCCGTTCCTGTCGCGGGAGATGCTTGCGGTGCGCCCGCAGGAGTCGTCGGTAGAGTGGAATAGGCGGGAGGAGTGCGAGCGGGACAGGGCGCAGCCCAGAAGATTGGGTGCCGACGGCGGAAGGCAGAGCGAGGAGTCGGGCTGTGAAACGCATGGTTGCTGGGTTATTGATGTCGTTTGAGATGGGTGATGGATAGATGCTATGCGCGAATGCTCTTCAATGGCTAGATTTGAGATGAAGAGTTGAAGAAACTAAGGGCATCTTCGTGAATTAGCGACGTCATGATTGGACCTCGGGAGTAATTATTTGATTAGTCATTCCAAATGTTTGGCCACGCGACGGGCGGGCGTGAACCCTTGCTGCTTGGGTCGTGCTGCTTGGGTCGCTCCTTCCTCCCTCAAGACTCCAGGGCTTTGCTCTTGCCTCAACACCGCGCAACGGTGTCCAAAAATAAAGAACATCTGCGCTAGACAAAATTCTGCGATCTCACAGTCAAAACACACTCCAAAACAACTTCACGATGTCGTTTTTGATCGCAATACACCAGAGATCCAAAAGATTAGCCCCCTACCTGGATCGAACAAGTGACCTTAGGATGATTGCGTTGCACTGCAATCCCACGCTCTACCACTGAGCTAAAGGGGCTAATGGGTATAGGGAGATGATCGGGGGTGGCTATAAGATTTTCGGAATTTGCGCCGATGCGGTAACTTGAGCCATGAAAGAATGTCCATGATTACAATCTGGGGCAGTGTAATCAGACAAATCGGCTCCGGGAGCCTCGAAATTGGACACTCCGATGACTCATCAGATGCACCCGCTCGCTAATGACTAAGGAGATGATCGGAATTTCGGCGCTCCCGCGCGGGCCGTTACGCCCGTCTCCAATCGAGCATGGTCTTGCCATCGGAGTGGTGCACCCGGCTTCAACGATATCTTTCCCCGAAATGCCAAATCAGACTACGTGTATTGCAATGCAGTCTGGAAAGTGTTTCGCCTGGGATGAGTGACGAGGAGATGATGACGCGCTTGATTCCGATCGTGAAAAGTTCGAGCGGAGAATCTTGAGTGAAGTTTGGGATGTAAAAGAGCGGCATGGATTACTGCATCACCTGCAACGTGTGTTCGTAGGGTTGTCCTCAGACACAATCACTGTTATTGTTCAAGCGACACCTGGATGTGACAGAACACAATCACCGGGTATCTCATGGTGTGAAGGTATCGGTCAAATCGAACGGGGCATTCCGATGACTGTCAAGGTCATCAGATGCTGCTTCTTGCTGATGAACAATACGCGACCCGCCTGCTTTCCAATCCAAAAGGGTAGGGTCAGATGGGATATCGATCTTGTTAAGCGCAGTGTCTCAATTTGACCGATGCCTGCCCAGGTGCCCAGGTGTATCATGGAGTGACGGCATGTCATGCCTCTCCACATTGTAAGCGTGCAGTAGAGCAGTGATCAGCAGGCGACCGGCAGGACTGGGCACGCAAAGCGAGAGTGATCTACAGAGGGGAAGCGGTCGGCGAAAAAAAGTTCATGAGAGTGCCGTGTTATGATCGTCCAGCTCATCATTGTGCAATGTGGAGAAGCGAGCCGAGATTCCAGGTTAGGGTGGAGCGTTGTAGTCATAAGTTCGGACGATCGTCCACCGATAAAATACAAACATCGTCGAGGACATGCAGTATGAATATCGCTCTCACATTTACTTACGGGTGTAATCCTTCGCGCATATCACGAATATTTAATGGATGAACGCCCGATAGAGAGGTCTCCAAGTGGCTGTGCTCTCTCACATAATTTCGTTGGAGGAAATATGCTGTCTTGTATGTCCAGGTGAACGTCATTAATTTCATAAAAGCTGAGGAAGCGCAATGCGAAATGTACGACGTTTGCCCTACATGCAGACGTGGACGCCGAGGTTGCCCTTTCCAGCATCGCCATTCCCCGTGCGACTGTCTTGGATCGCCCTGCGCTCCGTCTTCCACCACCCGCATTACAAAATCTCGCGCTGGATCAAATGTGACATGATGCCATGCGATGACCCAAATGGATCAGGATTACAATCTAGAGATGGAGTTGATGCATGAACGAAGGGAGAGATGTCAACACATTCAGATTGGCTGGTAGTTCGCGAGGAGATTATGCATGCCGTTAGTGCCGTTATTTATCCAAGTATCCCCCTCAAAACCGAAACCCGGGGCGGCGAATCCTCCACTACCCTGATCAGGAACTCCTCAAGTCTGCTTCGATCCATTGCTGTAGGGTGCAAGCGAATCTCTCTGCGCTGCTCTCCTTTCCAAGACTTTTCTGAATGTGCTTGCACAACACGCTCGGCATCTTCCCCCTTCGCCGCTATCACCACTTAAACCGAGACGGTGCACAATCTGACTCGTGTGGTTGTTGTGCATTCAGCTGGTCTGTGAAGGCACGTGCGAGTGGCGTACATTGCCAGAACTGCCCCGGAAATTCTGCTCCTCCTTTTTAGCATCGAGCTAGAATAACTCCATCCATTGACATTCCTCACTCAACTCATCCTCATCCGAACGTTCTCCAGCGCTTCTGACGCGCATGGTGTCTTTCGCCTGAGTACAGCGAACACCTTTCGACTTCCCAAGCCATATAATCGTCGCTTGTCGACGCGCCGTGGCCCTTCCCACGTCTTCTGGTTGACATTCATCACCTCCGCCATCATGTTGGTTCGAAGCACGCGCAACATGGTGCCCATCTTGGGCATCGTGTTGCTGCTTTTCGTCATCGGCACTCTGTACCGCAGCCCTCAGCTTCCTGGAGACAGTATCGACTATCTGCGCAAATTCGGAAGCGATCGGTCATCAAGCAAATCGCATCAGCAGACTGGCTATGACGATGCGCCAGATTTCGCCCAAGGCGGATCGTACACCGAGGATGGCACCGCCGCGGATCCTCTCCACCCTGAACACCCCGTCGCCAACCCGAACCCGCTCCCAGGCGGCGATGCCCACAAGGCTGAGCATACGACCACCTCGACCACCACTTCGCGCGGTGTCCCAGCAACCAAGACTGCGGACGCTAGCAGCACTGAAGAGACTGGAGATGCCCCCAAGCAAGAGAAGGTTGCTTTCAACTATGGCGAGGTACACCATGCTGATCTGACCAAGCCCGCATGGAAGCCTGGTGACCCAAAGCCGGACAACTACTGGACTGACGCGCCTCGCCGCGAGATTCGTTCCAAGCTCAAGCCGGATGGATCTTACTGGAAGGTCGACATGCGCAGCTACCGCGGCATCAATCCTAATGTCATTCCGGACCCAAAATACTTAGACAGATATCTGATCGTCGCTCAGCAGCATCAAGATACTCACGAGAACATCGTCTGGCATACCGAGCTCACCTGCCGCGCAAAGTTTGAGTCTAACGGCGATTTGAAGTGTGTTCAGGAGCCTATGATTCTTCCTATCGCGATGACCCGCACCGACAAGTGCGAAAACACCGATTTCCCATTCATCACCATGAACATTGGACCGCACGACGCCCGTCTTTTCAACGGTCCCGACCGGCCGTACGTGATGTGGGGTGCTCAATCTAAGCACGTATGCTTCGGACAGTGGCTTCAAGATTATCGACCCATGACTGATTGGATGGCCAACTACACCTACGACACCATTCCCAAGAACAACGACTTTGAGATGGCCACCGATTTGCAACGCCCGCCTCCGTATGGACAGGTTGAAAAGAACTGGTTCATGTTCTGGGATGCTGACAACGCCACCTACTTGCATTACCACGTTTACCCTCGGCGTATTTTCGCCCGACTACATCTTGACGGTTCAGTCGGTCCAGATCTCGCCCCGGCCGCGTATGAGCACGATGACAAATGTTGGGCCAAGCACATCGAGCTTGCACCTGTACAAGACATCCAAGCCGACGACCACTTGCACCAAGCCACCAACAGCTTGAAGATCACCATGTGCCACAAAAAGACCGACCCGGATTGCAAACCTCGTGATGACAACACCTTCCTCATGACCGTTTTCCAGCACAAGGTCAGCCGAATGTTCCACGCCATGTACGACCCATACGTGATGCTCTGGGAGACCAAGGCACCATTCAAGTTGCACGGCATGTCCAAGGTTCCCTTCTGGATTCACGGCCGAAGCGACAACATCACCAAGGCCGCGCACGACATTGATCTCAAGGCCGTAGCGGACCAGAGCGAGCAATTTTACATTACCAGCTTCAACTGGAAGGACGTTGGAAAGATGTACCACGGTTACCTCGATGACGACGTTATTGTCGCATTTGGTATTGAGGACTACCAAGCCGCGGGCATCGATGTCGGGATTGAGGAGTTGATTGGAGATTACTTTACTTGCTAGATTTCTCTTCTCTTGTTTCTGAAGCGGTCGGATCTTTTTCTCTTTTCATGACACTCGTCAATTTGGGTCGGCGGCCTTGGTACTTCTGTATCTCTTGGATATTCAGCGGGAATGAAGGGGAATATGAAATGCGACGATGAACCTCTGATGGGAGAATTCATACAAAAGACTTTTGCTTGAAAAAATGGAGCGCGGAATCCGCCGTTCTCGCTTTCTCGGGACAATGGCGGCGACGAGCGACGAAGACGATGAGATCAAGTGATCTTTTCGACTCGAAAGTCCTCCATGTGTCTTGAGCTTGACTTTTGATGTCAAATTAGGCCAACTGCTGTGAATGAGGATTATATATTTACATGTACATTGATTGAATGAGAGGCGTTTTCTGAACTTCCGAGCACTTCTGATCTTACTTTATACTTGATCTATTACCTGTTCATGTGTTGCTAGGAAAGTCCCGGTTCATTCACATTTGACCTCACGACATACAGAATTACATAACTGCGTTTGTATTGCCTGACTGTTCAAAAAATGATCTAATATACCATTGTGACCGTCGTTCTCCCCGTCTAGCCGGCGACGCCGGTTTTCCTTGGGTGAGCGGCAGCCAGCCGCGGCAGGACAGCCGAGCAAGGAATCAAGCTCCAACAGCTACAATCGCGCAGCAACATACGTTCGACGCCGACCCGCGCTCTCCGAGAATTTGATTCAATTCCAAGCGTCACCTTCAATCGACTCGATAGCCATCATCGTCACCGTTGGATCCAGACGAGCTGTATTTGCGACGGACGAAGCTCCTGGGACTCGCCTCACAATTATTCGCGCAAGGAACTGAGACAAAATCCCATCCACCCTGCAATCCATAAACTTCGCAACCACCATGCAACGATTTTCCGCCCCGGTCGCCTCGGCGCTGCGCGCGTCTGCCCAGCGTTCATTCTCTACGACGAGGACTCGCTCCGCGCCCGTCGTGGCGGTCACACCGCCGAGGAAACCCATCGGCGCGTTTCGCGGGTCGTAAGTGCGATTCGTTTTCTTCTTCGATGTTTTGGCGATTGCGATTGGGAATGATATATGTTATATGTCTACATCGGCGACGAATCGTTCGGAAAAGTGGGGATTATTGGGTTGGCGAAGAGATGGCAGAATGGGCATATGCAATGTGAAGCAATGGAAGGAGGAGCAGGAGGGTATAGTCCAATCCCATTGAACTATACCCGGTGGATGATGATATTCGGTCGACGCGCTGTTTGGCTCTTCCAATCATGATGGTGTAGATACTTCGGGACTTCACACACACACATACACACACACACTGACCATCGCTGACATTCTTCGTTGCGTTCCCAGGGTCTTCGGCTTCCTCATTGGTACCGTCCTCGCAGGTAGCGGACTATACTACTACGTGGTCGACGAGTACAAGATCTCGAATCGCCTTCTGGTTGAGGACATTTACGTGAGTGATTCCTCACTTCTCGTGTGCTTACCGAGACTGACCACAAATTATACAGGCACTGCAATCCGCCGTGAGCAGGCTCGAGGGTCACATCAAATCATTGGAGGAGGCGATCCCAAAGAAGAAGTGAGCGTCGGTGTTCAGATTGAGGGAGGAAATGCCTAGTCAATCCAGCGTATGGTTGGCTTCGTACACAAGAGAAGAATCCGTGACATAACGGTATCGATTCCACCACACGGGCGTCAGGAGAACGGGAGGTAGGCTGGTCAAGGGAGCAACAAGAACCGACTGTTCGAACGAGCTGCGAAAGGCCCTGTGGGCATGCATGCATGTCGGCTCCCAACCTTTCATGCTGCCTGAGGTCGAGGATTTCATATATACCACTGTCTGTACAGTAAAATGCAAAGTTGTGAATGTTTTCTGGCGCGGACGCTCGATATCGTGACAAAAGCCAATTCTTCGCGCAAAGACCGCTTGTTGTTGTAGCGCTCCCTGACGAGCATCTGAATATCGCAATCTTAAGAGCGATAGTGATGTATCCGTTGTCGACAAGATTGGAAGATTGATGGACATTTGCACCAGGGCTTATCTTTCAATGCCCATTTTTGGTAGTCCTTCCAGAACCTGACCTCCGTCAGAACTATCGTGCAAATAGTCTCTTCTACCAAAGGCATTGGGAATTTCCAACCAATCAATTTCCTTCCCAAAAAATACGACAGAGCGATGAATCTCAACGCAACTGGAGAATGAATTGATCAAAAAATTCTATTGTTGTTTTCTTTCGCTAATTCCTCGACAGCTAAGCTCCACCATGAACAAGCACAAAAAGATCGATGGAAAATGTTTCAACTCCCACACAGATTTTCCCACACATGCACACACACATCTAAAGACATTAATGAGATCGACCAGCCGGCCAGGTGCATCACCCCATAGCCGAGAAGGAAGGAAAAGGGAAAAGTTCGAGGGAGGAATTGGATCACCACTGTACAGTGAATGAAAAGGGGGACGGAGGGGGGTGATGAGATGAGCAGACGTGATCCAAGGCTAAACAGTCGCAGCTTCCATCAGTTTCACACACGTCCCGCTCACGCCACCGCCTGCTTGGCCGCCGCGACCTTCTCGGCGGCCGCGTTCGCCAGCTTGTCCAACTGCTCCGCGCGCAGCGTCCGGACATAGCGGAAGAGAAGGACGAACAACAACTCGACGCGCTCCTTGGTCATCATCAGAAGACCCTGCACGAGGAATCCCTTGAGCAATTGGGGCGCGATGCCCTTGTATAGACCCAGGATTCCGTCGCGCTGCACGATGAATTGCATGACTTCGATGAAGGAGGTGAAGGGTTTGCCTTGGCGGGCTGGCGGGGGCTTGGACTGGAGGCCGACTTTGGCGACGATGAGGGGTTGGGTTACGACGGTGGCGAGCATTTTGGAGAGGGCGCCGAGGACTGCGGAGGGTGGGTTTGTTAGCTTCAAGTTTATTTGCCGTTGGCAGTGAGATGTTCTCGTTTCAGGCGTTTGCGCGCACTGTTTTTGGGAATTGAGACGGGGAGAGATTGGTGAATGGAGGCAACTTACTGAAAGCCTCGTGAGGCTGAAGGCTCTTCTTGTTCGGGTAGAACGCGGTCCGTAGTCTCTCGTAGGCACCGTATGTGATGGCCGGGTTCACGACCAAGACCATGCTAGCACGGATTCCTCGCCAAAGACCGGCGACACCATCCGGGCCATCCATCACCTCCTGCGCCGTGGCCAACGCACCCTTGCGGTCCGCCTTCTTCTGTGTCTGTTGTCGTGTGGTCACGACCGAGATGGGAATGGTGAAAATCTGCGCCAGAGCACCCGCAATCGCACCCAAGCTGAGCTCGATACCGATGCTGGGCGCCTGGTTTGACTTGGCCACCTTCTCCATGTAGAAAGTGCGCACGGCGCCGTACCAGTAGAAGTATGCGAAGTTGGTGCTGACGACACCGGTCAAGCTGCCCGCGATACCAGCGAAGAGACCGCCGACACCCTCCTCGGCGACGATATGCTGCATGGCGTGCATGGTGCCCTCATAGTGGACTTCGCCCGGCTGTGTCACGTAGGTGTCGGTCGCGCTCTTCTTCACCTGAGTCTGCAGACGGGTCTTGATGACGTCGAGTGGGTAGACGACCGCGTTGGCGACCAATGCACCGGCCGACCCGGCGAGGGCGAGGCCCCATGGAGGGAGCTCTTGTTTTGAAAGGACGGGAGCCATTGTGTGAGAGGAAGAGTGGAGTTGAGGATGTTGCTTTGAAGATCAACACGTGCTGTTCAGCGCCTGGTGGCAGACGGATGAAGAGAGACGGTCGTCTTATCTGTCGCAGGAGTCGTGCGGTGTGTGTCGAATATGAACACTCGTGAATGGAGCAATGGCGGCAGGCAGGTTGATGTAGGCCTGTTGTTCACGGGAGCACAAAGTCGGAGGGATAAAGTCGAGTCGGTATGCGCTTACGACCAGACATATATTGATGCGTCGGTATGGGAGATATTCTATCGGGCCAAAGTCAGAAACAGGGCAGGCCGCAGAGCTCGGCCAAATGGTACAGCACGTAACAACGTCGGTCCCGCGGGCAGGGAGGGAGATAGAGAGAGAGACAGACCATCCAACGCCCGTCAAGCGCCGGACAGAGTCGTGATGGCTGAGCGTTGTAGTGAGAAAAAGCTACCTCGGCTGCAATGATTCGGCTGATGAGAGGCGGGAAACGTGCCCCAACTTCAAGTAAGTTTGGCACGAGTTACCGGCATGTCACTGCGGTTCACGTGCCATACATTCTTCCCCAGATCATCAATTCTTCCCATCGGCGGGAAGCAGCGAGTGCCGACACCGACAAACAAGGAAGACCCCACGTGCTCACCTGGACATAGATCTCGTCATGACAGACAGTCCATCTGCGGGCAGTCCATCGGATCTGTCGAGTTCTTCAATCCCAAGCGACCATTATATGTCCCATGTTCCGGGGTCTTCATGTTTCATAAGATGGATGTTTAACAAGGCATCTTTGGGCATTCACAGACTCTGCTCAGCGTGTTGATCGATTCAAGGTACTTGTCATCATGTGTCGTGGAGAGTTCTAGATAACCTAGGTAGTACCAAGGAATTTCTTCAATAGATAGATCATGCAAAACAGAACGAAGCTCTTGGAATATTATCCGAATATCCAGAATCATTACCCTTTCACATCAAACGGATGTGATTGAGGCATAATTATAGCCAGCACATCGTTGTTGAATCGCTGTACGTCTAGGAACGATATTGTCCACACAGCTCCGATCCAGCGATTACATGATTACTTCACAACGTTGGCCAGCTCAATATCGCGGCACCGGACACTATTGTGACTGCGCTGATCATGCAACATGAGCGACCAAAATCGTTCTTTGGTAGCAGTCCTTCGTGAAGATCAGCGTCTGACTCAGAAGCTCAAAGGCGCAAAGACACGCGATGAAGCCCTTGAAGCGGCCATTCTGGCAGCCGAAAATGCCCTCAAAGCACTCTCATTAGCTCAACGTGCCGATGAAAAAGCCCAATTTCGAGCTCGAGCAAAGGAGCTGATGAGTGAAGCAGAAAGCATCAAAGAGAATCCTGCTTGGCAACCCAAGAACGATCCTTCTCTCGATAGCGGAAACGATACCACCAATACAAGCAGGATTTCTCCAATTTCAGGCGTAGCGAAAGTACTCAAAGAGCCTCGAAGCACACGGGCGTTGACAACTCGAGAGAAGATCATCCTAGCCAGGGCGACGTTCCTGAATGGTACCAAATTTCCTATGTGGGAGTCTCCTCCATCGGCGACAGAGTTCGAACTGCCAGGTGGTGGAGTTCCATTCGTGTGTGTGCTACCCTTACGTGCATCGCGAATTTGGCTTGCTGACGAAATATTCCTCGCAAAGCGATGACTCTCCTGAACTCTCGCTGTCAAAATTCCAGCTTGATGTATTCGAAGATTGGAAGCGACCGGCCGAGGCCATGCCACCACCGGCTTGGCGATCGTCAAGCTTATCGAAGCATCAGCCGTCGATGGCCTATGTCCTAAGAATGGATTTGGTACAGGATGCTGCGACAGATTGCTCAGTAGTAGCATCGCTCTGTGCTGGCGCGGAGCGGGTTTTACGCGGCCACACCCCTCTGCTCAAGACGATAATGTGGCCCTGGGACGATGTCAAGAACGAACCTCATCTGTCTGAAAACGGCAAATATGTGTTTCGGCTCAACTTCAATGGATGCTTTCGCAAGGTCATCATAGATGATCGTATCCCAGCAAGCGCAACTGATCGAGTCATCCATGTTGTGGATCGCAACAATCCAGCCTTGCTATGGCCTGCCTTGGTCGAGAAAGCGTATCTCAAAGTGCGAGGAGGCTACGACTTTCCAGGCAGCAACAGCGGGACAGACCTATGGATCCTGACAGGCTGGATCCCTGAACAGGTCTTCCTGCAGGCTGACGACCTGGAACCGGACCGGTTTTGGCAACGCATACTAAAGGCCTTCACGTATGGCGATGTTATGATTACTATGGGTACTGGTAAGATGTCACGTAAGACCGAGAGAGCGCTGGGTCTGGCTAGTGAGCACGACTATGCTGTCTTGGATCTTCGCGAAGTCGACGGTCAGCATTTAATGCTTATCAAGAATCCATGGTTATCCGGCATGGCATGGAGCGGCCGAGAAACATCTGCTGTAGACACAGATCCAGACCCAGTCAGCTCGCCACGTGACTCGCTTAACAAGGACGATGATCTAAAGCCTGGAACATTCTGGATGGACTTGGACAATGTACTCCGATGCTTTGAGTCCATTTATCTCAATTGGAACCCGGGGTTGTTCTCGTTTCGCCAGGATGTTCACTTTGAATGGGACTTGACGGAGACGCCGGATGCGAATGGTGCTAGAAAACCACGAGGTCCTTTCGCTAGTCTCCAAAATCATCGGCAATTTGCTGTGTCAATCCAAAAACCGGGCAATATCTGGTTATTACTATGGCGACACTTCCAAAACACGGTCCCTGAGGCTGCCACACCGGACGAGATTGAGAGTGGACGACATTTCATCGACCTCACTGGTTACATGGCACTTGCGTCTTTCAATGCCAGCGGGCGACGAGTAATGCTGCCTGAACGACATCATCGCAAGGGCTGGTTTGTGGACAGTCCACAAACCCTGCTCATGCTGGAAGATTGTGAAGCCGAAACTTCATACACTATTGTCGCCCTGGAACAAAACCTGGCCGCAGTCAAGCATTCCTTTACAGTCTCAGCATTCAGCACGTCGCCACTCACCATTGCAGATGCAGCGCCCCGATACCCACACAACACCTTGCTTCCTGCCGCATGGACAAGCGACACTGCAGGAGGCAATTCACAAGCAGCCACGTACTGCTCGAATCCTCAATTCATCCTTGTCGTCACACAGAAGACGTCGATCAGTTTACTTCTGGAGACACCAGATAAAAATCTCAACGTGCACGTACGCTTGCTCCATGGAAGTAGCACATCACCTGCCAAAAGCACTGTCGCAGGCTCTGAGCAGCGCGTACATCGCATCTGCCGTCGCGACATCGTCACCGACAGCAAAGACTATCGCGCGGGCGCGTGCCTCTGCGAAGTGGGCACTCCACTCGACCCTGGAAACTACATCATCCTCTGCAGCACTTTCGAAGCTGGCCAAACAGGGCCCTTTACCTTGTTAGTTGAGTCTTCACAGCCTGTTCATCATGTCTCCCTCCTGCCACGTGAAGGCGCCGGTCGAATCCGTACCGTCTTAGATCCCGTAGATTTCGAACGAGGCCAGAACGCACGTGCAGTGAGGCTCGAACCGCAGAGACTCACTACCCTCTACGCAATCGCACGACCAATTTCTTCGCTTGCGAAGACAACCACTCAATCTTCCCCGCGCTCTCACCTACGCCTGAGTCTCCGCTACAATCGTGGCCCAGACAGCATCCTGATCGCAACATCCAACGAAGGCGAGTACGCAGATGGTCGCCATCCCATCCGCACCGAGATCATCGATCTCGCTCCGTTGACATCTACAGGATCGAGTTCTCGATCAGGAGGAGACCGTGGTCTCGATTGGCAGGGTCACCAACAGCCATGGGAGTGCTGGCTTGTCTTGGAGCGTATGCATGTCCATCCTGCGGCGGATACGGGTGATGGGGAGAGTTTCGGTGTGGAACTCAGTACGGATTCGTTGAATGGTGTTTCGTATGGACGGTGGATTGATTGGCAGGAAGGGTGAATGGAGAGGTGCGGTTTCCGATTTGGAGGGATGAAATCCTAAGAAGCGCTTTATTACAGATTTCATATCGGAGTTCTGCCTACTTTATCTCCTTGAGATGCGTGATGTGACCTGAATCGGTCCTGCATGCAGCCAACGCATGCAAGTCAGTATAGGATGTTTGTCGGAAGGAAGTGGACAGCGAGATGTGGTCGTACCATCAATGCCAAGGCAAAAGACCGATAAGAGATGACGCCGCTGCCCCAGCCAAACTCGGCTGCAAATAGAGGGGTTCTCCAGGGCGGGAATTGACGCGGCTGGCGCGAAACCAACTTTATATATCGAAGGAACGTCGCAACCAACGGGCGTTGGCTTCGTGCTGAAATGAGTGGATGAGAGGCGCTGTTGATCGGGGGGAGATCTCAACACCGCCTTTCTTGGACCGCGTGCAAGACAAAGGTCATTCAACGCCTGGAATTCCCATGTCGCGATATCAGCAGGGAGAGCTTGGTAAGATTATCGCCAGGTCCACGCCATTCAGTATCATCGTTGATTAATGGACGGCGCAATGGTTTCCGTGATATGCGTACTGTGCTGCCCTCGCCGGTCGCGCGAGTAGCATCTCATGATTTGATAATCCGTGATCTCCAACCTCACCACGTTGCCAGGAGATCCGCCCGTGGTCCACCTGTAGACTTGAACTTGTACTGTATCTCCCACTGGATTCACTCCGTGCTCATTGCCCGGGTGTTCAAGGATTCTAGAATATATAGCACACGACCATCGTCTTTTCAGGCTCGTGCGCACATGATCGTTCTGCTCAGCCTGCCCACTTGTCATTAGTATTCTCTCTCCTTCTCCTCTTGACTCCGCCTCTTCCCTCCGAATCACACATTTCTTCTCTGATATTTGCCATTGTTGTCCGACCGATTTACCTCCTCCCTTTCGTGATCAGACGGTTCCAGCGACTGCTTGTCCGAAACCCTGAACTCTCGTTGGTGACGTCAGGCGGGTACTATTTGCTCGGCTCAGACCATCATATCTCAGGAGTGGGCGCGGCTTCGAGTGTAGATAGTGGTCCACCTGAAGATACCAGTGACATACAGCACCTGCGACCCGGATACTGAAAACTCTGCGAACTACAACCGCAAGCCCCTGCTCTACCAATATCTGCAAACCAGTGCCCTCTCGAGATAGCTCTTGGAGCTCTCGTGCAGAACCCACAAATTTCTGGCGCAGCGGTGAGCTGCTGCTACTGCCGCACGCGTGGGCAATACACTACACGTTAGAACAGACGACACCAGTTCGTGTTAGACGACGTTACAGCTTTTCTCCTTCGACAATACAACCGCCACCATGAGCGCACCACCAGCGACCTCTGCGGCGACCAGCGATGCCGAGCTGGCTGCTATCAAAGACGATGGACCAGCTGCAGTGCCAGACGGCCAAGCGCCTTCAGACGTCAGCAAACTCAAGACACTCCTCTTGATCCTCAAGCGCTTCATCGGCGTATCAGACATGGCCTCAGTTCGATTCAGCCTACCAGCCCAGCTCATGGAGCCAATTCCCAACCTCGAGTACTGGCATTATCTCGATCGCCCAGAGACCTTTGCTGCGATTGGCGATGCTGAGGACCCACTAGAGCGCATGCTCAGTGTTCTCCGCTTCTGGTTTACAAAGGACTTGAAATATGCCAAGGGAAAACCATGCAAACCATACAACAGCTCGCTGGGCGAGTTTTTCAGATGTACATGGGAGGCAGAGATGGAGGGCAAGAGCGCGGATAAACCGATCAAGGTCAATTACATTACGGAGCAGACATCACATCATCCGCCGATATCTGCCTTCGTGTATGAATGCCCAGAAAAGGGTATCAGTGCCGTAGGGTATGATCAAATCTCTGCCAAATTCACAGGCACTTCGGTCAAAGTCTCGGCTGGACAGTTTAACAAGGGAATTTTCATCTCCTTGCAAAATCGCAACAACGAAGAGTACCACCTCACTCACCCTGCTGCGTATCTCGGAGGTTTCCTCCGCGGCACTCTCAGTGTCTCTGTGGCAGACACCTGCTTCATCACCTGCCCGCAGACCGGCCTCAAGACCATCCTGCACTACCTCGAAGAAGGCTACTTCGGCAAGACGCAGAACAAGGTCGAAGGCATCATCTACAAACCCACGGACATCACTTCCGACAACATCACCAAGCTAAAAGACGTGCCCAAAGACCAGATTGTCGCCCGCATCGAGGGCTGCTGGACCGAGAAAATCTACTACTCGCTCGGCGCGACCGAATCCCGCAAAGTCTCCGCCTCCGACAAGATCCTGCTCATGGACATCATCCCGCTCTTCCCCTTCCCCAAAAAGTGTCCGCCGGAATCCTCCCAGCTCCCCAACGAATCCCGGAAATTCTGGTCCGGCGTCACCGAGTCCATCCTCGCCAAACAGTACAACCAGGCCACCACCCGCAAGACCCAACTCGAGGAGCGCCAGCGCGAGCGTGCGGCCGAGCGTGAGAAGTCCGGCGAGGAATGGCGGCCGCGGTTTTTCGCCACGGCGGTCGAGGAGGATGGAAGAGCGAAGTTGTCGGATGATGGCAGGAGGGCTTTGGAGGGCCTACAGAAGGAGGACTATGCGCTCGAGCCGGCCAAGGCCTATGGAGCTTTTTAAAGAGGAGGTCGTGTGGTTTACGTCATGGTGGTGCGGGTTTCGCGATCTCTCGTTCGATGTTGGATGGAGTCTCTGCGCATGGGGGGCTTGGAATTGTCCGTGCAGAGCGAACGGAAGCGTGTTGTTGGAGGCTCTCTCTTTTTTGTCTTTCGGTGGAAATTTCCGTCCGCCGCACACATGTGTCTCTTTTGGAGAAAGCAACGGAGTCGCAATATCTCAGCTTTGTCTACTGCTGAGAGATTGTAGGGCATCATCTACAAATAAAGTAGATCACAGTTCGATCCATGACCGATCTGAACCTCTTGAAGGGCAATTCCGTCGCTGGGGATATATGTAGAAGTTTCCTGCGATTCTTCTTCTGGCCCTCCCCTTTCATCCCGATTTTCACCCGCTCGCGCTTGTCATTATCGTGAGTCTTCCGTGTTCTTATAGTCCACAACTTGGGTACCTATAAGGCGATACATTGGGCGCCCACTCTGACCGGGGCGACCGGCACAAACAATTAATCCCCGAAATGTTCCACAGACGTCAAGTTCCGATCTTGAAACGCACGATCTCGTTTAGGGTGCATGCAGGGGGCTATCAAGGCAAATGCTGTCCGTTCGCTGCATGTAGGGATAGGATCGCCATGACAAGGCTAAAACGCCTGCCTTAAAAAAATCACCCATGTCCGGTCGGGACTTTCAGGTTCCACGACATGGTCTTCGAATTAATTCTATCGTGTTGGGTCGGATGAAAGCGCATCGAAAAAGGGTACCAGACCGACTCGGCGGGTTTCACGACATATTTTTCGTGGTTCGTACATTATAAATGGCCTTGAATGATGACCATGTCGACGGAAGACGAAGGAGAAGAGAAATCGCTCGCAAAAGTCGATTTTGAGCTCAAGCGATCATCGCTTTTCCATCATCATGCTGCTCGTTGAACTGCCAGTCGAACTGCTGATAGAGATCATGTATCATTTCGAGGAAATCGCGTCCGCCCTGAAATTGTCGGCCACGAATCGCATGATGCGCGCGATCTGGCATGAAAACACGACGTCCGTCGTCCAGAGCATGTTTGAAATCAGACCCGAAGATGTGGAAGTCACGCTAGAGCTTTGCGAGATTGAAGAAGCATCCATCGCAGCAGCGGCGGCGGCAAAACAGGAGGGCATCGTCGACGGCTTGATGACGGATGCAGATGACGATGACGATCAGGATCAGAATGCAAGAGTGCGTCGCACTCTTTTCCGACTTCAACGTTCGGCTGATGCGGTCGCGAGGTTAAAGAAGGAGGTGAAAGAAGTCTGGGACCATGGGTTTATTGACGGGGTAGTTCATGTCGATGCGACTTGGAATGAGGAGATTTGCTACCCCGTCACCAATTCGGATTATTGGCAAGCATATACCAGAATTCTGCGACTCGCCGTAGCCTATCAGCATGAGCAATTCCTTCCGGCAGCGTGCGAGTCCATGTGCGATAGCTCCGTCGCAGACATGGACTTTCTGTGGAAAATCGATCGAATCCTTTACATCCAATGTGATGACAGTAACACTTTGCGCCAGGAAGATAAGACGTCGCCCGGCCAAGATTACGACTGGTGGAATCGTCCGCCATCTCCTGCGTCCTTCTATATGCCGACCTCTTGGGATTTCGCCTTGGAGACCATCGCGTTAGAGTGTGAATGGTGCCTTGCCGGTCAAGATGCAGAGCAATGCAGAATGGCTTTTGAAGTGCATCATCATCATTATGGCCAGGAATTGGTCGCTGAGATGTACGGTGCTGATAGGACCCCTTGGATGAAATGGTCTGGGTTGGCAAAACGGTGGGAGAATTCGATCCTTGATGCTTGAAAATGAGTGCAGACAGTTCTGAGTGCGCGCATCAACATCTGGCGGTCTGTCTCTCACGACATACTTCGTCGTGCTATTCTTTCGTATTTGGCCACAACATCCGACAGCAGCAACCATCATGAACTCTCAGGAGCTCGCCAGATTCTCACGATGCACAATTTTTCCCATCCTGCCTTCATGCCGCTGTCTGCGACCTTCTCTGCAAGCCAGTGCCCACCTTCCCAAGTACGGATTTCATTCATGACTTGCTCGGGTCGATTCTGTGCACAAAGAAGCACGTAGGCTACGCCGCGTGCACTCAGTATCTGAGGTAGCTGTGTCAATAAGCGGTTTGTAGTCTCCATGCCATCTTGTCCACCTGCATATGATAACGCAAGGAGATGCGAATCGCGCTCGAAACGCGCCGATGACGACATCGCCGACGATGATACGAGTTCAGGGAGCTGTTGTGCAGGGAGCTCCTCGGTTGGCACGTACGGCGGGTTAAATATCAAGACATCGATGCTTCCAGGTCGCAAAGCCGCTGTCAGATCACTGCCTAAGCTATCAAGAAATAACCCAGTAGCGTCTTCGTCGGTTGCTCTCACGTCTTGTATGGCAAGGTTGGAGGTCTTGGCAGTAGCAACGCATGCGAAAGGGTTCATATCTATTCCCAATGCACCGACATCTGTGCGACCGAATATCGCGGCAGCATTTGCTATCGCGAAGGCCAGTACGACGCCCGAACCGGTGCCGACCTCGAGAATCGACAAGGACGGGGAACCTCGGCCATCTGTAGATGTAGCTGTAAAGTGCTTCCGGAAGAATGCTTTCTCAGAAGTGCTTGATAGGGTGTCCAGGAAGAGGTAAGAGTCTTCTGCTGGTTCGTAGATGTGGGAATAATCCACATGAGACGTGGATGGTGTTGGAAGCATTGTTGCTATGGTTTGGAGCCAATGTCATTCATGATCACACGTTTTCGGCGAGCAAGTAGTGTTTTCAGATTGTTGAGTTGTATTGTCTTGTGTTTGCAAATTTGAATGTGAAGTGGATTCATCTACAGCTCGGCGAGATTCCTAACAATGTCTCTACCTATTGTGACCATTCTGCTGGTGGTGCTTATTGGCCCTGCCGGAATCTTGTAAATACATGTTAAATTCGCTTCTCTCTTAGTTTCGGTGAGAATGACTATCATCACAATGTTGCGATCTAATCGATATTCCTCGCCAGAACCAAGAGGTACCTGGGGCACGTATGCTCGATTCGCGTGCGATAGGGCTGTAAACCACTCTGAGTGATGCCGGTCTCCGAAGTACTCCTGAAGATGCCGAAGTGTGCCTGCGCCCCACCAAATGCGACATCGTCAGGGTGAGTGCGCAGCGATTGGGGTCCATGCAGAAGAATGGTGGGCTGTTCTGGACCTGGCGTCAGCGGCTCTCGTGCCAGGGAACACTATCTTCCAAGGTTACGCGCTGCAACAGATGACTGTGCCTCACTATTGATGCGTGAAAAGCCCTGCTCACTACTCGAATCTCCTGTCCGCGACTTCACAAGGCTTCCAAAATTGAGCATTGCGACTCTCGTCGAAAACCACCCGAAACTCATACCCGTGGACGTAAAGGATATTTCTGCACGGAACGCGATTGCCGATCATGGCGCAAGCGCAAGTTCAACCATGTCGATACAAAACCGGCAAGACATTGGGATCGGGATCGTATAGTGTGGTCAAGGAATGTGTGCATATCGACACTGGTCGCTACTTCGCTGCGAAGGTCATCAACAAGCGTCTGATGGCCGGGCGCGAGCACATGGTGCGCAATGAGATTGCCGTACTCAAACGAGTCTCGATGGGTCACCAGAACATTTTGACGTTGGTCGATTACTTCGAAACTATGAATAATCGTGAGTGTTGCTGAACTGCACCCGGAGCAGTCTACTCAGATTGGGGCTCACATCTCACTGCTATACAGTCTACCTCGTTACCGACCTCGCTCTCGGTGGAGAGCTTTTCGATCGCATCTGTCGCAAAGGGTCGTACTACGAATCAGACGCCGCCGATCTCATCCGAGCGACCTTATCCGCTGTAGCCTATCTCCACGACCATGGCATCGTTCATCGGGATCTCAAACCCGAGAATCTTCTCTTCCGCACTCCCGAGGACAATGCAGACCTACTCATCGCCGACTTTGGTCTTTCACGAATCATGGATGAAGAGCAGTTTCACGTCTTGACTACAACATGTGGAACACCCGGTTACATGGCGCCCGAGATCTTCAAGAAGAGCGGCCATGGCAAGCCTGTCGATGTCTGGGCCATTGGTGTCATCACATACTTCCTCCTTTGCGGCTACACCCCGTTCGACCGCGACTCCAACTTGGAAGAGATGCAGGCGATTTTGGTGGCAGATTACAGCTTCACACCCTTGGAATACTGGCGTGGAGTCAGCTTGACCGCGCGACAGTTCATCAAACGCTGTCTGACTATCGATCCGACGAAACGAATGACGGCACACGAGGCTCTGTCCCACACATGGATCATCGGCCCTGAAAGTGGTCGCGGCGAGGAGGATCTTCTACCAACAGTCAAGAAGAACTTCAACGCCCGACGAACGCTACACAAAGCTATCGATACTGTTCGCGCCATCAACCAGCTTCGAGCAGGTGGCATGGGAATGATGGACGGCGCCCAAGCGAATGCGCCAGACCACTTCCCGCCTCCCAAGGAAGAGGACGTGGATATGAAAGATGCCACTACATACGATTCAGCCTATGCTTCAGGTAGCAGTGGCGGAAAGGTTGCGCAGCAACAGAAGCCCGCAGCAGGACTCTGGTCAGCTCGGACGTAAATACAGGTATTTTCGGCATTTGTTTCCGAGAGGATCGCTGTAGTCATACAGCGACTCTCGACCGGATGCGAGGCAACATTCCGCTTCGATCTCCCATCATTTCTGCGCTGATTGTCGCACTTCAATCTCTCAGCCCGATGTGGCACAAATTGAAGCAATGCCATATCAAACGGCTGCAATAATAGTGGAGAGACAAACCATGTTGGAGAGCTCACCGATGGTTTCCGAGCTCTTTGGCGAAGAAAGACATTAAAACAAATGCGGGAGATGCTTGAATACATGGCAATGCGGTGTTTCGGTACTAATCATCTTCGAAATCTTGGCCACTGTATCCGACGACTATTGAAGTGCCGGAAACACTCGCCTGAGTGAAGAGACCCTTGTTGCGGCGTGATAGGCACAGGCCTGTCATTGTCATCTGTTATTGTCGCAAGATGAGGTTCACTTGTATGCCAAAAATCAACGGCCAAGTCTCTCGCACAAGTCAGATGTGCGTGTGTATTATGGAGAAGGGAACGAACACTGGGGAGACCAGATGGTGAATCTCCTGTGTTAGTCTGCAGTACAGGTGGAAAATGAAGTGAAGGAAACCGGAGCTCAAAGAGTTGCCGAGGACAGATATCTAGCCCGTTTATGATGGGTAATGAATCAATTGAATGAACGACCGTCTAAGAGTCTGAGGACAGTGGGCATTGGATGCCGGAGAAGAAGAACAATGGCGGCGACTTGTCCATTTCCAGACATTCTTCCCGACCATCCAAATCGATGAGCCCTTCCTGCAGTCACGAGCGGTGGTATAATGGCTGCCGCCTCTTCGCGCCCAGAGCGATGAAAACCTGCCCAGGTGAGAAAAATGAGCTTCATCGTCTTGTGTAAAGGATCACATTTCTGGTAAGAGTATAATAGCTCGGCAAGAGGCAAAAAGACGAGTTAAGGCGGTTGTCGTCGCCCCACTTCGCTACCTCCACTTCCCATATTCTGCACGCTTGCACCATTCAGTGGAAGATGAAACAAAAGATCATAAGGGTTGGCAAATGCCGTCCTTCGCCGCCTCTTTCGCTCCCGGCGATCACAAGGCGGATTGCCCAGGTGAGCACCATCCGACGTTATATTTGATTGAAGCAACAACACGATAACATTTCGGCTAAGTTTGACTGTCGCTATATGATACATATGCAGGTCACGTCCGCCGGCATACGCACCTGGACGATTCATTGTAAGTGGTGGTGGTGGTGGTGGTGATGGTGGTGGTAAATTCTTATCGGTCCGATAGGAATGGAATATAGATCGATGCCGCCAGCGAATTCGGTATGCCCACACTTCAATGAGGGCGGGCATTCTCGTTTGGCCAAATCATCTACTCATCAGGTGGACGGGCAACACACCGGACGTGCGGAAAAGAAAGACGCCGATAACGCTTTCTTTTTCGGACATCGCAAATGGACATTACCGTGTACTGTCATGTAATGTGCGCCACGTTCTTAGCTATGCACAGCTCCACGATGCTGGAGGATTTACTATTACCCCACGTTAAATCGTTTTGTTGATGATGAACCCCGGATTTGCGCCACTTCTGGTATGATCTTGCTCGTGCGCTCTCCTACATCCAGCAATCATGATGTAGCGAGCAACATGCACTTTGCTCTCCTATCGATACGACTGCCTCATCAGATATATAAGTCATATCAGGAGTAAGCGGCAATGTCACCGCGATACCGACGTGGTGCCAATAGGATCGACGAGGACATTGTTCCCTCTCTTGGCGCATGCAACACGTCCTCCAGCTCGTTTCCCCGCCGAACTTTCTCGCCGCGTCTAATGAATTGCCGTCGGATCTTGCGCCTATCGAGCCCACCATTGGCGGCAGCTCCCTTGGATCTGGGGAAGGTCGAACTGTCCGTCAACCAAATGCCGCCGAGTAGGGGCCGAGTCGAGCCCTGGCCGTCGTTTTCGATATGCACGTACAGTACAATCTTTTGCTGGTGTATCAAGAACCTCCAAGGTTCTTCATCACTGCCACGTGCCTTCGTCTCGGACCGTCGTATAGCGATACATGGCGATCGATGACCATCCACCACGTCTTTACGTACCTCGATACGCTCGACCGTTTCCCGCCATCGGAGCCGGTGACGTTTCCAAGATGTACTACTGCTGTACATCAGTCCGACCGTGGTACGCTACTCTGCACAGTAATCCTCCAGTGTACACTCAAGTATTGTGACGACACTGGGGAAAGCTAGACGACCTTAGCCTCATCATGCAGGCGTGCCATGCTTCTTCTCGGCCCGGCTCCAACACCCATCGGTCTCTCTGTCGGATGTGTAGAGCAAGACATGCCATTGTAGCTTTGGCTGCGTTGGCAAGAGACAGCTGCTCGCCGATGCAATACGAGTAAGATATATAATATCTCGAGCTTTGCCCACCTGCTCAACTTCCTATTTTCAAGATCAAGAAGCTTCGTTCTCTACGATTGTGAACGCCCGATCTCAATCCCTTCTACCATCTTTCCAGTCTCCGCCTACCCCTTTGCTCTACCCTGATCATCTCATACACCTGACACGCCATGCGTGTGGCTACATCATTACTGGCTTCCTTGCCAGCCGCCCTCGCTTGGAAGTCATGGGGATCGTCTCCCTATGGCACCGATAACGAGGGCCACAATGGCTACTGGGGCTCAAACGGACCAGCATCATATTCATCCGCGAGCAATGGCAACCAAAGCTGCGATGCTCTCACAATCGATCAGATCAACACCATGGGCAATAACTCGCTCTTCACCCGATGGCGACCCCGAAGCCACGTTCTGGCACCAGCTGGATGGATGAACGACCCTTGCGGCGCCATGTACGACCCCACTCGTGATCTCTACTACATCTCCTACCAGTGGCATCCACAGCACATCAACTGGGGCAATATCAGCTGGGGTCAAGCAACCAGCAAAGATCTCATCCACTGGACCGACCACCGCGGGTGGGAAAATGCCTCAGCACTGACTTTTGGTCCTACTGGAAACGGCTCCTACAACGGTCTGGGCATTTTCTCTGGCACTGCGCAGCCTGTGAACCTTCAAGGCGAGACCGACGGCACACTGCTCGTCTTCTACACTTCGGTCTCGAGGCTGCCGACGAACTGGGCTCTCCCGTACCTTCCTGGCACAGAAACCCAGAGTTTGGCGTATAGTACCGATGGTGGCTTGACATACAAGGAGTATGAGGGCAACCCGGTCATCAAAACTACGACGGAGCAACCGCCGATGAACTGGAATATTACTGGTTTCCGTGACCCTTTCCTCGAGCCTAGTCCCGAGTTGGATGCCGTGCTCGGCGTAAGCGAGCCTCACTACTATGGTATGTTTCTTTCCTACTTGGTGAGAATCAACACTCCTTCACGATGCTGACCATTCTGTCTTACCTCACAGCTGTCTTCGGTTCTGGTATCAAAGGCGTTGGTCCTCGTATTCCTCTATGGACTGCTCCTGCTCGGAACTTGACTCAATGGTCCTTCCTCGGCGCCCTCTGGGAGCCCAAGGCGAACACCTCTGTCGGGCCTGTACTCTCCACCGGAAGCTATGGTTTTAACTTTGAAGTCTCAGGCTTCTTCCCGCTGTACGATCGTGCTGGCAAAGCGCACTGGTACGCCAACATGGGCACCGAAGGCGCCAATGTCTCATTCCACTCCTCCGCCCAATGGGCTCTTTGGGCTGAAGGTACCGTGACTCAGAGAAGGAATGGGGCCAACATCAGCGCCGAATTCATTCCTCGCAGCGGCGGTGCCGCCGATTGGGGCAACGCTTATGCCTTGACGAGCTTCAACGACACCAAGCACAACCGTCGTGTACAATGGGGATGGTCCCGCGAGGACATCCTCGGCGCCAACCCCGCCGCCGGATCCGGCCTCTTCAGCGCACCGCAGCAGGGCTTCCAGGGCTCCCTGACTCTCCCGCGAGAACTCTTCGTCCACGAAGTCGACAACGTCGTCAACTCCTCCGCCCTGATCGAGAGCAAAAACGCCGTCCTCGTCGCCACCAACAACTCCCAATCTACCACTGTCACCGCCCAAACCCTCGGCGTCCGACCGCTCCCCGACGTCGTCGCTGGTCTCCGCGTCAACGCCCTGCACCAATCCTACCCGTGCAACACCGCTTTCAACAAAACCACCATCCTCCAACAACACGGCGCAGCCCAGATGGAACTCCGCGCCACATTCGCCGCACCCCCTGCGACCAACACCTCCGCCGGCGTCGGCGTCATCCTCGCCGCCTCACCGGACATGCGCGAACACACCACCATCCACTACCAGCCCTCCAACCACACCATCCTCGTCACGCGAAGCAAAAGCAGCCTGCTCGGCGGGCCCAACGGCTTCAACCCCGAGACCGTCACAGGTTTCTTCCTCCCATACACCACCGTCTCCCGCGGCGGAAGCCGCACCCAGACCGAGGACATCGACATGACCGTCTTCGTCGACGGCAGCCTCGTGGAGGTCTACATCAACGACCGCTTCGCGCTCTCCACCCGGATCTACCCCAGCATGAAGTGCAGCACCGGGTTCGGCGTGTTCGTGGGTCCCGGCGCGGACCCCCGGGCGCACGTCGTCCGCTACGAGGCCTGGTTGGGACTCGCGGATGTCTGGGGCGGAAGGCCGCGGAACAGCTCCTCGCCGCTGGTGTATGATAGTCCGGCGCAGACGAATAACGGGGTCTGGTGGCCTGGCGTTTGACGGAAGGATGGGAAGGGAAAGGAAATGGGAGGAAGGTGAGGAGGGAAAGGGAATGCTATTGCGAGCTTCTCTTATGATTTCGGGGTAAAAATCGGCGGGAACATTGGCCCGAAAAGTTGATCTAGAAGGAAATGAGGGGGGGGGGAACATATTCCTTTTTTCTAATTGATCTCCTCCTGTGATGAGTTGATGATCTTCATGCTTCTTTTTTGAATAGTAGAAAGTGACTGATCGGATACCACGCATCTCCCAATGGGCGATCTGTCGTCGAGGGGTGTTGTCGGTGCGCCGTGGGCGGGATGACGAAAACTCTGTAGGTGTGAAGAAACGGTTCACCAATTTCTTATTGGTGCTTTATCATGTGGACGCGATCGAGAAAGCGAAACGACCCCACTTGAAAGTTGCGAGCGTGAAGATCGTGTACAATCCATGTATTCATTCCCCAAAGAGAAATCGTCATGTGTTCATTATATAGATATATCGTGTGTTTTTAGTCATCGCTTTGCCTAGCCCTCTCGTTGTATGTAGTGGATCTTCGTTTGTTCGACCCGTCTTTCAATTTGCAAGTCGCTCTGTTGTCTCCCCCTCTCTTTCACAATCAACTTGAGTCATTTACAAGGCGAGCAGGCGCTGGTTGGCCAATCGCGCCGCCACGTTGATTACGCTGGCGGTGGCGAGGATGTGGCCGAGGGAGCGGGTGGTGCTGACGTTGAGGAGGTATGAAGGGTAGTGGCTGGTAGTATTTCCAGGTTAGCAAGTTTTGTCCCACTTGTGATCGACCCGAAAGGGTTCCTTCGTAAACACTTACACGAACACCTTGGAGATGACATGCAGACCAAGCAGGTTGATCAAAGTCTGATCGCCCGGCGCCGAAATCTGCGTCAAGGCCGCCACGATCGCCCACGAGGGGAAGAATTCGACGAGGTGGTGGTGCGCCGAGTACAGGCGCAGCGGGAGACCCTTGAGGTCGGCGTTTTGCGCGCGAGGGTTGTTGTTGTCGCGGCCGCCACGGTTGCCGCTGGCGGTCGCGGCGGCGGAGCCCGCGCCGGAGATGGCGTAGGTCACGCCGAGGTAGAGCGCGGTCAGGGCGGCGATCTGGTTGGCGGGCGCGATGGTGCCGCTGGCGCCCGCGGTGCTCACGTAGGCGACGCTGGAGATGACGCCGTTGACGGCGCGCTCGAGGAGGCCGGATGGCTGGGCCAACCAGCTGGTGACGGGCACGAAAGCGAAGAAGACGCCGCTGATGCCGAGCATGGCGAGACCTGAGGGGTTGACGCTGAAGATTGGAGGAGAGTGTCAGTGGACATTGCGCCTCTTGTCTCGCTTGACTGTTTGTTTGTTTCTTTTACAGATGAGGTGACGTCGACTTACACGCCATCGTCCTCGAGTCGTTGAAGGAAAGTCTTCTTGGCCTGAGAAGCGGTGTTCTTGACCTCGTCGATTTGCTTCTCAGCGTTGGCCTTGGCCTGGTCGATGTTGGCTTGGGCTTTGTCGGCGGAAGACATGATGGTGATGTGAGATTGATTACTGGGTTTGGTTGTGATAATGCAAGAAAGAGGCGTCGAAGAAGGAGAAGAGAGTGATTCAAGAACGCAAAGTAGAGTGGAGGAGGAGGAGCTAAAACACTTTATCGTACTAGGTACAGTAGGAGTAGCTCGGCGTGTAGCAGATGACGAGACGAAGACAAGACAGGCTCCATTGCGGAAAGAGGGGATCGCAGAGACGGATACATACACACACACACACACACAGAGAGAGAGAGAGAGAGACAGACTAATGGAGTACTCTATCTAGTATCTTATTGAATTATCAGGATTTGTAACCGCGAAGTCTTCAGTAGCTACCTAGGTAGATGGTTAGTGCTGCGCATGGACTGCAGGGAAGCTGCTGTCACCAACCGGAGGTCGATTTCGTCGGTTTCTTTTTCTTCCAGCTGGAGATCTTCAGCCTGGCATACGAATGTGATACGACGCGATGTGATATGACGATCGGGATGCAGCTGCAGATGGACGAGTGAGAGAGAGGCCTTTGCGGTGGATGATCGACACCAGCCCTGACGCTGGAGATGGAGCTGGGGATGGAGATCTTCCCGATGACAAACCCCTCCCCAATCCACTCAATTATGACGTATATGCTCAATGGCTGCCCAGGTGGCTTCTGGAGTAAAGGAATTGAGCCATCATGACGCACCATTTGCCCCGAAACACACTACTGTGCTGTATATCATCACCAGCAGAGAGGCGGATATCGACGGGATGGAAAGAAGCTGAAAACATGACCCGTCATTGTATACATGTATATATGTGTGTGTATGTATTCTCGACCAAACAGAACAATGCTGCGCCGGGTACAAACGACAACCACGACGACGACGACAGATGCAGGTGCTGCAGTAGGATACATTGTATGACAGATCCATGCCTCTTGGTGGTGGAATCTATATTATACATGGTGATGGGTGGTATGACAGAATGGTCGTCGATGTGCGGTCCACTACAGTATCTCCGGGTGTCCATGTCCATCGGCCCTCAGTCATGTACTGTATTACTACTAGGCACTAAATAAATACAGGAGAACTGATGGCTTCCAAGGTTTGTTGGCACGTGTATGTCGTCGTCCTTCCTTCCCGGAGCATCGACATCCGAGCGAGCCATTGGGCGGAAAGACCAACGCCGAGACAAGCCCAAGTGTTTGGTGCGATCCATAGAAAAGCTAGGAGGTCCAGTCCTGTCTGTACCTAGTATGCCCAGGTGCTGATCCTCCCGAACATCCGCCTCGCCGCACTCCCGCAATATCCATATATGCCGTGATGCCCTACACATGGGTGCCTGGGGCATGCAGTCCATGGGCAAACGGGACATTCAAAGTGTACGTGACCTGACACCACACAGCAACGAGACTTCCACCGAACATTCTCTATGTGTGACCAATATTCCGTCGCTCGTGGAGAGTGTGGAGAGGCATCTGCACATCCAGACCCGCAGGAAATCCAGATCGACTATTGAATCCGGGCTTTCTCCAGCGGGACTGGGCGCGTCTAGGTTTTGTCTTCGGGTAGACACTCTGCGATTGAGCACGTCTGGTGGGCACAAACCACAGAAGGAAATGTTGCTGTCATCGTGAAAACTTCACATAAAAATAAAGTGATACGTAGCATCTACGTATATCAAGAATTCGCTGGCAAGCCAAACCCCAACCTTCGCCGTGGTGTCGCCGGCGAGAGAAACTCCGCGCTATGCATGTGATGAGAAAACGTCCAACGATGTAGCAACATGACCAACTCGTAAAATCTCAACGTCACCTCGTCGCCTCCAGCGCCTCACCACCCGCCCCTTCGTCGCCCTGGACGATAGATTCCCTCGCGAGAGCCGCGCCCTCCCGCTTTCCCCGCTCCACGTTCACAAAACACATCAACGGAATCGGCAAGCCGATCAGCACCGCCAAAAACCAAAACGCCGGGCGGATGTCGCCCGTCGCATCCGTGATGGCGCCGACGATCGCCGGGCCAAAAATACTACTGCCCTTGTCGGTGATGGCGAATAGCGCGAAGAATGCCGCCTCGCTGCCAGGTGGGATCAACTCGCCGAAGAGGCTCCGGCAGTAGCTCGACAGCCCGCCTAAAACCAGTCCGTACACGGCCGCCAAAGGGTACATCTCCCAGGCTTTCTGCAGACCGATCACGCCGAGCCGTTGGATCGCAGGGATGTACCCCAACAAGCCGTAGATCGGGATGAGCTCGAACAGCGCAATGCACGCGATGATGGTCTGGCTGGGTTTCAACGCGAGGGCGCGACTGAGCTGGCTCCAGGTCAGCGCGCCGATGATTCCCGCGACGGTAGTGATGATGTTGATCAGCGCAAGCTGCGCGGGGGACATGCCGAGGGTGGTCTTGGCGAAGAGGATTGCTACGCCGGAGACGGTGGCGATGGCGTCGGAGATCATGAACCATGCGGCGAGGAAGAGCAGGACGTCCTGGAGGCGGCGGGCACGTAGCATCGTCCGCCCGAGCTTGAGCCAGGAGTGGGTGAGGTAGCCGAGCCAGGTGCCGCCTTGTCGTGAGAGCGGTGGGCCGGGTCGTGGTCGGAGCCAGAAGACCACGGGAATGGTGAAGGTCAGCCACCAGAGACCGATGGTGAAGAGGACCAGGCGGAGGGAGAAGATTGTGGAGCCGGTCGTGCTGAGGATGATCAAGGAGAGGATTTGGACGATCACGGCTGCGGCGTAACCGACGCTGACGCCGTACGAGGAAATTTTGGTCGACAGTCCTAGAGCGCTTGAAGGAGCGGCCGGTGAGGAGGGATAAGGAGTGAGTTGCTCGACGGGAGGCAGCAGAGCGGATTCGAGCTCGGAACGTTCGGCCAGGGGAGACTCGGCGGAGCGGCGTTGCTCGTCTTCAATTGGTGAGGGATAGACGTCTTCCTCCGATGTGGGGACACTTTCGTAGACAGAAGCTTGCGCATCGACAGCAGCTGCCGGATGATTCCGGACCAGGACCGGCAAGAACGAGTTCAATAGCACAAAGCTGGCGCCGAAGCCGACATTTCCTATCATCGCCAGCAGGCTCCCGAGCACAAATACGTCTGGAGTGATGGCAATGAACGATATGGTCGCCAGGGATCCAACCAGTGCGAATGTGAGTAAAAGTGCTTTTCGGTAGCGGCCATGATCCGCAGCACCAGACATGGTGACCACAATCAACGCCTGGATCGCCACCGAAATCGAAAAGGTGTACATGGCGAAACTTGCCGTGTTGATCTCAGAGCCAAAGAGGTCGAACACGCACTGTGCAGGCGCTCCACTGTCCGATGATCGCGGAAACATGAGCCGCGCTGCACCATCGGCGGTGTTGCTTCCGCCGAGACATGGCTTCGTCCGGTCGTTGGCGAGTACTGCTGAAGGACTCGCCCGAGCCAACGATTCCAAAGTAATGGGGATAAATGCGCCGAGACCGCAGACGACGAAGACTTCGGCAGCAAACGAGTACGTGTAGAATCCGAGCAGTTCCTTTCGGGATGTCGGTCGGGTGTCTTCACCGGGATAGGCGATCGGTCGGGTGCCAGGTAGCTGTCCCTCTTGATCTCCACTTAACCTGAGACCCATGGTGAAATATGAGGGGTGCCGGCCCGCGCGGTTCAACGTATGCAACGAGTGCGGCAATGACGATGATGACGACGACGAAGAACGCTCGTCATCGGCGTCGTTGTGATGTGACGACAGAGGCGACGAGCAACGCTGCTGATAATGATAATGAGAATATTCTGATCGAGTCCGTCGTTCGTTGTTGTCAGCGACGGACAAGGCGGAATGAAGTGTCGCGCTCACGCGAGGTGCCATGCGCCCAGCCAATCAGCGGGCATGGCCGCGATCTCGAATCTCGGCTCTCTCGCCCTTTGGTTGTGGAATTTTGGGTGGTCCGTTCGGTCTTTTCCTCTCCAGTCTCCAACTCTCTCCGGGAGAACGAAGCGGGGCGAGAAAGTCGCGTGGGAACCCGGCAAACCTTCTTGTACTGATACTCACCTCGGAATGCACGTGTCTGGCTGCTGCTGCTTGCTGTTCTTAGTCGCGAAGATCTCTCATCTGCTCATACAGAACGTGTATAAGGACAGTTCATCGCCATTATCCATCCAACCAGGTGAAGGCGTCAGAAGTGCAGAACATGGAGACTAATAATAAGCCTGGTAGACCCACAAAAAGAAAAAACCGCTCGTATCGGCCATCCCTTTACAGAAACATTGTCTCTTCTCTGAATATGCACATGATTGCGACATGTTCAGGTGCCCTCCACGCTACAGGGTTTATGCATAGAGCCCTCTGCGCCGCTTTATCGAGCGAGCAGAAAACGTCCTCGTGACATGGTCCTTCTTTGGATTTTTACATCCGAGAAAGAGTGGACATGACGAAAAAGAGGCGTCGGGAGGAGGTATGACGCGTATTCGAACTGGTGGTGTGGGTATGGTTCTGTGAGATGTGGGCGGTGGTCGTACGGTCTATCTTGCCGATCGACAGAAAAAGGGAATTGCTTCTTTGAGCTGTTCGAGATGGCATCGCTCCTGCCTAACTACTAGGGAACGAAATCGTGGTGAATAAGATTAGGTACCTTATCCATATATGGCATGCTGAGATGTCCAGGCAAGTGGAACTGCAGAAGACTCGTCTTCTTGACATGTGTCCGAACCAGACTCCTTCGTCCAAATTTCGATCGGAGATATTGAGACGAGACCAACACGATGACAATCTCGGCCATTGCGTCCCAGCGACGATGCTGTAGAGAGCCATCAATCAAAGCCGGTCTGGCCCTCTACATCTATTTGACGATGGTTCATGCTCTCGTCTAAGCACTGATCGTCATCGTGGCTGATAGTCTTGGGAGGATGTACATGGTTATTTTGCTGTTCGCTCCATATGCTTGCACGGTGGTGATGGCGGAATGCGTTTCAAATCGTCGGAACCCAGGGAGGTGGCATCCGAGATGGTTCGCAGCCTGAGGCTGTCAAAGTGCAATTCCGTGGAGGAGATTCCCGCATTCCCGTGTGAAATTCCCGCCCTTCCTGCCGTCTTTTCCTTGCTCGCCGTACTAGGCGTGCAAGGTACTGCAAGACATTATTACGGTATAGCGTTGTGTAGCATACCTTTCCAGCAGCGGGCGGAAAGAAGGCAGCAGCAGAGGCAGCGACTCGTTCATCACTCTACAGCGGCAGAAAACACGGCAGGCAATCAGCTGCACACGCTCTAACTCGACTGCCGTCACGCTTAATCCTCCTCCACCAACACCACCGAAGATCACATCACATCATCATCTCTTCCTTCCGCCCACCCAACACCAACACTGTCTACCACGCGACATCTATTCCAGTGCGGAGCCTCAATAGCCACGCGCACCACACACGATTATAAACATTTCTCTCGCTCAAAATTGTAATCGTCACATCAGCCACGAAGCGCCAATTCCTCACTTCGGTCAGCTGGCGGAGTCTCGCGGCCAGGCTCAGCGAGGAAATGCGCCGCAGACACCCATCATGCCGCCGTCGAATGGCACTGCGCCTACGCTCGTGAATGGAGTTTCACACACAGACTCGAGTTCAGCACCTGCGATCAACGGAGATGGGGCACACGACAGCGCGCCGCGACCGACGAAGGAAGACCCTCCGACTTTGGATCAATCATGGCGACATTCTGCTGCAAACAAGCCCATGGGCAAAATCCTCCAACGTCTCGCGAATCAATGTCTGAAGGATCTACGGGACACCGTCACCAGCATGGCAGAGACTCCTATCGATGGCTCAGTCGCGCCTTTGACCAACGGGGCGGTCTCACACCTTGTCGACAAATCCGAGGCTAGCGTGAACAAAAAGCTGCAATTTATGAAATTCGCGAACAGCCAGCGGGATCGCTTTATCAAAATGCTAGTGTTGGTAGATTGGAGCAAACGGGAGGAGGAAATGGCGCGCCTCGTGGATCTTAAAGTCTGGCAGGAGAAGGAACTCAATGCTCATCGAGACGCCATGCACTCTATTGGTCTGACCAAGCGTGACATGTTCGCGGCCAAGATGCCCAATCCAAATATTGAAGGTGCTCTGGAATATTTGTCCACGGGCAGTGCTTCACGACAACCGGATCTCGGCTATATTCCACCGAAACGGCTGACGGCCAAGCAATTACTCCGAACCCTACAGGATATGAACGTCATTCTTATCACACGACTCAACTTACACGAAGATCTTCTTCCTCACTTCAACAACTACGACGTAGCGAACGGACGTGCTACTTTCCACGTTGCAGGCGAATTTGAGGTCGACTTATCTGTCGCCGAGGAGGATCCGGCCAGTCCTTTCTATTTTATTGACCTTCGATTTCTGTTCACGCCACGGGCTCGCACGCTACCAGAAGGATTGCGCGCGCAAATCGAAGGTCGCTCAAATCAAGCGCTGGCTAGCACAGGCTTGCAGGGTTGCTATGACTTTTTGCACAATTTTGTCCTGACACACAAGCTGAACACTCTACGACAACAGGCTATCGAACTTCTGCATGGCAAATGGTTTGATTGCTTGAAAATCGAGGACTGGAGAAGGGTGCATCGAATACTGGTTGTGCAGTACTGGACGGGCCTGGCGGGCAAGAAGAGCTGGATCGAGCTCGGCATTAGCACAGGCAGAGGCAAATGTGCAGCGATCAACTCGCCTCCGACCCCCACCCTTACGTTAAAATGGCATCGATCAAAGGATGAGCTGGTCACCGACACTACCGTTGAAGTGGACTGGAGTGTACTCGACTTTGAGAGCATTATTCAAGCAGTCGTCGCCAAGCACATATCTTGGACACTCGGTCAAATCCGCGACCAACTTACCGCTTTGGCCGGGACAAAGACGAGGCTGGAGACGAAGCTGTGCACCTCAGACTCTTCGCCTCAAGCTTGTCACCTCTCTTTGTCTTTGCCAGGTCTCCCCGAACCAATCACCGTCAGCCAAGAGCCATTCACCGGGCAATTTGTGTTTGCGCCTCCGACACTCATTTCTATGCAAGCGCAACAGCGATTGAATTCGGAGACGAACCGGGAGCCAGCATATATCGCGCAAATGCTTGCTCACGTCATGGCCAACGACGCCAGGGAGCGGATGAGCAGAGTCGCGCGACTTTTGGACTGGCGACAATTGCAACTGGTGAAGCAGGATCAAAAGACTCTGGTCAATCACTTCGGGCCCGGTCTACTCGTGGTGCGAGCTTATCAGTGTCACAAAGCTTGGAGCAAGCCTTGGGCGCTCGCGTTCACGTTCAGTCTTACAGGCGAGAAGTGGTGGATCATGCGGCTCGAGGACCGTTCTGATGCCAAAGGACAGGTACTCGGTCAGGCCATCGCTTCTGTCCGACACATCAGCTCTGTAGAACCGCTCGCGAATCAATTGTCATTCTCGCAAGATCTTCTCCTGAAAGTGGAGCACGCAGCTGTGGCAGAAGTGTCATATGCAACCATTGCGAAGGATCTCGAGGCAAAGGCAATTCCCTACAAATTTCGAAGCATTCGTGTACTAACAGGTGGAAATACTAGTCCGCTTGAGAGACTTGCTACAGCAATCTACGTCCCAGCTTTGCCACTCATGCATACATCATCCCGCAGCAAAGAAAGGTCTGCGAAACCGGTTGGCCCAGTGAGACTCACTTTTGATGGATTCGACGTGACGAGCATCGAGGGCAGCGACACCATTGATGTCAAGCATGAAATCCGTTTGCAAATTGGACCGGCGCAATTCAAGCATCTTCAAGAATACCTCGCAGTGAAGCGAACTCAGCTTCATGATTCAAGTGCAAAGCAAAACCATGATCATGCATCAGTTCACGAGAATGACATTGTTATCAGCGATGCTGGTGCTATGTCACTGCGGTCACGTGTTCCGTTCGGTGAGCCGTTCATCTCGCGCATCCAAGATCATATGAAGGCCATCGAACGGATGAACTTCTACCTCTCAACCTTCTCTAAGCACAAGATTCAATGCAAAACAATGACTCTTTCTCGAGTGCGTTTTACCTACCGTGCCACCGAGGTTCCCCTACAAGCCATTTTGCTTTTTTCGCCTGATGGACGTCAGCCTATCAAGCTGCGACTTGAACCTACCGGAAACAATCCTCATCAGCGTATCCGAGCGCTGCTTGAGCAGAGGACAAACATGGATGTTCACGAAGGCATTGTTGCGTTGGTGCGGAGTTTCCAGATGACTCTTCCACTTCTATCAGCAATGGACAGTCTTGACTCCAGTCTTCTCTCTGCGACATCTAACGATCCGTTTACTTGGCAAGTTCACGCTCATAGCTTTGCCGACTACAACATCGTTTTCACTACCGCTGCAGCAGCCAAAACGCCATTGTGCAGATTGCGCATAAGCTTACGCCCGATGGTACAGGATGGCAAAACCTCCGCTTTGTGGCGCTTCGACCATACCGAACCACCATCCTCTTCTTCTGTATCATCGGAAGTTTTATCTCAAGAATCCTTGCAAGCACTGCAGAAGCTCTTCCTGCGTGAGGGCAAGGACTGGTGGGGCGTCAAGACATGTATTCTCGCGCAGCCCGAAGCTGCTGGGCAGGCTCTTCAAGCTGTTGTTCAAGCTTTCCGCGATCTAGGAGATCATCTCATCGGTGATTCCACTACGATACCGGAACCGGCTCCACCTATCGAGACAAAGCCTGATGTCCCCACTAAGCCGCCACAGGCGAAGATGGTCTCAAAATCGCCATCTAAAGCGAACGCGGGCGCTTCATCGAAGGTCGCGAGCACATCGATGCCGACTAATCAGCGTGCGAAGGCAGCAGCGAAGCAATCGCTGACAGCGCCCCAGCCGCCGACGATGGCGCGAACGCAATCGCAGCATCAACAAGCACCCACGCCCGCCCAAGCTTCCTCGACAATGGCACGCTCACAGTCGCAGCATCAACCACAACGACAGCTGCCACCACAACAGCAGCCGCCGCCGTTAACACCACAGCAGCAGCAGCAGCTACAACAACAACTATCGCAACAAGGCTTACAGCAGCAGCAGCGGCCAACATCATCACAACAAATGCAGCAACAGCAGCAACAGCAACAGCAATATCAGCAGAACCTCCAGCAGATGTACAGGATGCAGCAACAGCAGCAGCAGCAGCAGAATCCACAGCTCAACCGATTGCAACAGCAGCAAGCCATTCAGATGATGCAGCAACAGCGACAACTGATGCAACAGCAGCACCAGCAACAGCAGCTCAAACGCGGGCCACAGCAGCAGATGCACCAGCACCAGCAACAGCAACAGCAACAGCAATTTCTCATGCAACAACAACAGCAGCAGCAGCAGAGAATGAACGGCAACAATAACAATAATAATGCCAAGCCGAAGCAGGAGGTCATCGAACTTGACTAGGAGAGGAGTCTCCCGCTACCTCCTTGTGTCTGCTTCCTACCTGCGCCAACGGGTCTCGGCGTAGGCCAGCCCGTCCGAAGCCCTTCCCTGTTGATTGCGTCGTTGCTCGCATCCTTTACCTGGTAATCCTCTACTTTATGTATACCATCAACATCACTTAGACGCAGTAAAGACTTTTTACTTTGCTCTTACTCTTACAGCGCTTCACGATACATTGGTGGCCATCACATCCAATTGCACATATGCCTCAATGCCCTTGCAAACCTCAATTCCAGTGGCGCCGATCGTTGGTCAAGCGTGCCTTTCTCGTCCCTTGTTTTTCTCTTTTCAATTTTTCATCGGTTTGGGAGTCATTATTGTATTATGCACCAAGAATGGTCAAGAGGGGGCGTATGGATTTTAATGACGCGTTTGTTGTTCCCCTCGCTCTGTTGTTTCTCCCCTTTATCTTTGCTCGCTGCCTTCATGATACCACCACCACATCCGCTAGTAGTCTCTGACACGTCATGAGCACAAGGGATTATAAAAACCTTTTTACTTGGAATGATTGCTTCATGCTACTCTTGATAGCAGTACATGTGAGAGGTTCCGTAGGTGCGACTCCGATCATGCCCGATTTTAGCTACTCAATGTTTTGTCCCATCACCATGAACATTACCGTTTCCGGCTTGCCACAGACATTTCGACTTCAGGACGTATATGTCGATTCTCAGTGCCACCTTAGTGTTTCAGAAGGACCAAATCCACCTTCCCGCCTCATTCATCGCCCTCCCCACCTGCCGATTTCTCCTTGCGCCTCTGCCCCACATCCCAGTTGTAGAGCCGCGCAGTAGCCACTTCGAGAGTCTGTGATGGACAGCCATAAGAGGGCACCAATAAGTCAGCCGAAATCCCCAAATAACAAGAACATATTTTGTAGGAGAAAAAGAGCGTTCCTGACGGAAAAATTGACGTGGAACAACTCACCGTGATCTGCTCCCTCAAGAAATCTAAATCCTCGTCGCAGTTCGCGAGACTCGCCTGAGCGGCTTCGAGCTTCGACCGCAGCAATGTCTCCGCTTCGGATAAGGGGTATGCGAGCATGACGTTGGCCTATAATTGGGGGAAGAGTAGGTTGTTAGATTTGTGGACCTCAAACTCACTTGAAATGCCTCGAGGGCTCATCAATGAAAGGGTACTCACCCCAAGCCATAGGTAGACTTCTTCCGTGTTGGCGGGTATGTTGGCTTTGGCGTAGAGGGTATCGTTGAGCTCGAAAGTAGCCTCGAGCGGGTCGGCGTCGGGCTAGGGATATCATCAGCGTTTGAATCTCCTTGACAGAAATTTCGAGGAATGGGAGATGCGTTTCTTGCTGAAGGTTGCCCTTTCAAACTTGACAGGTTGGAACAAGGGTGCAGGTTCCGGTTCGACAGCACCTTGGAATGTAAATACGGGAACACACCTCGCGTTTCTGTAAGAATCGTACAGTGTCCAGTGTCTTTTGAATATCCGGGATCTTGTCACGAAGGCCGCGTGCTCGTCGTTGATTGTTGGCTTCCATGAACTGATATTTTCTTAAGAGAAAATGATCAGTCGCGGGAATTCGTTTAAGCACCGGTCGATTCCAACGATCTTCATCAGGACTCACGAGATCATCTCTTGAAAACTCTTCAGCGCGGGCTCGACCTCTGCGCGAGTTGAAACATAGTCTTCAACTCGGTCGACGAAGGGAGCGTATGGGATACCGCGGGGGTTGGTTCGAGCATCTTTGCTGAGCCTGTATTTGGTTGTAAGCCAAATTAGAGCCAAAATGCCAATAAATTATTATTCGATGGCCTTGCTTATAGGAACTTACTCGGTCTTCTCCGTTGTCGCCATCGCCAGTTGATGCCTTCACCATTCGTCTCAAACCATCGCGGCATGTTCTACTACCTCCGGCTGTAGCGATTTTTAGGGTTATGCATATGTGGAAGAGCAGGAAACTATGCCAAGGCGCATAACTACGCTTTATGCGGCTGTGCTCATGCACAAACGACCGTTCATATTATGCACGCAGGCGTTGGCCACGGATTCACATGCTGATTGTCACGCTGATGCATTTGATCAGATGCATATTTACGTGCATGCAACACGAAGTACGATCTTCCGCTCTAAATCGAAATTGACATCCATCCTTTTCTCCTTCCACCACTCTCGGCTTCTCCGATACGGAGATGCATGTGTAGATCGGCGCGCGTGAACTTCCAATGATATTCCGCGCCATGAAGTCCCGCCCAACACAAGTCCGCTCTCAATCACACAGGTGAATGGGAGATCGTTTGAATGGTTAAGGTTGCGCTGTCGACTTCAAGTAATCGATATGATCTTGTTCAAAGCCTACCAGGCGCGGCAGATCTTTTCCGTTAATTCTGAACTCCGATCACAAATCCATGCAGTCTCCTGCACCTCTTCTTGGGAAGCCAGCATTTCTCGATGGTTTGATCGTAGTGACAGGTCGTTTCCTGAATCTCAGGGTTGCATAGGCGGGACTCAAACTCTATTAGACTCATCCGATACGTGCATTGACACCTCAGGGCGACGACGGTAGTTGCGTCAAGACTCATGCGACAACTTTCGTGAGCAGGGTCGCTCGCAGCCTCTGTAGTAAAAGTGATCGAGTGGCGAGCTTCGAAACGAAGCTATTCGCATACTGCTTGTTGATTCAGAGGTGTGCCTATGTCGGTGATCTGCTCAAAGAATCCATCGAATACAGTGACCCATTGTGTATAGAGATCAGAGTCCAAAGCGCGCTTTGATTACTGTTCGGAAATAAGATGTTAGCACACCTTCCCAAAGAATGATCACATCCGACCCAGTTAGAGAAGCTACAATCATCACGCGAGAAATGAAACAAGTGCATGGCAGATACTCACGTCCAGTCGCTGCACCTCTCTTCTGTTTCGAGACGAACTTATTCACATCGTCCAACCAGTTGCTCGAGTTCTTCTCCAGTGATTCCATGCTGTCTCCTACCAGGCCAAGTTTTTCCGTTCGTTCTGCCAGCTGCCTTTGCATGTAGGCCCAGTAACCTTCTTCGCCAGATGCTGTAGACGAGGATGCAGCACCGGCAGCGCTTGCTCGACCGGCCTTTCGCATTTCTTCTTCTTCAGCGCGACTCTGGGCGATCATGCGTTTGGAAGGAGGACGATCTGGACCTCCAATCAGGATATCCATGTCTAAAGGAGTGACATATTGTGTGCCAGTCACCCATTGAAGAGATGAGATTGTGGGTCGGGCAGGGATGACCGCTTCAGGATTGAATAGACTGTCTTTGGTGACGGGAGGTAACGGCGTGCCAGTACCCCAGAGCGACAGCAGGACTATCTCAGACGGGCCGGTGAAGGCAATAATGTTACCTGTAGTGGTTATTGAGGCGCTAGGAAGACGTCGAGGATCAATGGAGGGCAGGCTGGCTGGATTCGAAGGTGATGGTGAAAGCGGGATATTTTTGAGTTCTCGGAGCGAGGGGAGAGCAAATATGCGAGCAGAACCATCGCCACAGAGCGTGAGTAAAGCAGATCCTCGAGCATCTACCTGATACTGGACCAAGCTTGCGCAATCGCAAAAGACGCCATCGAAAGACCGATGAGCACCACGAGAATTCGCCGGACGGAAGATATTGATTGACGTTGCCGAGACTACGAGCAAAGCGCCATTGACGCGGAGACCTGAAGCGAGCGCACCCATAGCGCCAGGATTCGCAGATGCGACCTTGCCTGTGTCGGCATTGATGGGAGCGATGTATAGGATTCGACTGTCAGACAGAGAGCTTTGTCCTGCATATTGTGTCGTATAGCGACCGCTCGGATCGGGGATGATCTTGAAGGTTGCCAGGCGGCCCAAGTTTGTTCCAACATGAAGTGAGATAGAGCTGTAATCTTCGTTCTCAAGCATCATGATGCTGAATTCGATCTTGGTAACGTATTCAGCCTTGCTTGAATCCGCCGTGTTACTGCTATGCCTCAATAAACCGCCGCTCCTGTGGCCTTTGCCCAAGTCTTGGACGGAAGTCTTGAGAATAACGGCCGGGCCGCGAAGGTCAATCAAAACAATGCTGCCACCTTGAAATCCGGCAGCAGCAAACCCTACTTCACTCATGCATACTGCAGTGACAGGTCCGTCTTGAGCATCAAACAAAGTGAACGGCGCCAATCCTTCGTGCAGGGACGGATCCACACGATCGACGATGCTCGTAAGCTTGCCTGGTTGGTTTGGCTGTGATATTTTTGTGTCGCGGCCGGCCTCTCTAATCACGCTCCAGCGAAAGATAGCAAACTCGCCGCTACGAAGTCCCACAGCCAGTTCGACACTCGATCCCGCGAAAGACACTGCTGTGATGTCGAGATTGTCGAGATGACCTACGGCACGGCCGACATCAACCTGCAAGACTTTGTTGTTCTCGATTTCATCGCCGTAGCCCATATCCCACAAGCGAATTGTACCATCCGCGTGTACAGTCTGTACGATGCTGCGAGCCTCATATCGCCGCAATGGGTGCGGTACCTCGCAGCCGCCTTGCAAGATCCGAGGTCCCTGCTGGCGTCGCTCTTGTAGCCCCAACCACTTCTCTCGTTCTATCTGCGTGGAATTGATGATTTTGACGAAAGGATGCACACATGACAAAGAGGGATGCAATTGGTTTGTCGGCGTGATAGGATGTCCTGACGGGAACGAGAGGGTTAAAAGCTCTCCGGAAGCGAGGAGAGCGATGATCGCGATGGGATCGTGAGCTCCCGCAAAATGTGGTGAAGTCCGCGGGATGAGGCAGTAGTCTACCACTTCAGCACCAGGCGGAGTGGGCAGTATTCTTTGCCGTTTCGGTGTCTGAAAGTATGCAACAAGGCCCTCCCATGAGCTTGTTGCATATACGGGCGTACGACCAAGTTCGAGCAGACTCAAGCCGTGAGTCGGAGCTTGTGATGAAAGCCCGCCAGCTATAAGAAGCGCGGTATCTTCTGTGTCTTGTTGGTTTACGCACCAGGATATCTTGAACAGAGGCAAGTTCACCGCCATACTCTGAGCACCTCGTCCAAGTTCTATGCTGCTGGCCCCCGGAGTCGCAATGTTGACGTTGTCCAAAGTCCTCGCCATTAGCATGCGTCCATCCTTGATCGTGTCCCAGAAAACCATCGAACTGTCGTCGTAGCCTGTCAAGATGAAAGTTCCAGTAGGATGCCAAACTGCTTGTGTAAGCTTTGGTCGCCGGATCACGTTCACAGCAGAAGGATCTCCATCACCACCGGGGGCCCCTCGAGGGACCTCGTAACGGAAAAATCGCAAGGCCTTGTTCAATTTGAAGCTGTATATGACTGCACCGTGAGTATAACCGACGAGCAATGTCCCGATATCACGCGGGTGAAACTGCAATGCAACGACACTCGAAACCCGCGCTCGTGGCTCCATTTCCATCCAGAGGTTAGGGATACGGAAAGGCGCCAAAGCTTCACGATCTAGATCATATGCTAAGATATCACCGCTCTGTAACCCGATGAGGGCATAGTCAAGCATGACATCTGTGCAGATCGTACTGATTGCACCAGGCGGCGAATGGGAGCCGACCAGACGTTTTCGCTCGAGGGAGTAAAAGGAGACATCGTTCTTCGAATCTACGACCACGAGTCTCTCTGCACAGAACTGGATTGTCGTTACGCTGGCGCCTCTTGATGCGAGAGTGAAGATTGCCTGGATACGTCCGCGGCCGAATATGTAGAGCTGTCCTTGGCCAAACTGCGAGTTTTTGGTTCCGACAGCTAATAGTGATTGCACTGGATCGTATGCAAGACAGGAAATCTGAGAGTTTACACCAAATCTAGCAAGATCGTCGAGGACAAATAGGTCGTTGGTCAAGCCAGCACTGAGATCATTCTGAATACCGGCTTGCTTCCCGCGTAGCAGATGGGCCATATTTGACGTATTTCCGGGAGTAGCGTTGCTCGAGTCGAGAGAAGAAGCAATTGATCAAATATTTGTCTTCGACAACACAGAAGCCGCTTTCGGGATTCGGAGACGTTCGAAGATTTTCATCATCAGTTAACAGATAATTCACAGAGAATGCAAAGCGTTGGAGCATCTGGGCGTGGTTGACTTGGCTCAGCACCTTCCTGCACCCAAGTGGCATGCCAACGTAATGGCCCAGCCGGGAGAGTACACATGCCACCACACATGCTACTTATTGGACTAGGGTTGGACCTTATTACGGTGGGCGGGACGCGCGTCTCCCGGTTTGCTACGGAAGCCCCAATCACGAACACAAGGCGCACACGGGCATTGCCTCATGAGTGACTTCACATCTCATTCGAAGTTTATGAGATTGAATAATTTTTGATTCGTGTTTCAAATATATCGTAGACATGACCGCCATGGCCAGGAGACAGTCCTTGTCATAGCAAAACCCCTGTTGCGCCTTCGCCAAATCTCATAAGACAGCTGTGAACCCGGGAAATGCTGTGCATCAATAATTCTGCCATTGGCCTTGTTGGGGAAATCGTCAACGCTGCTACCCCTTTACAGAGTAGCATCCAATGAATGGTGGACTAGAGGAGAGAAGCGAGCCTATAACAAGACCATGCGCTTACATGCCTGTGACAAGGATTAGCATTAATCTAGAAGATGACGACGAACAAAAGAACTTACAGGCAGCACCGTCAATGCCGATGACCTTGCCGTTGATCCATTCACCATCCTGCGAGGCAAGGAAGCATACGACACGGGCGATATCAATGGGCTGACCGACACGGGCTAGAGGGGACCATGTGGCGGCGTACTGCGATTGCAATGTCAATGATGGATCCTCGATGTCAGCTTTAGGGATGATACATACCTCATCGACCTGATCATCAGTAAGGTTCTCGCCGTTGGGAATGTACTCGCGGCAGACGGCGTGGTACATGTCGGTCTTGATGCCACCAGGCGCGATGCAGTTGACAGTGATCTTCTTGTCACCGGCATCAATGGCCATGCAGCGAACGAAGGTCTCAATGGCACCCTTGGATCCTGAGTAGACGGCGTGCTTGGGCACACCCTTGGCCTGCCCGGTGATCGAGCCCATGAGGATGATGCGGCCGCCGACCTCGAGATGCTTGTAGGCCTCGCGGGCAACGAAGAATTGACCGCGAGTATTGATGCGGAAGACGCGGTCGAACTCCTCCTCGGAGACGTCACCGAAGTGACCGAAGGAAACGACACCGGAGTTGGAGCAGACGATGTCGAGCTTGCCGAAGTGTGCTTTGGCCTCCTCCATCAGCTTGGTGGTTTGTGAGACATCTCCGACGTCGGCCTTGATGGCGATGGCCTCGCCGCCGTTTTGCTTGATCTGGTCTACGATCTTGTTCGCTGCCTCAAGCGAGTTGGCGTAGTTAACAACGACCTTTGCACCGCGGCGGGCGAGCTCGACTGCCATGGCGGCACCAATGCCACGGCCGGAACCGGTGACAAGAGCGACCTTGCCATCAAGGCGGGAGGTCTCTAAGGCTTGAGGAGCAGACATGTTGGCTGGAAATGTGGGGTTGAGAAAATGAGCTTGAAGACTGTTGTATTTGGCAATGGCACCTAGTGGATCGAATGACAGACGATTTGAGTTCTTGGACATTTTCACATTGTTTGCGAGCGAGCGATAGGCTATCTATACATTGAACTCCCAATGTGTGCTTCGAGCTTTGTTCTCGGAAGCTGTGTGACCACGCGCACCGCGGCGAAAGACCCCGATCACCGAAGCCCGAGTCGCGACAGCAACGGACACACTTGGGGGCGAGTGGCAGTTTAACAGTGGAGGAAGTGAAAGCAGATATTCATCGCCAAGATTGTCGTACCCAGAGCGGAACCATCTCGCATCCTTCCCCGCGATGGTTCAAGGCCAACCCCTGGCGGCTCCGCTCCTTTTCCGTCGACGGCCAGTGACAATTCGCTACATTCATGACGAATATTCCGATGGCGTTCGTCGATACATGAGGATGATGGCTATTGCAGTGCCCGTAGCACGTGAGAAAGAGCTAGGCTTCATAACGGTGCGTGGCTGGCGGGTCTTGGTTTTCAGTGCACGAATATCAATTCCTAGCCGTGATACTGATGGAACAAAGCCTTGGACGGAAGCAAGGAATCAACCGAAAATGATCAAACCCCTTGCAGATGCTCTGAGCCTGGGTTCGGTCTTAACTTGAGGTGCGAAATACCGAATCTCATCCAGATCGACGGAATGTGCCCGTGGCTCCGAAATTGTACCCAAGTCTTCTCAGGGCGCTGGAAGTCGGCGACAAACAGTCGTGACGCTCTGCCTTACGAGAACCAAACAAAATGGCGCGAGGCACGCACGCTTGCCCCGATATGGCAGTATTATTGGGGCAGAGAGCTCACGCGGATCGCTTCAACGGTCCGACGGACCACCACCTCCAGCGTATTTAGTATTCTTTCTCGGATCCCCACGTCCGGCGGCGCTCGACATACCATTGTCCTTCCGTGTCGCAGGCGCTATTTTTACTGTATTACAACCTCACCGCATTTATCACCGCTGGAGTTTGGTCACGTATGCTTACGGCCCTCGAAGGACGATTGGAAGACATTCAAAGGCCGATTCGAAGCCACCTTTCAAAACAGCGCACTTAGATGTGTCAGCGCCGTGAGGATTCCACGAGGGACGCTGCACATAGAATGGCTGCGAGGATAATGATCTTCACAAATCAGGCCTTATCTACGACAATCTAATTCTCGTACAGAAGGGGATAGGAGTCGTTCATAGTGTACACATCTAAATTTCGAATGTATAATACTAGTCTTGCAGCAAGTTTCATGCGAATAATGGAAGATCCTCAGTTTCAACACGAGGCTACCATGCTGTAGCAAGGACCCGACTATCTTCAAGTGAGCGAGCAACAAACGGTGAAATATCAAGTACAGAGGCCTTGAATCTCGTGGTTATGAAACCACCTTCATATTCACACCGGTCTTCGCGCTCACTGTCACCTTGGCACCGAAACGATCGCTCTCGACCGTCCCGGTAAAGAACAATATTTATATTTCGAGAATGTCCAGCAAGAGAACAGCACTCTACCGGCCTATAAGATATCGATGTACCATGTATAAGCAGAACAGTCCTATAGATCCATTGCGTACGCATCCAAAAAGCCCTGCGTCCCACATGTACCACTACCATTCGGTGTATAGTCAATGACCATTCCACCAGCTTCAGCTTGCTTTTCTGCAGATTCTCATCGCCACATCGCGAGACAGTTCAAGTCTCTCTGCTAAGCTGACGAGGAATCGTCACCTCGTGAGGCGATAAGGTCGCCGAACTCAGAATCATAGCGAGGATCTTCACTGTCCTGTCTCGGGGGTCCCGCCCGACCCATCTGGTAGTATGCGTAGTTTCCGCTGGGAGGACACATTTTGAAGACACGGGCGAAGGAGACACGGGCGTGCATAATGGATGTTTGTGTGCCAGTCTCAGATCTTCAGAAGACGCAAAAAAGGCCGGCTGGCGCTCGGCTCCCCGTTGGATGCCGAATCAGGGAAGATTATGTATGTGACATGAGAGATGCGGGCGAAGTGGACAATAGAATTCGATTATGTAGCACGCCCATTGGTCTTGTCATAACCAAGTGTCTTCTCTGTGCACCCTAATCATCAAATGGAAAATTGGTTGTTGCCTGGGGGCAGGAAACGAAAAGTAAAGCAATTGAAACTATTCACCGCACCTCCTATTGCACCATGTATGCATGTAAGTGCATGTGGGAACGCCGCCGATGCTTTCAATTTCGTCAAAACAAGAGGCTCTCGCTGCGATATATGCGAAAGGATACAAAAGCAAGAAAGGGATGCAAGCCTCGAAGGAGCTTCTTCGTAAGTTCGTCAAGTCGTCAGTCGTTAATACCGTTCATGTGCAAAGGGAGAATTCGGCTCCTGCGCCGGTCGAGCTATCAAGTTGACTCAAGGAAAGGCTCAGCGCCGAACTTGTTAGGTCACCGCATATGAGCGCTCGCCAATCGTTGCAGCTTCGACCGGACGCCCTCAGAGAATCTGGTGGTTACTCCTTCATCGATGACCTCGACACAGTGCTGAAGCACCACAAGCGGCCGATCGATCACGACCTGCGAGCCATCCCGCTTGGTCATACATGGGATTCCATCGCGCTTGGTGAGGTAGCGTACGATGAGAGGATGTTCTGCTGATAATGAATCGATGGCGAAGACCGAGCCCAATCTGGGAAACATGGTGCTGCCGATCGGTGATGAGCCAAATTCGCCAGTGATCAGGCAATTTGCCCAGAGCACCAGCGCGACGCGATACATGGCACCGGCCCACCAGGGTGGCCGCACGCTTCTCGGCATGGAGCGTATCAGTCTCAAAATTTGGCCGCAGTGATACACGGCCTCTTCAATATCGGCAATGCATCGTTTATGCAACCAAGATACTTCCTGGTAAGTTGTGCCGACGAGCTCGCGACGAGCGACGCGCTCGATGTCTGTGAAGTTTGTCACCGCGTTCAAGCTGATCAGGTGAAATATGACCAGGTTCGTCTGCATCATGGGACACATTGCATTCACGTTGAGGTAACGCTCAGCCAAGTCATACCATCGTTGCAGCAGATTCTGGGCTTCTTCAAGTCGGCCTTTCGTGGAAGAGGCGCTGACCGTTCGCGGCATGTCCTGATGTTGAATGGCAAATGGGTCGTTGAAGCACCTCAGTAGCTGACCTGACTGCCATACCAGGGATTGAAGCGGATGCAACAATAAGCGGAGCTGTAATGGCGTCATCTCGATACCAAGAGCTATGAGCTCGTTGTCCAGGAAATGACCATACAGTTCAAGAAGCGACATCGGCCGAGCGTCGGAACCGACAGAAGAGAAACCACCTGCGAACTCGTGCACCTGCTCAAAGTTTGCCGACCATTCTGCAGCACTTCTGGAACGCCATAGACGATCCGCATCCGGCATAGGAACCTTAAATTCCGTGACCGAGAAGAGAGGTGCACAATCATGAAGTAACGCGATATCTTGATCTACCATGAGCCAGGAGTACACCAATCGACTGCGAGACTCGGCTTGAATCCATTCGCTCCAGAGCAAGTCTGTGTTCGGTGCTTGATTGGTCGTCGGCGCCGACATTCTATGATGCAGCTCCAACAGTCCCGAATGCCGAAGCATCGCGAGATACATGCCGCGTTGACCCATTGAGATGTCCATCTGCCATTTGTCACCACTCCACGCCGCCTGAACGGTGAAGAGCAAGGCGGCGTGGAGGACAAGCGGATTGCCAGACATAATGTAGTTTTTTTCGATGAGGTCAAAGAGGCTCAATCTGGATGATTCTGTCAAGCCCGTAGCAAGAATTCGGGCATCGGCGGAAGGCACATTTGAGGCACCTTGAGCGATCATCATGAGCACAAGCAAACTTGCCACGCGGTCGTTGTAGCAATGTAAGAGCTCATTGGCATCGAGCGTGCCGCGTGACGTCAAGGGATAGAATTGTTCAAAAGAGTTGGCATATGATTGCAGGAAATACTCGAGAACGCGCGCTGGTGGGAGCAGAACGAAATTGGAGATGGCACCATTCTGTGGAGCGTGATGATTTCCGCCAGGATCACCTCGATGGATGTCGAGAGCTTTGTGGAGGAAGGTCTGCGTGATTGCAAGCAGTTTGTCACGACTACTCTCGTGCAGCTGCATGACTGTCAGTTGATTGCTGCTGGCTACATCAGCTTCATCCCACTGCGGACTCCATCGGACCCAGCCTTCGTGGTTGCGTAGGGTCCGCTCGAGTAGTTCTAGGTTTCGACGTGCCGTTCGAGGGCACGCGGTGGACGGGACGACTGGCATGCAGCGGAACGCCGGCCACGCATCTTGTGCTGAGATATCAGTGGAAATGTCATTGACTGGAGCCGGCAATGAATTGAAAGGTTGCATAGAAGAGATGGGATGGTTCTGGAAGAAGGGTGTGCTCATAGCACTTCCGGGCATCAATGGCTGCAACCTTGGGGTCTCAATGGGCGTGTTGAGCTGAAGCGGTTGCATGCCATTGTGCAGGTTTGGCATCATCGCCATTAAGCTCTCGTGATGTCGCGGCAATGTCAATGTATCCGGAATAAAGTTCATGTCTTGGTTCAACAACATTGGAGGTTGCATGAGCTCATTGTAAGATGATGGCATTTGCAATTGATTCCAGTCGAGCATGAAGTTGGGATTTGGTGTCGCGGAGACATTGTTGCTGATCTGAACAATTTCGGCAAGGCTGGCGCCTGGTGTATCGCCTACCATGCTGCTGTCGACGAGACACTGTGATGGTGAGGAGAAGGGCTGTACTGGTGTGATGTCCGCGGGTGACATTGGTCTGTCAGTACTTGGAAGAGATGCGTCCACTGCTGTCGAAGGACGTTGCTCCTCGCTATTGGGCGACATGCTGTTTGGACTGATGAGCCCGGAAGCAGATGACGGTGGCAGCGCCGTTTCTATTTGCGATTCTTGTTGAGGAGGGCTTCGATTGCTTGCCGACGGCTCCTTTCCGCTACCGCTTCCTTCGACCATCAGCGGTGCACCTTCCGAGGCCGTCGAGTCTGCCTCAACGACGATGCCTGATCTGCTTGCGCTTTTCGTCACACGCCGCGTTGGTCGCAGCGTACACTTCAGGTTCCGAGCTGAGCATCTCGAGCAGGGGAACTTCTTATCACACTTGGTCTTGGTCTTGGCGCAATTGCTGCACGCAATGGGTGTCCGACCGGCTGATCTAGGTATCATGCCATTCGCAGCCGGGATGATGTCTTGGTTGTTGGCATCTTTACCGTGCACTGTATAGTGTCTCTGCAACAGATCTCTATGAGAGTACGCCTCGATCAGTCAATGATCTTCGTGAACGAGAAGTGTGGAGCGACCAACCTTCGAGCGAAAGACATATGACATGTTAGGCATTTGAAAGGTTTTACGTTGGTATCTGATATGAGATGAATGTCAGCATTGGTGGTGTTTGGAAACGATGGGATCAGCATCGTGGCTGCCATTCCAATCGACAGCGATGACGTTGCAAACTTACGAGTGAGGATGTGACGTTCGAGATGCTCATCTCTTGTGAAAGGATGGGCACAGTATGTGCAATAGACGACCATGATTCCTGCGATCGACTGATGCTCACGTCGGATGTCTTCTGATGTGGAGGTCGAAGGTAGAGAAGGTCAGTCGCATAGTGGACCCTGGTGGTGGAGGATCAGAGGAATCAACGAGGGAGAATCAAAAGACGAAGATCGTAATTATTAGATATGCGCGGAGCATATCCATGCATACCTATCCAGCAGCGAGCGTCATGTACCATATGTTACGTGATGGAAGAGGCGGAGCGCCCAGAGCGGGCCCCGATGAATGCGCACCACGCGAGGAGTACCATCAACGCTAAACGGTATGGAGGATGCCTCACTCGCAAGGGGAGCAAGCCTCCACGGATCCGGCAGATCTGTGGAATGGCATGGTGATGAGAATCATCGCATCTGCACACATCCTATACCTGTGCTTGCTTCCGTGTTGTGTTAATTATGGAGTGTGCCACAAAGCAAATGTCGGTAGTTCTGTGGTAATGGCGCAGGTGGTGCTACCGTGCCGAAAGAGGCGTAAGCTGGGCCATCGCCCATGCAGGTCGCACGCCGGCTTTGCGCATTCAACGAGTTTTGCAGCTGGAGGTCTTGATCGACGTCGGCGCCGGCGAGCGAGCGAGTGCAAGGGCGCGGATCGCTTGTGAGCGGGAATGGCGGCATCGCATGCAGGAAATCATGGATGGCAAGGATGCAGGCATTCAGGTAGAACGTGAGTGGGTGGGTGGAATGTCGTGTCAGCCTGACGATGTTGTCCGTCTACCACGATCTCGCGGAGACACAGTGAACTCCTCGATGATGATGCACACCTGTGAGGTCATGCTGGGGTCCGCTTATCTTCCAGTACTGTACCCGCGTGAACAGAAGTCGGACGAGATGCATGCGCGGCTTCGGGATACACACTCACGATGTTCACGTCGGGACTGTAGATGTGATGAAACGCCACTAGGTATGCAATAATCGTGAAATGATTGAGTAGGAGTTGAACCGCAATCAAGCGCAGGCCAATTTGCAGCACCACGCGGACCCGAGACCTCCAGCGTGTTGTGGAGTTGGAAATCCGAGTTTCATTCAGCAGAAGGCAAGTAAGTGTATTTTACGCAGCGTCCAACTTTGAGGCTTCGCGCACGCTCTTCTAGCTTACTAGGTACTTTCACTCAAAAACAACTCAATTTCTAGCGTCGCTTACTGCAGGGTGACCCCAATAAAGGTCGCTCAAATCAGGCACGGCCGCGCGCGATATTGAAGGCGAAGCTAGATCTGTTCATAGCGATTACGCTGCTTATGGGATGGATGGATGAACGCGTACCTAGATGATAAAGGCGGGCGTGTCCAGGGCGGACGCTGAACAGATGGTGGTGCGAACATATGGGTGGACACCCCAGCTACCGCTGATGGAAATGCTCACAAAGATCGTCTGCATCCCAGCGTCCGAATTATGGGAGACCTGGACTGAGGCGAAGCAAGCAGTGAGACGAGGCTCCTGAGGCTACACGCTTGTTCTCAATCCCAATGATACGTTAATAGCACCCTATGAAGCCACCTGACAGAACCGATGGTTCAAAGGACCTATATCTGATGACAAAGGGGAGGATAAGGTGTCGCTTGTCTCCTCAGGTGCGCATCAGAAGGTGTGGGGCGGATCACAAGACGAGACGACTCGGCGACGAACGAATCTGTCCAATCGTGAACCATACAGCTGGATAGTCGCCTCGCGGATGACAATGCATGAATATTGCATGCAATCGCAACATGTCGTATCGCTAGCAGAAGCAAGGAGTGGAGGGCGTGAACTTATCGCAGCAATCCACCAACGAGTACAGGGATAATTTACTATCAAGATGAACTGACGACATGAGCTATTCCTTTCTGGCTGTAAAATCCTCAAATGCACGATATCTGCGGCTCTTTTCCTGCAACTAGAGAAGTGGTGTGGTCTTTCGGTGGGCCTCCGCCGCAATTCCGGAAGCTGGACAGAAATTTGTCCGGGTTGTCCGAGCGGATTGATCCATCGTGTCGCCAAACAATCGTTCGCGGTCGAGTCGGCGTGGACACCTATGCGGTGGCTTGCATGCCATAGATACAGTACAGCGCATCACTAGAAGTACAAACCGGGCTTTGTAGCGGACGCGTTGTACAATTTCAGGTTGTTCGGCGACTGGTTTACTGATGTCCCCCACCTATACACAATACAGTCTCACGCGTTACAACTTCCATGGCGCATATGCACACATGGACCAGACGAGTCCTAGCGAAACACGTACAGTACAAGACGTGGGTGCAATGCCTCCATGCGGAAGTATTCAGTCAAAGCAAGGGACTCACGAACCAGTCAAAGGCAACTTTACGGCCGCACGACTTTCGAACTCATCACGGGCATGCAGAGATGTGTAGCGAAATCTTCGCTGAGCATTGTTCTCATGTCACAGAAGGGTACGTCAGCTTTAGGACGCAGCACCTAAAGTGATCCTTCTTCAACATTCTACACCAATCCGTCGCCCATCATTCATGAATCAATCAGGCCCGTAATCAAAGCGCTGACGACCGCACGCGACAGTAAACTATCTTGGTGATAAAGAAACCCCGATCGGGACGGCAGTATGACCGCCCACGATCTCATTCGTCGTGAAACGCTCGCCTAGGTCAAGCGTGTATCCAAGCGAACGGATCGAGGATTCTATCTATGGCCGCCTCGCACAGCATCCTGTGGTCTCGCTAACTGGAAGGTTCGTTCCGCTGTAGACCCTATTTGCTCGCCGCCACTAGGCTTCTCATCTTTGCTGTATCGATGCCGCTGACCATGATGACCTCTCAGGCAACATCCCAGCATCGCAGCCAAGCGAGTCGGTGCCAGCATGACCTTTGCACACTCATGCGGTCCACGCCACTTCTATTTCCGTTTCGGCCGAGCTATACATTGGCGACTCAACGGATGGGGCCAAAAGGCCCATTTCCTGCTTTCGACGAATACCACTCGCGCTCCAGTCCCATGTGGAGAATATCCTGTACAGCACACATGGCAGCTACGAAATCGTAGGTCATGCTGTAAGCTTCTTCCGAAACACATCGGACCTGGCGAGGGTGGTCAGATGATGCGACATTACAAATAAATCCTCGTCAAAAACCTGTTCTGGTGAACTTTTTCGGAGATAATATCTTCCTCTTCTCGCCAAAAGTTCTGGGGTGAAGAACAAGCCGGACACAGGAGCAGGTGACTCGCGCATAATCACAGGTTGGCGACTTGTTCAAGCAACGTGCGTTGATGACAGCCATATCGTACCGTCATCTCGAGACACCGATATACGGCCGTCGCGCAGCATAGCGAGTGTCGGGTCGGAACATCTTGGCTTCCAGTGTCTCTCCTGCCATCAACCGTTCAGATGATGCAGAGTTGCCAAGAGATGCACATGATGACTGCTGCCCCTTACCGAAGCGGGCCGATTTGCCCTTCTCAGCGCTGCTTTTTACTAATTCGGTAGTCATCTCGTTTGCGTCATATGCCTCGATAGAACAACAAAGAGAGCGAAGTAGGTCGCGAGCTTTATTGGGAAGGGTTCGGTAATCCATCACTTGTCAGACTCACCGATGCCATGGGAACGTTCGCCGCTATTGCTTTTGTTGTTAGCAGCATCCTCTAAATCTCCGAGCTTCACAGTGCATATAATGTGTGGATGCTTCCGTGTCCACTCCGGCGTCGTGTCATAGGTCCACCAAGGGTTCACCGGTCGGGATGTGCTTGCAAGTTTCATGTCATGGATCAGGCTTCGCAGTAGTATATGCAGCCATCTGCATTGCTCTGCTGGACGTGATATACTGAGTGGTCAGAGCAGAATTCCTCTGAAGTCGCTGCCACGTGCGCTTCAGGGATTCATGCATACTGCAAGGTGTGCTACAGATTCTACAGGTAGTCCATCTGAATCAGCTTGATCGCGCACAGCGACAGTATTGATGTTATGACATCAGTGAGGCGGACCTCATCGCAGACAAGAAAGTTTGCGCTCTTATATTTTCATCGCCTGGCTACTAGGTCCAGGATGGAGATCGTCCCTGAGATCAACTCGATACATCCAGCTCCTGCCGCGGAGTAGGTTGGCTGTTGAGCGCTTGTGCAGTTCGACGGACGCAATGATCCTGATGGCGGCATTCTGCGTTGTTCATTTCTGGCCTTGATCAGTGTGCGCGTCAGAGATGGTACTATGGTAGCACAGGCCTTCAATAGAATTCCATATTCACGAAATGCACCCTGGAAATCCGACTTGATCTAGCAGCCCAATTTTGATCGCCGCTGTTGTACACGACGATTTCGCGTCAGGATTGCATCACGACGTTGTGCGTGACTTGCCACAGATCGGACGGGCGTTCTGCCTGGTGGTGTCGGAAAGAAATTGCATTTGAGTCCCGGCAACGAGACCAAGTTCGCCCGATGGAAGAACGCAACAAGGCGGAGCACTGACATTCTGCGCATTTCTGGTGTGAGAACAAGAAATTTGCGAATGCAAACGGCAATGTCCAGGCCAGAAAAATTTGGTCGCGTGGTGATAAATGAATCACGGCATTTCCTTCTAGTGCTGGCGTAGTGTTTGCCGCCCGGCTTCCGAGATTAGGACGCTTAAAGCGGTTTTCAAGCTTTGCGCCACTGAACTGGGCACGTGATGGGGTTTGGTGAATGCTGGTACGCAATCGCAAGCACCCGGGAGACACGAACAGGCTCATCGCACGTAGAATCGCTGACTCCTGCGCGATTCCTGGGATTCGCTCGTGCAAGCCGCTCGGAAACTGCGCATTGCAAGCTCAACGCCAGCTTCATTACCCAGACTATAACCTTGCAATGCATATCGGGCCGTCGTCGCGGAATCCTGATTGGGAAAGGCGGGATGCTAGCAGCACGCGCAATGCACATGGCACGCGGTCACCACATCGTGAACGCGCGGTGTTACTGTGAAACAATCGGGAGTCCACAAACTGGGGAATTCTTACTTTGGAAGACGGACATCCTCGGCATATATAGCTTCGGGAAGCCTTGCGAAGGGTTGCTGGGAACGGGTGGATGTCGATTACGCGATACACGAGTCTGCTCACCGAAAGTGTACCCATTTGCAAGAAATCGATCCTGATCCGCAGGTTGCGGACGTAACAGCACCTGCTAATATGCGGTATCGATACCTGTATTTC